TGATCACGTATAGAATAGCCTGGGCTCGAATACGCATCAATTGAAATGTATGTGATAAAAAGAATATGCCAAGAGAAAGGTATCTCCGATATATCCCTTAAATCGGAACAAAAGGAATATAAATAAAGGGAAGTCTCTCTAACAAAGAAGAACCTCACCTTATCATACTTTAACCAATCATTTCAGACCATCCTCTGTTCCAAAGTCTAGCTAGATTAGTTACGCATGTATCTAAATCTCAGTTCCACTTTACCCTTATTTGTTTAAAGATGAATCGTTGCTTTGCTAGTCTCTTGAACTATAACCATCAACTATTACACTCCAAGTACTTTTATTAGTCCCATTGTATTTGTATACTTTCTGGCTGATAGCTTTGATTATAATATGTTCCATGATTTAAATCAAGAACCCTTTTACGTACTTAAAACTATGTAAATCTCCTTGGTCACTACCCAGTTCTTGCAACGCAAAGTTGGCAAGATCCTTGTTAGTCTTTGGATGCAGGCTACTCTAGATTTCGTATCTCAGAGATTATAACCAGGCCTAAAGGTTGACCACCTTACATCTGTTAACTTACAGTGGGCTTCGGAATTGTGTTTCTTTGAAACACCGTGAAGAGCTTGTGGTTTACCCACCTTCATTCTTATCATCATTCTTACTTTAGAATAAGATATAACAACGGATATCCCGCGTACCCAGCAGAATACTTATTCAGGAATCTAACTGAGTGAGAACTAGACCTCATCAGTGTCTTTTAAAGGTTGCCACCCTGACATATTGTAAATTTGTTTTACGTAAAACTTACATCATTGAGGGGTTTCAAGTTTAAAATTTACGTATTTTTACATTTTAGAAACTTTGACAAAGTTGTAAACTTTACGTAAAATAATGTTGAAACGGTTGACCTTTTTATGTCTCCCGTTTTAAAATTACGTAAACATACACAGGTGAAAATTACCCGGTCAACATTTTGACCTTTTCAATGATGGTATTGTCCACATCATTGAACAAGAGATCAGTCAAGAAGGCCATTTTGTCATTGTCATCAAAGAGAATGTTGCCATAAGTTGGAACAATATGTTCACCAAGCAATTCTTCTTGGATTATTCAATTGATTTCATCTTCTTTGGCACTTTTGATTGTTTTTTTCTTTGTGAGGTTGGAACCATTTGGAAAGCAAGTTTCAAATGGTGTTTAAGACCTTTAGAAAGGTCAGATGAGCATGATTGGGAACAATTTACTTGGTCAACAAGCAATCTATCATTCCAAGCTTGAGCTCTGAAAAGCTTGGGTATCAAATAATACATGTATCCTTTTTACGACTGTAGTTATCCAACGTCCAGGATGTTTACAAACAGTCAAGTTTAATATTTTACGCTGTTGTATAAAATTTGACTGGATTTTTAAAAAAGTGTATAAAAAATTCAAACTTGAAACCACTTGAGCTAACATAATGAGAAATACTCCAAAAATGTGTTTCCCAAATGTTGCAAGATTTAGTTTATCTGTCTAACAATTTCTCATTTCATTTCATAACTGACTTTGTGTGTTCATCTGTGGGAGTCATTAAGAGTTGGAAAATTGAAAGCTGGTCCTGTGATAACTTATGATGGGTTATAGGTCATACATCCAAGCCCTCTGAGGGCAAAAGCTGGGATTTTCCCTGAGTTTCAAAGTGTGTCTCATACTTGTTCCTCATTACTTAATTTACCTACCCTGACACTTGTTTATTCATGTACAGTAGCACATTGTGTAATTTTTTTGAGTGGGTCATTTTTTGTGTGGTTTGTGCCAATCAATTCATTACAGTTGTTATCACCAAAGCCCCCCTGACTGGCTCCCTGCAAAACAAATTGAGGCAGTTGACCCGTTCCTTTTGTATTTTTTAGGCAATTGATAAACCACAACAACTTGAAAACTTGCTTGACACCGGATTGTATTAGACCAGATTCCTTGCACATGTACAGGTGATATACCGTGATGTATAGAGCTGTACTACTTCTACAGCCTTCAAATTATTTTCTATCATTTCTCAAGCCTGCTTTTGATTTGGATGACAATGCCTAAAGCTCACTTTCCTCATGAAGAAGCCACAACAATGCAGATAGAAACAATCCTGATAAGCTTCAAAGGTAGTTTTAATAAGACAAGCAAAAGAGAGTATTGTATCATGCAAGAAACAATGTTTTTTTTATTTCAATGAAATTCATTGTGAGAGGTAAGCAAAAAACACGTCTTGTGTTATGACTCACCATGATTTTTGTTGAAGTGTTTTGTTGTCTATAAAATCAGATTCCGTGTCTACCTAACAACAACACAGCCACAGTTACTGTACTGGTATTGTATTGTCAATACTAGTAAAGTACCTGTTTTTTCAATAATCCAAAGAAAGGTATGTAGTACTGTACCTTTCAGCAGATACAATACTGAGTACCATACCTAGAATTCAGGTACTGTGAAAACAACAGCATCCAAAGGGTTGTGGAGGCAGAGAGCCCGGCTCTCATGCAAGCCGCCACATTTTCCCACACCCCAAATGGGCAATATCAATGTACCAACTCGGATTGTACAAACCATCATTTCCGGAAGCCATCGGCCATTTGATGAGGGATGGATCTATCCCACAGACCTGTTCCTCCTTGCTCCATCAAATTTTAAACATATCATGGCAAAGGTGGTATTGTAACATGGCAAGGATTACATTGGCTGTGAGAAAAGCGATATATATTTGCATAAAGCAATACTCTGCCAAAAGCAATGGTTTCCTTGAACAAACAAATCTTATTTGTAGTGAATTCAGTCAAAAACTGATAAAGCTGTTGAACCCAATACTTATTTGGGTATTATGACCCTGTTTTTGATTTGTTCTGTTGGCATCATTGCCAACTGCAAGTGTTATTATCAATTTGAATGGTACACAAGTGTATCTTGGTCCATCTAAAGCTGTCAAATAGCAAACCCTTACACATATTGCTAGTAAGGATTCATAGAGACTGCTTAATCAAAAAAACATCATATGATTCTTTGCAAGAACCAATATCTTCCTTGCATTTTGAGTGTTATGATTGGTTTTGCCAGAGGTTGGAGAAAACCTGGTCAAAATCAATAGTTCTGGTCTCAATTTTTGACTGTTGGTTTCCTCAAAGTCCATGTTAGAGATGAATCATGATGCAGAGTGGATGGAACTTGGAAGGGTGAGAAAAGTGGAATTGGGTAGCAGGTGTGTGAATGCGTTTGGACAGGCATGACACATTTGGACGTGGGAAAGGTATTAAAAATAATTAATTCCAATAATGGTTACTGTGCCCGGCTCTTGTCTCTCAGATTAGAGCCGGCTCTCTGCCTTCACAGTGCTTTGAGTCTTCTGGTGAAAACCACCCAGCGGTAAAGTACTTTTGACTTCTGCTAGGTATGGTACTGTACTGGTATCTCAGGTTTGCTGATAGGTACTCTACTGTACCATACCTGTTGCAGGTACAATCCAGTATTCCACTGTACTTGAGTTGGTACCTGGCACATCAGGTGTATTGAAAGACTTCAAATATGATAAATTGTTTATTTGTATAGAAATCAGGAATTGGACAACAATACAGGTACACTGTCAACTACTGTACCAGTATTGTACCTATATTTCCAATACTGGCAGGGCCGGTACCAGTACAGTACCTTTCGTGACAGTACTATATCAAGTACAGTACCTACACTTAAATTTAAAAAATGATTGCCCTCCAGTACAGTAGTGCCCACCCAGGTACAATACTGGCATGTACTGTACCAGGAAAATTAGGTACTATACTGTACTTTACTGGTACTGGTACAGTAACTGTGGCTGTGTTGCTAACAAGGCTCCATAATGTTAAATATGTGTCTGCACATGCTTTGAGATGCAATTAATCTTTAGAGAGAGTTGTGATTGAGTCATGCTTTTGCATGACAAACAAGCACTTACAGGTTGCCTCCAATAACTGCTCTCTGGTCCATCATCAGTTTTGGTATGTTCCTTGATCTCTCAGTGATGTCCTTGAGCTTTCTGGCCCCTCTGGAGATTATTGTGCCGCTTGTCTGTCCAGCAATTGAGCCTGTCAAATGACACCAAGATTGTGTTGTAATTGCTGTGATTGGCCCAAGTTTTAGTCAGTCTTTTATCATCTCACTATGCTGCATTGCCAAGAGCCCTTCATCCTCACCAAGGGGGGCTTTCAATGTTCTCCAGAGGCAGGTGCTTCATAGTTTTCTGGTGTCATGCTTGCAAGATCAAGAATTAGTGGTGAGAAGTATTCAAAAGGGACAACACCCTCCGGAATGGTGACATGTACATACTGGCAACGTTGCAGTATGTAGTCACCACGAATCTTCACAAATGGAAAAGAGCTCCGTGAAACATATTACGGATCACCACATCTGAGGTGACGTAAACAGGGCCTCGAAAAGCCTCTAATAGGGATGAGGGTCATTGTTTCAATCTGAGCATTGAGCCAGAATTGAAAGATATCTTTAGTTGTCCCTTCAACCAAAACACGTCTTGTTGTTGAACGTATAAAGGGAAAAAAATTGGGAGCGACCATGTAGAATAGGATCATTTAAGGATTCTTCATAACAACATCGCGATGATAGTATTGTACAGCGGGGTTCAAGTTGGGCGAAAAGTACCTAAACTTTTGGTTACTGGCCCTCTCAGCCCTTCAAAATTGATGTGATCATTCAGCTCATCATTGCTTTATAATGGTTCAGTCTCCATGACTCTCCTTCAGTAGATATACAAAGCGCAAATCTGCCAAACAGGCCCATGAATGTCTCAACGTTCGATGAAGCGCAAGATGAATACTACTTATGCGTGCTATAGACACATGTATGACATAAATAAAAGAATATCGACTCGGGACAATAATAATTTGTATAGAGAGTAAAGTTACATGGTCAGCTGTGAATGGCATAAACAGACAAATCCATTTTTTTCTATGAAATGACAAAGCTTTGAGACACAACTTCGCAATGGGTTATCAAAGAAGCCTTGCGACCAATTCCTAGGCAGAGCAAGATATACTCCGTGTCCAAACCCCAAAATCTATCTATTGATCCTTCCATTTCACTAAGCTCAAACCATCTTCAACTCCCAACATCACGACTTCAACATCAGGATGATTACAGATCTCGGCATTCAATTCTTTCAAGTGTACTCCATATGCATTACTACCTTCAATTGACGATTGATCTATGTTGGGGATATTGGTGAATGGAACAGGGTAAGGCGCGTAAGTAGTCCCTGCAAATAAGACATTATCGATTAACATGATGCCTGATTTAGAAAGTAATTTGTATTTCATGATTTGACGAAAGTACGCTAGATATGAGGGTTTGTCGGCGTCGATGAAAATCTACATGGCGAAGGAGAGATTCAGTTAGATCAGATACCTTGAATAAAATGGCCTCAACCAAAGATCCCATGACTTACCATATCGAACGGTGCTTCGCCCTTTTGACCCATCTCATCTATAACCTTCCTTGCATCCCCCACTCGCATATCAATCTTTTCATTCAAGCCTTCCCCAGCACGCTTCCAGAAGGGGCGACACCAACCCTCAAGGAAGGGCTCGACCTCAAGTGTAACGACTTTTTCCACAGACTTCGCTGCCGCAAAGGCAAGAGCCATCGTGCCGGTGAATGTACCAATCTCTAAGATGCGACGAGGTTTGACAAGGCTAGTCATGAATGCGAGAATTCCTGCTTCGTAAGTGTTTGAAGACATGACAGGCACCAATTTGAAACTAATTTGACCAGAAGCGTAGAGACCTGCCCAATCAGTCGTTTGAGTAGCGGCTATCATCTCGTTCAAGATTTTGGTCCATTGGGCTTTGGGATCGGGCACATTCGAACTGGACGATGAGTTCAGATGAATGATGGTTTTGAGGAAATTTGGAAACAAATCAGAACAACGTGATTGAAGGGAATCGTTTATCAAACATTCTTACCTGCGTTGCACAAAGTCATCTTGATCATCGACCACAGCCTGAGCATCAATTAAGATAGACTCCAAACTCTTTTTCGCCGATTCGGCATCTCGACCAGTTCCTCCATTGCCACCTTTATTGATATCCGACAACATCTTACGGGCCTCTGCTAATAAAACTGAGACCCTGCGAGAAGGATTATCACAGACTACATAAATAGGGGTAGACATTTTCGAAAAGATAAGTCAGAAGGTGAGTGAGATATCGGTAGAGAAAGCCTGATTTCTATGTTGGTCACGATGAGAGGATGAGTGAGGAGGAAAGAAGTGAATATAGGGTACCAGCGCGAGTGATGGGTGATTCACTACATATCTCTATATAGTCTTGGTTCCAACTTCCGGATGGCGTCCAAAACTTTTACAAAATCAATGCGCATGAAAGCGTGCCCTGCATGACCTCCATATGGAGACTTGGTTGAGTGCGATGATCTTGCTCACCACCACAAGCTCCAACAGATGATTTTCGATCAAATGATTCCAAAAAGCAGCTGGATTATGTCACGAATATGAAAGCAGAGAGAATATAATTGCTGATCAGTTTTCGAAAACAACCCCGCCTGAGTCTTGGAATTCAACCTCGCGGGTTTTAAAATCTCGTCGCGTTGATTTCGTTTTATTTTCAAGCCCCTCGCGCGGCCGCGTCAGGCGCCCTACCTTGCAGAGCTGTAAGTTTTGGATTCTTGAGGCATGTATCAAGACTGCTGAGCTTGTTGAGCCTGATTTATTTGTCAGAAGGGAAAGGATCGACGCTGAGAATTGATTCTCTCATGCATAACTATTGACCCTGGCGAGATCCGTTGCAAGTTATGAAATAATTTCAAAAGAGCTTGAGACAGGACGCTTAGTGACTACATGATCATCAGCTTAATTACATGGGCCCATCTTCGGCGAGGGGCCGACTGAAACACGTTTGTTGGCTGGTGAGCTTCCAAAATTATCTCACTTCAAGAGTTTGTAATTAAACTCATGCGCTACACCTCTGAACAAAATCTTTCACCATTTGAAACCAACACGCCAGGAACTGGACACACGATTTCCCTTCGATTCTTACTTGATCAGACACAGCTTGAATCCTGCTTAGAATTTTGTCATTGGGATTGGCTCGGTTGACTAAAGTCTATGTCCCGCAGGAAACTCAATGGAAAATATGATACACACTAAATCAAATTGTTGAATGTTTCATTTCTATTTCCTGCCAGAGACTCGTTTCTTTGAGAAAACACTTCCATAAATGTAAGGTATCCTTCTCACGTGGACTTGTGGAGCCGATGACACAGAATAAAGTTCAATGGTGAAACAAAATCCAGAAGACTAAAGTTCCTCTATGGTTGGAATGCCAAATGATTTGGACGAAGATTACCCATGTATCGTTATCGTAAATTGAGAGAGCAATGAAAATGAGGGGTAAACAAAGTTGTAAAATCTTACACCAACCACGGATGTTTATGGTTTGAATGCACCCCAGAAAAAAATCAGAAGTCAATGGATGAAGGAACTTGGCTGTCATCAAATCTGAACCTAGTATTACACCTCATTTGATTTGACTCATTTACATCATGTGATAGCATGCAATACTTCAATTTGCTACACGGTTCAAAACAATATTCCTCGCCTTTTCTCCTTTGCCCAACATAGCCCAAGTCTGATATTTCCCTTTATCAAGAATTCATACAAAACATGAGTCAAGAACCAACATTATGTCCATAGTCTAATTAGAAAAGAAAAGTCACCATCTCACTTCAACTCCTTGAAAGTTTTACCTGGGTTCTTCTTCATCTAAATTTTTTAGCCAAGCTCCTATCGAACCAAGATAACCTTCATGTCTAAGGAAGAAAGCTCTCTTTGTGCCTTTAGACCAAAACCTAATCGCATATGATAAAGTTGAAACTGTTGCAGCATGTCCTATTGACTCATATAAATAGTTCTCGTCAGTATTGATAAGATGAACACAAATCGAGGGGATATAGGATACAGACCTCGGATAAAGCATCCTCCAAAGTATATTCGATCTAGTCCGTGTTTTTCTGCGTTCAAGTGCCTAGTGTTGAAATGTTCATTTTCCAAAAATCGTCAGATAACCACACAAAGTTCTCACTAAAAAAGAATTACTGACGCAATTTGACCAATATTATTACTAATGGCATATAATAAACTCTTACTGATATCTTCAGCTCTGAAAGTATCTTTCTTAGTACTACTTCCATCTTTTGATTCATCAGTTTCCGAATTCTTGTTTCTCTTTTTAAACACTTTACCAAAACTTGAAGCAATCGTGGAACTCTTTAATCCAATCTTTTGGTAATCTTGACCATAAATATCACCTACTAACATATCTACCTTTGAATTATCTCCCATCATACTTAAATCTAACATTTCATCAAAACTCTTAGCTTGGGTTAGGAGTGAAAGTAATCCCCAAAGTGTTCCACCACCTAGTGAAGTACCTGAAATTCTTTCAAATTTGCCAAACGCTGATACTTTGATGATTGATACTCCTGAGCCGATATTGACTAACATACAGGGAAATTGGGGTGTAGGATTCGAATCGAAGAGAACAGAGTATTGTGGAGGATTAGGTGATGGACGAGGTAATTCTTGTGGATCTTGGGATTTCTCTTTGCTGGAGAAGACTGATTCTGAAGAAGTTTCGTTTATAGCATCTATCAACCGAGAAGACGTCTCCAAAGCGTCCTCTCTTTCGCTAGCATCATGAGGGTTGTTTTGTACGATATGTTGAACCAGTTCATCCGAAAACCAGAAGACTTCATTCGGGATCTCAGTGATAAAGTTCAACCCAGTGATTAAGCAATCCATCTCTTCTTCCTTCAAAACTTCTACATCACCTCCTAATACATTCTTGATCATTTCGGAATAGATATGTGCACCTCCACCCGTAAGGATGATCTTCACACCTCGTTTCATAGTACTTATCGGTACTCCATTCGATGCGGCTGAGATTTCTATCAGATTGGCGATAAAGGGGATACATTCGGTTTCGATTGCTTCGGTTTCAAATTTGGTAAAGTTCAATCTGCCTCCCGGAATGCTTGAGCCCGACAGCCGCTGGGTATGTCGACTAGGTCCTGAAAAGCTTTGTCGGGCGATCGGATTCGAATCAGATTTGGCAGCTAGAGAAACAGCTTGTGAGGTGGCTTGGACTGATGACAGCGATGATGTGGTAGGAGTAGGTAGCTCGTGTTGATCTCGAATACAGCTGTCTTGATGTTCACACGCCTCGCCGTGCAGAGAGCCAGTGGAATTGAGGGTCCCATTCCTTACGACTTTCGGAGTCAGGATACCGTTGGGCTGTGTGGATGTGGATTTGGATGTCGGTAAATTGTTCCGGTTGGTATGATTTTGAGGTTCGTTGGGTGGAGTATCATCGAGTCCAGCTCCTTTTGATGATTGGGATGAAGACCTATTGTCGGCACTCAAAGATCCGGTTGAAGGGACCGAAGTGGTTCCACGAGTCCGGTTCGAAGCTTGATGAGTAGTAGCACGGGTGAAATAAACGATCTTGGCCAAAGAGCCACCAATCTAAAGAAAGCAAGATATCTTATTAGAACCATGTCCACCAGATTTCGGTTCTAGATAAACACGAAGACCAACGTACATCTAGAGCAATGTGAGAGATATATTCGGTATGCTTCGGAAGGTAAATGTCGCTTGTCTCAACAGACTGATGGTGGTCATCCAGGATTTCGGCTCCACTGATATCGACTTTGAGGGTACTGGTAGGTGTGGGTAAGTGTCGGTTTTGCATGTTCTGGAGCAGCCGATCACGCCGATTGTATGGTTCTTCGAAGATGTCGGTTTTCCCTTTGAATGTTCGATGGAGATGAGATGAAACCAAAAGGATGTAAGACTCAGAGGAATGATAAAGTTGAGATAGGGATTACCCGATTAGCACCCGGCACCTGAGTATCAACCCACTCATACTCACTCAACTTATCATCACTTGACTCACTCTCACAATTCTTCACATCAGCCCTCAAGTAACCAATATCAGTTGAACAATGTCATCACATGCTCACCCCATGACTACTTTATCTTCTCGCAGCTGATCAGATAGCGAGCAATTGTCTTCCGGCTATCTCTGGCGGGGCTTGTCTACATGTGCTTCCAGGCGTGATGCAAGGCATATATCCATTCGACATTCGTCTATAATTGGGCCCAGGGGCTTCGTTATGGCACATGGAATCCCTTTCTCTTTAGAGTTCTATCTACGTAGTGTATAAGATTGAGTGTGCACCTGTAATCATACCACTTTAAGTCAAGCTCGATTGACTGAGCAGGACTATGTAGTAGAGAGTTACTGCCACTCAATTCTCAAAGATGGGCAGCAGATGTGAAGAAAATGTAAAGTTTGGGCTGTCACCTCATGGATCACAAATTTTAGACTAATTGAGATCACTTCCAATGCGTCACATTTGCTTGTCAATTGGATATAGTGGATGATTTGTCGGAGCAACAAATACCAGTGCAAGGACTATCATCAGATCAAACTTGATCACTTGACTGTGTTGTGGGTCCTCTATCAAGGAATATTTGAATTTGGAATCTCTTTTTTGAACCTTCCCTGCCCATGAAAGTCTTTAGCATCAATCCCACAGACCAGTCTTCATCCTTTGAGGGCAAAATGTGGATTCAGAGTGTCTTCACTGACAACCAGCCTTCTACTCAAATCCCACACAATGTCAATAGCCCACCTTGAGTAGGGACGTTCATAACACTGCAGGATATGAAAAGCACCTCTCAATGCCTTGGTGTGATGCATAAGGAAAAGTACAAGGAGAAAGCCACAAATTGATTCTTCTATGGCTCCCCCAGGTGTTATCCTCATTGTGTAAAACATATGACTTGTGGGCCATCACAATGGCCTTCATCCTTCACTCTTCATTTGAGATTTTTTTGTTTTTTGGGGCCTTGATCTCAACCTTTTGTCAAATCAAGTCTCACTGCCTCTTCTGCCAGGTCAAATGTGAATCCATTGTTGCTTTTAGTTCTGAAAATTCTCATCTGTTTTGAATATCAAGGAACTAAACATCTGTTCAATCCCAAACACAATTGATCATTATGAATTCTAGAGATGTGCTTGGAAACATTGATCCCAAGAAAAATTGTTGGACTAGGACTGTAGACTCAGAAGGAACCCTGGTGAAATGGTCAACACCACGTCTGTGTGGTATTTGCCCTTTGACAAGCACACACGAGTCCCCTTTGTGCCTCAAAGGCAGTCCGCGTGTGCTCGTCGTCAAGAGACTGCCACAAGGACACAGTGCAAGGGGAGTAAGATCTTGACTTTAAAGCAAAAAATTATGGGAAAAATATACAAGATGGTGCACAACCTGTTCAAATTCCATTTTCGGATTGAAGAGAATTTGAGCAAGCAACAAAACATGTACATATTTGTTCAATTGCTGTGTATTCCTTGCATTTGAGAGAATGTAATGTGATACATAAGAACCATCCAGCATCAAGATACTCAAGACATGAGTTGTTTTCTGTCATAGGTGGAAAGATTGTATTCAGTATATATACCATGAACTTGTTGTCACAGTGTGTTTTTATGCCCTGAGGCCAGGTATCACACTTTAAATATATTCATTTAAAAAAAAGACTATAACCAAAGAACATTGATGCAAAAAAAGGATATTGAGTGGTGCCATATCATATGTATCAGTTGTGACCTATGTTAGGTCTTGGAAGATGACAACTTTACACTTTGACAAAATTTACACGAGGAAACTATGCACATATGCTATTCATAAAGAATTGGGTCAAGGATACTTACATTCTGTGACAAAAGGGCTGCCAGAAAGGCTGCCTCAGAGTTTTTCATACAAGGTTTTCTTTGATGGCCTTGGATACATTCATATGGTTGATTCAAAACTTCTTTCAGGGTCAGAAAAAGTCTTGAACATGCGATTTCAAGGCAATCTTCATCTGAGTACAGCTGGACTCTCAATCCTAAGGCATCATTGTTGAAAGTGAGTACTCAAGCAGAAAAGATCTCTGCAATGAGGCTGTAGAATAAACCAGACAACATGAATCCTATTTTGCTTCAGGTACATGGCTACATTTCAAGATTTGACAAAATGTAGTGACAAGAAAAAATGAGGAAACAAGAAAAAACTTGGGGATCAAGAGAGATGGTGATGATGACCATTTATTTGGTTTTCATCTCCAAGAAAATCAAGAAAATTCCTCTTCACAGCTTATGAATCCAAAAAATCACCCTCAGTAAAAACCATCCATCCGGATATATATTTCCCCCTTGCATGATCAAAATTGACTGCTCATGACTTCACCTTATTGATCAGCTTTGTGAGTTGTGAATCTTCTGTTCTTAGCTTGAAAATTACTTATGGACTACTCTGTCTCAGCCACCCTACAATAGTTTTAAATACTCAATAACCTCATGGCCCAATAAATCTAGGCCAAGAAGAGGGTTATGTTATGAATGATTGTTTGTTAATGCTGTATCTTCATGAATGGTCAGTCTGCTCTTCCTTATTGTTGTTAATATTCTTCAGATATCTCCCCAAAAGTAGTGGATGATGATGGTAATAGTTTGGTTGACTCAGAATGCTTATGATCTGAGCAGACAAGATTCAACTCATGCTTAGTATACAATATTAATGCTATAAAGTCATCAAGAACTCACAAAGTAGAAAATCAGAGTCCATATAGTCAAAAAATTCCAAAGACTTTTCTCCTGCATTCTGTGATCTGTATATGGTTCTGATCTTTTCAATTTGGAGACGCAAATCCGTTCTCGTTTGAACCAAATTTATCAAAATCTCATTCTCTTCTGGATGAAGTGTACACCTTATCATCAGCATACTATAAATGTCATATTCTAACTCAGGTGTTGATTTGTTTTCTTCCAAGTCTTGTATTACTTCTTGAATAGTCTTTGAGCTCAGTAAATCATTAGTACTCTTGGGTACATGCCCAAGAACAATCTTTCTCCGTCGATCTAGTTGATTCAAAATTTCAAAATTTGATCTTGCCAATGGTAAATGGAAATTTCTCCAGAGATTTTCATCACTTTCAACATATTTTATGATCTCTTCCTTGCTCATGGTGGGTTTCCAATAATCTATGAGATACTCGAGAATATAAACGGCATGTGTTGCGGGCAAGGAGGGAAACTCCATCTTTCTGAACATTGATGCAAAAATAACGATAGCTTTCTTGATATCCAGTTCCCCTGATGGAAGCTGTGCACTCAGGAAGTGGTTTACCACATATTCTTCGATATACTTGCTTGTTGGGGGAATTCCGTGACTGTTAGTCTCTTCCCACATTGCCTCATCATATCTTTTCAGCAATTGGGCTCGTTCGAAACATTCTTCCATGTCTGTGCGAGATGAAGTATAAGATTATTTCTCTCTGGATTCTGATTGTTCCGGAAGCATATGAAATTACAACTCACCAGGATTCATCTCATAGATGACTTTTTCCCTCGGGAAGTGACTCATGAACTTTTGAGTAAAAGAGGCTTCATATGCTGGTTAACAGAGAGCCCCCAAGATTGAAGTCAATATCTCAATGAGCTTATGGCATACGATGAGAGATTGGCTCACTCATAGCTGCCTTTACCTCCAAATACACGTAGTCTTTCCAAAGATTTTCTTCCAGTTGTTGTCTTAGGTGCAATATATTCGAGGGGAAATGTTTTAAAAGCCCAGCGACTATTCCGAGGGCCCAAAGCCTCTCAGTACCCTTCACGTTTTCATCGTAAAGAGCATCCTTAGCTGATATAAAACATCCAATTACGCTGTCTCCATGTCGAGAAAGATGCACTTTAAAACTGCGACAAGATGAGTCTGATTTCGAAATCAAGTCCGCGATGTCATGCGCTAACGCTTTGATGGTTGGTTGTAGCTTTTGATCGGTTTTCAACTTATTTGCTCGTTGAAAAAAGATAGAGACATGTGGTACCGAAGGCTTCGACGGAATTTGTATCACCTTTTTGACAAGTTTTCGGACCCCTGACTTTGGTTTTGCTTTATACACATCAAAATCTCCTCCATCAGGATCAACGACGGCGAGCTTCGAGACAGATCCTGTTCGGAGATCATGCAGGAGAGAGACTGCTCCGCGTACAAAGCTCGGTGCGAAGGCTTGAAAAGCCAACGGAATGAAGAGATACGATGATGGGTGCATGTTGCCTTGGATTGCGAGTGCGGTATCTAACAACAAGAACTTACGATCAAAGAGTCACAGTGCCAGGAATGGGAAGGTATGAAAGTCATCGTTTTTATGGAGGAGTGAAACCAGGTGAAACCTGAATGGTAAACCAGGTTACCAGAGTTCACAGTTTCTGTATGACACAGGAAAATGTTACAACCTTGTTTCCGTATTACATACAAGTTTACACTGCAGAAATTCCCCACACGTGGCCTCGCTGACTCCGACCGGCTCGGGTCGGTGTGTACGGTGGCTCTAAAGTGCCACGTGAGTCACTTGAACAAAAATGAAAAAAAGCAATGCACGAGGCCTGAAACAGTCCTGTCTGGAAGCGCGCCGACCCTGGCCCGCCTGGGTCCGTAACCCTCTCAGTCATCGCCAGGAGCAGGGTCCACATTTTTAATCAACCTTCAGTTACCTCCCTGCCACGATTGGCCATCTGCGTCAAAAACACTTTTTTTGATCCAGCCCCATAATCATCGAAGGACAGGAGTGCCACGACAGCCGGGCTCTTATAAGGTTAAATAAGCTTAAGTCCCCACCCACATTTCCTCCCACCCTATCCCCTTTGTCTCAACTTATTTTCATCATCCGTTTTGTCTCAACTTTTTTTCATCATCCATCTACTTTCTCCGTCAAAGATTCTTTTTTCATTTTTTCATTTTTTCATACTTGGTCATCCTCGTCCCTTAAAACACCTCGACACCTGCAAATGAATCAAGATTTTTGCTCAGGTTGCCATGTACGGCCCACATCACTACATGGTTTTTGTGATGTTTGCATCAAAATTCGCTTGACCAGCAGTTCAAGCTCACCTACTGAACCAAACAGACCTTCGATTACCACTAGACCTGGTCAGCAACCTCTTGGCGATCCCAATTCCCATAACATGTTCCCGGAGTCGTACCCTTCACAATTTCCCAACCCTAATCCGCCATCTTCCTACTCAAACATGCCACCGCAAAACTCACCTTTTCATGCTCATACCAATGCTTTTGACGCACAGGCTTTCAAGCAAGCAGCCGCAAAAGTTGCTGCGCACAACAACACTCTCAGATACCCCTCAACATCATCTACCTTTTTGCCGCCCTCCACCTCCTCCACACCGATAACATCACCTACTGCCCCATTTGATCCATTCGCCGCTGCCAAAGAGAACCGTACACGCCATGGGTCAACCTTCCCACCCAATACAAACAAGAACAAGCGCGGACGAGCAGTCTCTAGCGGATCAACATCCACCCGTTCACGAGGCCGAAACAGTTCAGACATCCCCGCATATGACGCATCTAGCCCGGTTATTACTTTCCTCTGTGGCTTTGAAACTTTCAAATCATCCAAATGGGCTAAAGTAAAGCCGCTCTCAGTAACTCGTACCATCGACATCTACCGTCCAGAAGCTTACAATGATCTGCGACTGGACCTTTGGACACACTTTCAAAGAGTCTTTGTCCCCAATGATATCATCGACACTCTCCCTCCGGCCGGTTTCGCTTTTACAACTTTGGGGAGTCAGGAAGGTTCAGTTAATAACACTGATCTCCAGTGGTGGTTTTCCCAAAACAGCTCAATCAATATTATCTATGACCATTCCCTATACGAATACAGTCTCGCTTCTAACAAATCTGATCATCCTCAAGCTCTCGATATATCATTAATTACAGAAGAATTGACGAAGAAAACCAAGATTGGTCTATGTAGTAAGCACAATTCTCACCTTACTCGCGTCATGTAATTTTTTTGAACCCCCTTTATCTCTATCCCTCCAGGCCACCAATTATCTTTGCTACATACCACAGAAGACAACACATTACAAGGAATCGAACGTTTCGGACGATCGACCGAACCCTCACTGGTACACACACCTCGTGCAAATTCGTGGGTTGCAGGCTTGCGATGGACGGTCCAGGAAGATGGAAATACAGTGGACTCTGATTTTGTTGCCTACCGTTGGCACCTTGGCGAGCAGCAGAAGGTGGGTCGAACTCACTCTGTTCAATCCATTGACCTCTGGCATCCGGATGGCCCCATTACATACATCAGCAAGTCCACCATAAAGAACTTCTTCAACCTTCGCATTGTAGCTCCTACAAACACAGCACGCTTATACAATGCAGTTGACATCTTAATTCGAGAGTTCGTTTCGTATGCCAAATCTGTATCTGGGCTCTCGAATCATACCGAGTTATGGAAGACACTCAATGAGTTACGTGTAAGTCATGTCATTATTTGTTTCAAAAACAATTACAAGTCTCATCGAAACAATTCACAACTGACTTCCTTGGCATGAATCCCAGCTGGTCGAGCATACCATCATCACTTCGGAAAAGCCGCCCGATAATGAAGATTCAAACCATATACCGGATGTCGAAGGGCCACACGAGGTGATGCATGTTGAGGAAGTTTTAAATCAACCTCTCGTCTCTTTTGCAACCTCGGGTTTTTTTGGTTTCGCTATGATCAACAAACCTTCCAATATGCACTACTTAATGGACGCCTTTTGTCATTGGACCTACCAAAACAGTAACGGTCACCGATTTGTGACTGATCTACGTGGGTATGGGTCAGTAGTCACCAACCCACAGATCCATGACGCCGATCCAGTGTAAGGCCCTTCTCTCTTCATCCGTTTCAATTTGATTAGTACTGACTCCCTTAGCTTGTAGAAATGTTTGGGGAAGCAGGAACGGGCGAGGTGCTGCTGTGGCACTCCTGCCTGATCAACACCAATGCCAGCTTGCCTGTCAGCTCCTTCAGCTCCCCAAATTGGTTCGAATTCCCGTGTCAATTCCCAATCCTGATTCAATATGGCAACACCGATTGCAACTACCAGGCGGAAGCAAAATCGAAGCTGGACATGTGGACCTTCCGGCCTTTTTATCTGCTTCGGCTAGCCTTGCTTCCCGCAACACCCCTCCTGCGCCTCCGCCAAATCTTTTCTGACCGCCTTGTAGATTCACGCGTTTGTCTTAACCGTTATATACTTGTACATCCTTGTTCATAGTTCTCTTTTGTAATTGTAACATTTGTATCTTCTTTGAAATATGAAGACGGCGCCCATTTCTTGATCACGTTGAGGATTATACGATCTTTTATTTGATAAATAAAAGATCGTATATTATCCGACTGCATCCGCAATGCTTACTTACGATTGAAACAGATGTTTCAATCGTATCACAGGTGTTTAACCTGTTCTGCTCCGCTTGCTTATATGATGTCACCATATAAGCTACAAACTTGACTTCGATTCAGCAGTCATTTGACCGCAACTTACGCCTGCAACGAAACCTCGATAAGAGATGACCAAAACCTTGAGTCCTAATCACATCGATCTTCTATCCACCACTAATCCATAAGGCTTTTATCCCACTCCCGATCATTATCTAGATAGCACAGCCAGCCCATAAAGATCAGGATATCTCACAAACTATCAAGTTCAAATGCTCACCCACACTCGCTCTCAAGATTGTCATGATGATTTCAGGAGGGACCTCAACAACTCTCAATTTCAACTCAATCTAAATGTGCAGGTATACATAACTTTGATACGTTGCATCAGAGGACTCAAATGCCCAGGGAGACATAATAAACAACAACTACGCAACTATGCATAAAGCTTAGAATCGATTCAGAAATCATGAACCACATCTACTCATAGTTGTTGCAGTCAATTCAGACGAGATTATCGTTTGGAGATTCAGAGTCAGAGCTCGTAGAACTCTGACTCTTCTATGTTGTGAATTCTGATTCTTGCAATACATCCTGATCGTTTGCAAACTTTGGTCTGATTGTTTGTTTAACCACCATTAATTCTGTATCTCGGCGTTCCATACCCTGGCAACTAACATTAGCGCAGTAAAATGAATCATCATGGTGCTCGTAGTCAACCTCGTTATTCTCTGCCGCACCCTCGTGTCTATCTCGACCCCTTGCAGTTGTAAAATCCAATTTTTGAATTGATATTATTCAGTGGTTTTCGATAAAGGTTCCCTCCCTGACATGAGAGAAAAACGTGGTAGTGACTGCATTGATGGACTGGGCTTCAGGGTTGTTGTCATGGTTTGCTCAGTTTGACTCGTGATAATTAATGGCCGATTGTGCCACGTATGAAACTGTTGGTCGAAATGTGGGCAAAGGACCAGAGGCAACACGGATCTCGTTGAAAACCCTTTCTGAGCTCTTCGAGAACAGCTTATACGATGGTAATGACAAAGAAACCACAAGCATATCAAAACCACAACGTTTGCTTGTGGATCCCGAACCCTGAAGGGTTCTTATGCCGTTGAGCAGTCATCTGGGGTTCAATAAAGCGAGGAATTTTGTCTTTGAATTCCTCGCTTCCCGTCCCAATATTACCTAACATCCCCAAATATCCAACAGTTTGATTTGTTCATTCTCATCCTCATCCGCCCAAAAGGTCTGAGAAGCACACTTCTTGTCCACTTCTGTTTTCATCAATCTGAATGCTACAGAATCCGGTTTTTGCAGATGGTGTATTCGCTGTTGTTTGCGTAGTAAGTATCAACACTCCTAATGTTGATGATCTCTGAGCTGACAAATACTCACAATTTGCACTTATCAAACAGCTTCCTCCAACCGAGTCCTTTCGTCCCTTGCTGGCAGGAACTTGTTTAGCTGAAGCAAGCTGCATGCTAAGTGGCGTCTCTGGCCATTCTTCGCATGTCATGCCACTTGTGATGCTTTATTCGCAAGGAGACGGCCCTCCGTTGAGAGCTGGTCACATATACCAGGCCAGTGGGCGATTTGCTTACGATGAGATCTCAGGCAAAATCCTTTTGGCAGTCACACCGACAAGGCTAACAGACTTGGGTCCTACCTCTGATACACACGGCCAACTGCCACCGATTCCAGTCAGAATATCAAGTCTTGGCACGCCTGTTTGTGCCGCAGTAGAGCCAGCATTGCATTTTGGCCCCGAAGTCATAGTCATAGCTGCAGAGCACTTGCATTGGTTTTCCGAGGTCAGTTCTTTCTACCTTCTTGATCAAACACCTTCTGATGTTTTTATTTTCTTGTATAAATCGGTAGCTAGGAAGAAACGTAGGAGGGGCCATTAAATACAGAGGAGATCCTGGGCTTGGTGTCTTAGAGCTGGACGACTTTAATGTCAATGGAGTGCAAATCTTCTTCTCTGGACACATAACATCTTGGGACCCAGACAATGAGGAGCTAACTGTACAGGTAATTGACCATAAAACCATTGTCAATAATAGTATCTCTCGAGTTAGTCTAACATCTGCTGAATATTTCAGGCCTCGGTCTTTGCCATAACCCATCAAGATATGGAGTAAGGAGCCATTTCTGAAAGAATTCGAACTTGGTCAATGAGACTATGGCAATCTTTTTTTTTCTTTTTGTTCTTTGGGGCTTGTCGTTTCTTTAAAAGGAAAAGATGTTTCTCTTTTCAAACTACACATGAGCAGGGGTTATCTGATTGTGCTTTGCATCATCAGCGAAATGGAATAGTTCCAATTCGTAGCGAAATTGTGATACCTGTATGTAAATACAAAAATTTGACAGGGCAAGGGCTGGAGGGTATGCCGTATAGAAACATTGGAACCTGTGGGTTATCAGGATCAGGTAGCTGTAAGCAACCTACAAGCCAAGCCCGTCAGAAGAGTCCTGAAGGCCCAAAACATGGCTACACAAGAAGCTATGTGTATCTATAGGTATTTATCAAAACAAAAAGCCTTTGCTCTACAAATGTAGAGCAAACGCTTTTTGAGATTGTTGCGAGAAAAACTTATGGAGAGACCTGCCCGCATTATATAGGCTAGGAAGTCAATTCCCACAGGAATAAACTATGTGATCACTAATATTCGTTGATGTGAAGTCCAATATAAATGTATGATTCAAATAAAAGAGAAGTACAATCCCAATCATATCGTCATCACTTGATCATGTTCAATCATCCTGATGTTGGTGGTGGCTGCATTTGACTAATTATAAGTTGATCATTTATAACATTTTATACTACCTTACATCTCTTCAGCGGAAAGATTATATACCTTTATCTCATATCAGCGAAATGATCTTATGTTCTCAAAAATATATTATTCAAAACAAGATATCTTCAAGGTTAACGGCTGCGGCTGAGATTGCTCTGATGGACACAAACCATCCGGAAATTCTGCTTGAAAACTTCTCAACGAGGCCTCACAAGATTGGGGAAAAGGATTTTTGGGATTGATTTGAATCGGGGGAGCATGTTCATCATGCTTTCAAAGATTGTTTGCTTTCAGAATCTAGGGGGACTGAGACATAGGGAGGACAACTAGATGATCGCGCAAGGCAAACTTATAATCAACTCGAGTGATTGTCATCACATCAATGTCAATCAACTACTATGTCAGAACATGACGGATATATTTTGAGATATTTGATTGAGGTGAAGAAATATCACAATTCAGTTGATAGGGTTGAGTGATCGTATACCCCTATCATTTAATGAATTGATAGATAGGTGTAGAACAAAGTAGAATATTTTGATTTTGGTAGTGGGATTCAGGAAATCGAGAATCAAAACCACAAGATGATAAAAAAAGATTGTAATTTTTGAACAGACACGGACCCGAGTAAAAGAGAAACTCAGATAGGGAATCACCAACTTTTGCGTGAGTAGATACATTGATCAGTTGTATCATCGAACGATCACATGATCAATTGTAGTCCTTGTGGTTGATGTATTTTATACTTGATTTTGAAAAGTGTCGGGATTTGTATTTGTATGGCTGATTGTAATAAGAGACAGATCACGGCAGCCTTTTTTTTAAAACATATCAACATGACCCTCAACTAACAACTAAAGTGGTACTCGACCGAATCTCTTTTGGACAGAAACTACGGCTTGTTCGTGGTTAGTAGGTACACGAGGCTGTCCTGGGGGTGTTGCGAGTAAGGACAAATCGTAGGCTCGCATGAATCCAAGGATCTGGTCAAACGCTGTCCAAACGTTATCCATATTGATCGTTGCGGGATCTATCTGTAAAGCTGGTTGTGCGGCGGTGACAAATTCTGTAAGCCACTCGGGAGATGTGATCATGAGTTGCTCTGCGTTAGGATAATATTGAGCGCGGAGCCCGTCAACACGCTCCGGCGGCACAGGGATGAGACCTTCAACTCCGTTTGCTGAGACGGGTGCGTAGTAGCAGTAATTGGGGGCGCACGCGGTGGGAAGGACTGTTCGTTTGTCGCGTCGCTTCCTATACGAATTATAATCGTGCATCCATTTGTTCAAAGAGTCCTGAACCAACGGGACCCAAAGATACAGAAACAGGAGCCTAATTGAATACAAGAGATCATGTGTTAATGAAGAAGTCGATTATTGCCTCATAGCTTCAGACTTACTTTTGGAGTGGGTCGTCTGCATTGTACTGTCCAGTTTCCATTGATTCAAACATCATGTCAATCAATGCTACATTATGCTGAGTCATTAGTTGGGACCATAAACATTCTACTTTTTGATTTCGAGGGGAATCAGTGAATGAATGGCGATGGGAAGCTTGCTCTGGAGTGAGGTTTGCAAACTCGTAAGATAACTCGATTTGATGCGCAGCCAAGTTGATCGTCTCAGTTCCATGGTCAGTTACGGTTTTTTGAGGAATTCCTCCAATTCGCTTGACTAGATCAAGATAATACAGGCCTATGTGAGCTGGGTTGTTGTTGGTAATATGGACAAAGAGACCGAGGACGCGTCGAGACCAAGCATCGATAAAACCATATATCGTGATGCCAAACTTTTTGAGCTTATCGTGGCCATCTGCGGACCACGCGTGATTGGGACCGGGCACATAGAAGGTACGACGTTGAATCGAGGCGCGCAAACGGGATTCAACACCTTTGGCATCCATCTGTTTGACCATAGTACCCACGATTTTCCTGAGTCCGAATAAGATAGATTGTCAATCATTCATATAAGATTTTGATTGGGGTATAAGTCCAGAATACTGACCGATGGACAGAAACTTGGTATTGGTTCCGGAGGATATGATGGACGCGGCGGTATCCAGCTCGCTTACCATCCGCGCGCCGCTTTGAGTGTCGAATCAACTCAGCCACATCTGCCAAGGTAACTAGTCCTTGATCAACATCATCTTTCCTGCGTTGTAGGCCAAGCAGCGTGCAGCGTCGCGCTAGGGTGCGCGGTGAGATATTGATGTCATGACGCTCTTCAAGTATCGAAAGGAGGTGCTCCGCGACAAAACCTTGACCGTGATAGAATCGGATGAGATTATTCTGAATTTCTTGAGTTTCATTATCAGGCCCTATTTGCAATTCCCAGTTGGAGCGGGCACGAGTGATGGTGCTCTGCGAACAGGTGATACCATGGTGAGTTGATAGATCGTCCTGTATCTGGCGGTTGGTGAGGCCTTGCTGAACCAGTGCCGCAACAATAGGCCGATAGGCTTCGGTTAGGATTAATGGATTCGGCATAGATCGTACTTGATGATGAAGAGGTGTAGGGGAGGTTTTGTTTATGAGGACATGGGAGAATTTTTTTTGTTAGTTAGGTTACGCTTGGATGTTGACCATGTCCCGGTAGAGTCCGGTGTAGTAAAGACCGGTTGGTATGCAGGAGAACTTCGAGTCCTCACAACTTTGGCAAATATCATGAACTCACGTGCCATGAGCTGCCAGGTGAGTCGTGTTTCATGTAAGAGGCCGATTGAGCAGATTCCTCGGACAATCAAAGGTCTAGACGTTGTATGACAGCGGACTGATAATGCGGGCCAGGGTCGGCGCGACGCCAAGGGGTCATTGTTTCAGGGCTGATGGGATAATTTCTCTTTTTCAACGAAGTGACTCATGTGGCGCTTTAGAGCCACCGTAGGTGTGGGACTTTGTTTCCAGCACATACGTAACATAATATATCTGCCAGAATGGGAAATACAGGATGTGATGGTCAGTCCAAGTTTGTGGGTGGGACACAAGAAGTAGTACAAAGACTATGTGCCTATCTGAGATCTGGCAGTGTGCCATCCGCCATGAGCTAAGCCTGGTGATTAGTCAAAATTGAAGTGTATGGGTTGTGAGCAGGCTGTCACAAAAGTTCACAACCTGCCAAAGGTCCAACCAATACACTCAAAGAATACAAGCTTTCATGTCCCTTCAGGAAGGGTGCTAATTGCTCACAATATATTGTGAAGTGACAATGACATGTAGCCATTCTGATAAGTATTTTGTTTCTTGCACCCTGGCTGACAAAACCGAGACAAAAGAGTGAAGCTCTGTCCACTTTGATCAGCAATGCCACTGATTTTTTTCAGAAAATCAGAATCAGCGGATTGGAAGATGTCTCAGCCTTAAAAACTGAACAAGGGGTTTTGTAAAGTGGCAAGTTTTTGAAGAAAGAAAATTCAATACTCATTGGAATAGCTGTATGATTGGCTAAATTAGGGGCAACATCAGCTTTGGATTACAAGCTACATTAATTGGATTAGTCATTTTTTGCTGATTGGCTGATTTGTTGAAATTGAATGATGAGTTTCTCAAATAAGTGATTCATTTTGAGAATCATACACACTCTTCTTATTCTTTAATGGGGTGTTCACAAGTGTATGATTTGTGCCTTGACAAATCTCAAGTTGTTGATTGATACATTCCCTGCCTCACTAGAGTGTAATGGCCACAATTCAGGCACTGTGGAGAAAAACTTTACCAGATATGCGGATTGGTTTTTTGAGCCACTAATTGAATTTCTTGTTTTATTAAGCTCTCCATTTATTGCCTGTCTTCTTACAAAATCTTACCTCTCATTGATCATCTCCCTGTCACATACTTAATAGGAGCTTCCCTGAGTCCTGATTTAGAAGAACGAGCTCGGAGGGAAGCCAACATTCTGTATCAATAAGATCTCAAAGAGTCAAATGACAAAAAATGTGTACTGTATGTACTTGAAACCTTGGTGTGATATGTGTTGTGGCCATTGTCACACAGCAAAATAAGAATGATAACTGATTGTGAAGTTATAAAATTGAACTAAAGGTGATTTTGGTATGAAATTTTGTATCACTCATAATGAATGAGCAAATATTTGTAAATGGTTAGTCTACTATATATGACATGTTAAAAATTGATTCACATGTCTCCTTCAGGATCAGGTAGATTACATTTTACTCTTTTGGCAGTCTGAGGAGTCTTGTGAGCTGGACAACAAACATGACTGGCTAACATGTACTTATCACTATAAGTCTATCCAATCACTCACTAAGTAGGTAATTTGAGTTTATATAGTTAAAGAACTTGAAAGAATCTGTTCCCCAAATCATTGAGTTGTATCTATTTCTTTTTCTGATATCTTGGATTTGAGAAGCCAGAGACTCTGTATTCTGAATTGCATCAATCAAAATCTCATTTACCTCTGGATGAAGTGTACACTCTGTCATCAAAAGTTTATATATCTCAAATTCTATGTCAGGCATTAATTGTTTGTCTTCCAATGTCTTGATCAAACTTTGAATAGCTTCTGGGCTTGGTGTAAGATGAGTATTCTTTATTTCATTTGGGATTAAGTCTTTTATCTTTAGTGGATCTTCTTCATTCTCAATGATATTTTTCAAATGTAATCTTGCAAATGGTGAATAGAAATCTCTGTAGATTTTTTTGTTGGTTTCAATCAATTCAAGGATCCTTTCTGTGCTCATTGTGTGCTCCCAATAACGGGTGAGATAGATGAAAATATTGATAGCTTCTTCTGCTTTCCAGATAGAGTACTCCACATCCTTGAATATTGCAGAAAATTCCTCTATGGTTTTCTTGATATCCTCTGTTTCTGATGGAATTCTCACACTCAGGAATTTGTTTACCACATATTTTTCAAGATTGTGGCTTCTTATGGAACCACTCATCCGCATGTTCCTTTCTTGTCTAGCCAGGAAGTCAGCTCTTTTAAAACATCTTCCATCTCTGTGAGAGGGGAGTTTAAGATGTTTTTGGTCAATGTTTGATGGTTATAGAAGCTTATATGGAGTCATAACACACCAGGATTCTTGTTATAGAATGCTTTTCCTTTCTTTAAGTGACTCCTAAATTTGTGACTTAAAGAGGCTTCAAATGCTGGTTCAAAAAAACACAAGTCAAATATCAACTTGAAAGTAGTAAACAGTCAATGATCTGCCATGAAAAATTACTCACCTAACGCTGCTTGTATCTCTAGATATATGTAGTCTTTCCACAGATCTGTCGCCAAATGGGATATTACCTTTGATGCATCTGAGGGGAGATGTTGCAAAAGGCCAGCCACTGTTCCAAGGGCCCAAAGTCTTCCAGTTCCTTGTACTTTTATCTCTTCGAGAGCAGTCTTAGCAGAATTGAAACATTCAATCAAAGCATCTTGATTTTCAGAAAGATGCGCTTTGAGTTTTTGGGGTGATGAAACTTTTTTTGGAATCAACTTTGCAGTCTTACTGGCCATATTCCGGATACTTTCTTCAAATGTTTTGTATTTCTCCACCTTTTTAGCTTTTTTGAAAAAGGTCTCATATGGTACAGGACGGCTTGGTGAATCTGCATTCATGAGCAATCTAACAAATCGAGACTGGTATTTCTCCATTGAGATTTGCGATATTCCAGCGTTAAAGGGTTTCACAGATCCAATGAGGTTTGCATTGAGAGTGTGAGGAGGATGAGATGGAACGCTTTGAACTATGCCATCAAGATCAACCACTGGGGCCTTCAAATCTGATCCTGTGAGGACATCTCGCAGGAGAGAAACTTCCCCGCCTACGAAGATAGGCACGAGGACATGAAAAGCCAGATGGACGAAAAGAAATAGAGATGGGTACATCGTGTCTTGAGTTACGGACTTGATATCAAGCAACGTAAACCTAGTGTCAACGCCGGATGAGTGTCAAATGGTCAAGACTTGAGTCCCATCGACAGTGTTGCACGAGTGCAAGCCAAATATATAAAGAAAGCTGAAACATGGTCAGTGAAGCCTCAATTCTCGCCTGACACGGAAGAGTCTTGCAACGCTTACATCTCTACGTAATGCGCAGAGGAAAGATTAACCAGACTGATAAAAATTTCATCTTACATGCCGTGATTCTTGTCTCAAGCAACAGAAGAGTCCAGCTTTTGGCCGCGGCAAAAGAAGCTCTGATATCACAGGGTTTTGAGACGACTGGCTTCAATTCAAACTTTTTTACTTCGCAAGATGTATTTTGCGCAACATTCTCCAGGTGTGTGACATGTTGAGAATTTTTAAAGATGGTTCACAAGTTCTATGGTGGCTAATGCCTAAAGGCCGAAAAGGGTCTACTGAAGATAGCAATCGATATTAATATTTGGGAGAAGATCGTTTCACGACTTTAGGAGCTAGCCACCAGTTTGGGGATGCTTTGTGTGCTATTGTATGATCTGGCAGTGTAATTTGCAAGATTTCAGTATGTCTGAACTTTGTCGTGATCGCTATCGCTTTTATGTCGATGATTCAGTTTTTTTGTATAATCCTTTGGATGATCAGTGTCGATCTCAAAGAAAGCAATTCTGCTGATTATACATTATCATGGAAATCTCCTTCAGAGACTACGGGAGGTGGTCACAAGGATTGTGTATGGTCGATCAAGGAGACGACGAATTCCAACGAGAGTTTGTGGTATTTATCGAAGAAGCAATGACAGTGGGAGGGTAAGCATGTTGTCTTGTGTGACCGTGACTGTCGTAAATGAGGTTATGACGTCATTTGTTTTTTCGTTACTTCCTGCTTTACTTACCATTCATTGCGGATCACAAATCGAAAAGTTCTCTTTACCTTCACCTTACATCGGAATCTGTCTCAACAATCCTTCGCCTTCTAAATCTTGAGTTCCGTACGTGATATATGTCATTTAGCCATGATATATCTTCAGAGTCTGAATTTCTTTCAAAAGCGTATTCTACTTTTTCAATCAATTGTTTTAGTTTTGGCTATCGGGTGAGCCAGTATACCATTGTATACATATGCAAAGAAAGAAAATATATTCTCAAAATGAAGATATGTTGACGATGATGTCAAGCTGATACAATGATGGTTATGTGTTCACTTATTACCTTCATGAGGCTATAAAGTGATTTTACAAGGATAAAAATGTGCATATAAAGAATAAAATGAGTTTTTTTGGATCGTGATATTACATCCAACAAACGAAATGACAGTTTTGTAACCTTGAGGAGTCCCAAAACGTTCGATAATAATTTTACATAGTTGATGAGTATCAAGAATTAGCACCATCCAACATGTTCAAGGCATCTTGAAGCGATCGTTTAGCAACGAATCTGATCAATCGATTCCCAGCTGTTGTGCTCCCGGGGTCGGATTGAGGAGATTCAGTGGAGTTAGGAGATCCAGTTCTACTTCCACCTTGTGATTCTTGTACATTCTCAAAAACGGTAGCCAAGGTTGCATGTGGACCTTGAGACCACTGACTTGCGATAGCCCTTTCTTCAACCGCAGACCTTTCGATCGGAGTATTGTTTGAGATTCCGTGATTGGACCTGGTAGGATCACTTGAAGCACATTGACGTGCAACCACATCTGCGAGTAATTGTAGATTTGCGTTCCCAATGTTAGGATGAACTTTGAGTTTTCGCCATGCGTCCGAACATGAAACCATCTGTTCTTGATCATCCAAAGCTATTGTCTCAAAACATGATTGTGAGCCGCACTTCGTAGGTTCTCCACAGCAAGGTATATTGGTATAGATGTCAACTATCGGATCCGAACGAGCAACTTTCAAGCCAATCTGATCAGATGGGGTGGTATCGGCTTGTTGTGCCGTTGTTGAGTTCGAGATTGCGGTACAAAATGCCTTTCCGAATCTACATGGACGATAATTCGATAAATCACATACACTCTCATTGTTCAGGATGGTTATATGGTAAAGAGAGACTCACGCGTCGTCGCAGCAGGCAGGGCAATCGCTCGGGTTACCGCTACAATCACCTTTGCTATCTTGATTAGCGATGGTATTTTTCATTGAACCTGAAATCGTTGGCTGTGATTCGACGAATTGATCGGTGAAGTCCCATAACTTAGGTGGTTTCACAGTAGACCGAGGTCTTGAGCGGATTGGGACCGATATGCTTTTGGACAGATCGTTCTCAGAGATATCGACAATCTTATGCAAGGGTCTAAGACCAACCTGACGACAAACGCAGTCGGCTTCGGATGTACACAATCCACAGCCATCATCCATAACATTCAAGGGCGTTTTCATCAAACTCGGGTCTAGCCCGTGTTTAAGATTGTTAACACGACTAGAGTTAGATCTAGTACGATGAGTGTTGTTCACTACAGGGATGTGCATCATCTGCTGCTGATCGAGTTGATTGAGTGGAGACAGAGTGGTGTGTTGTCGTGGCTTCTTGGAGGTTGAAATTTCGGCAGAACTTGGTGATCCTTCGCAGTCGGTCACTGGTTCATTACGCCTCTTGGTGATGTTTATAGGAAGGCCAGCGGTCGTCGGGACATTTGTGGCGGGCTTAGGTGTTGAAAGTGAGAGCTTTTTTCGTAATCTAGTCACTTCGGTTCGCAAGACTTCGAGGTGACCTTTCATTACATTGTTCTCTTCCTGATAGCGACTGGCCTTCGATTCAAGATCGGATGCCAAGGTTTTGTAATGATCTACCTCTTCCTTTTTTTCCTTTTGAAGAGTTTCTACCCTTTGCTCCAATAATTCGATATATTTGGTTTGTACGGAGGTTGCTGCGCTTGAGACTTCCGTTATAGCTTGCAAAGAAGAGCCAACATTGACGGGGATGGCAACATGAGTGGGGTTGGAATGAGTTGTTGCATTGTTCGTGGGCTTGGGATTGGTGACCTTTGGAGGTTGCTTGGGCTGTACACGATTTGTTGACGTGTTCGATAGATGATTAGGGTCAGATTCACTCGAGACGCCAAAATATTTGGAGAACAAGTCACACCTCTTTAGGTTTTCGCCCAGGCTTAGGACGCTCAGGTATAGTCCATTTGGTCGGAACGTCTCTGCGCTCCGCTCGAGGTGCGGAAAATGGAAGCTGGTTGGTTAATAGATCGGGATGGATCGGGGCAGGCTGTATAGGTAGGTTCTTGGAAGCCAGCTTTGGTCTGATAGGTTGTCGTTCTATGTTGCCTGCTATCAAGATCCTCGACCAACAGCTAGTAAGCAAAGGATATGCAGTATGACAAAGGAAGCAAGGTCACTGACATTGTGAGGTTTCTCCAGAAGCTCCACCTGGCGTGTGGTCTTTGTTTATGCTCATTCTTGAAATTCAAGTTATCTTGAAGACTGGATATCTATCTGTGAGTTTCAAACTATTCAAACCACTATTTCCCAATATCAGATACGGAAGATATTTTGTTATATGCAGTCGTCCACATTATTCAGACTCTTGAAGGGGAGATAGCCTGCATATGAATTGAATCTTCACGTACATGGAGGCAGAGGCAGCTGGAGTCACTTGCCTCGGGAAGAGCGTGATGGAGACTTTTGGTGTTCAACGAGATATCAATGGATTCGAATAGGATTGGCTGCACAAGGGTTGGCCTCTTGGAGGTTGTCGTGATATAACGCCAGACGAGGCGAACCATAAGACACGATCGTTTGTAAATAGACTTTAGTCGTCTTGAAATCAATGAGACCAGTTTAAGAGTCACAAACAGGCACACTCGACTGTCAAAACAAATCAAATCTTGACTTTACACCCGTAACATACATACTACGCCCGGTGCACTGGAATCGGGCGGGGCAGGTCTGTGAGTGTGTCAATAGTGGCTCTCAAACCTGACCCAGTTTCAAAAAACCCGGTTGCCCCAGTTGAATTTTTGGCTGGGAGCTGTCAACAAATGTCAACTTGATACACAAAGTTACTGCCAAAAAACAACTGGGTCAACTGGGTTTTTTGAAAACCGGGGCAGGTTTGAGAGCCACTAATGTCAGTGTGACCAGCCCTTTGTTGGCTGTTTTGGTTTTTTTTTTTTTTTTTTTTTTTTTATTGCATGGTTTTAAGTGTTTTTTCAGTCCTAGGACTATCAAACACTCTGCACTTATTTCTAGTACCGGTAAAAACCCTGTGGCTGTTCAGGGAAAAGGTTACTAGTGGCTGTTTAGTGTGCGCGTACAAATGTACGATGGGTTTTACAAATGGTTATAGGCGATGAAGTAGGGGGAAGAGAGTTTTTCACTCTATGGGGAGGGGGATGTTCTTTGGATGAGGCTCGTCAACGACGCTAGCCCAGACCCATCTGTCTCTGAATCTCCATGTTGAGTTGCAGAAGTCTGCAATTGCTTTGAATGCTTTGATGTTCGAGAGCAATGTCTTGTTCCACCTCCAACAAATTTAAATCGCATCATGGCATGCGCGCTCACGTCGCGTTTTGGGATGCGATTTCAGATCGCATATGTGACATGCGATGAAACGCCTGTGCGATGTGAGATCGCACAGGTTTCATGCGATCCAACTTGTGAAATCGCATCCTTTTGTGCGATTTGACTCAGATCCGATTTAAAATCGCATAAACTCAGCGTGACCTTATCCTCAGGCGAATCAAGATCGCATTGGCTCAATGCGACTCAACCGCTCAGGCGATTCATGATCACATCAATCAAATGCGACTCAACTGCGCAGGCGATTCAACCCATGGGATCGCACCAAAAATATCCGAAAAAATTGTCTCATCGCTACACTTAAATGCGATCCAACCTCGCCTTGTTTCATGCGATTCTACCCCGGATTTATTATCGCATCCTCCCATCCGATTCAATCCCACTTGCCATTTATGAAGAAATGATTGAAAAGTTTCTTGATCAAATCACAAACTACACAATTTTAATTCTTGTATGTTGCGCAGCTTGAACTGTGACCTGGCCTTGAGAATGAAATCTTGATTGAAGGGCTAGCTGTGACGGTGAGAAAAGTTACTTTACCATCTCGTAAGATAGCTGGATTTACTATTGATGACAAAGGAGTCCTGACAAAGGAGTCCAAATCAGTCTTCTTTACTGCTTTCATTTCACACTATAAGTTTTGAGAAATTATTTTGTACTTCTTACATATCCAGGAAGAATTCCACCAACATATTGAACTGTAGTAAGATATCTTCTATTACCAGAAGTGGTATGACATTCAGTAGCATTCCACCCAACCTCTGAAAGAAACACGAATTGCAAATGAGTAGGGACCTACAACAACTTGTGTTATACATGAAATATGTGTAATCTATTGGAATCAATACATATTTTTGAAAATGTAAACAAAATTTCAATGAAGGTCACTTTTAATTGTGAACTTCATGCAAAGTTCACAGAAAATTGGAGTTCGCATTTTTTTGTGAACTTCATTATTTGTATATGACCAAATCATGTCCTCAGATTTCTATTGCTTTCTGCCATCTCTTGGGTGGTTTACAATGGTTGAAAGTTGGCTTTTTTACGTAGTTGACGCTACAACAATATGTGGTATACATAAAATATGTGTGTTTTATTGAAATCAATGAACCTTTTTAAAAAAGATTAAACAAAACTTTGATAAAGTACATATTGAATTGTGAACTTTTTTCAAAGTGCACAAAAGAATGTAAACTCCATAAACAGTTCAAAATGGAAGTTTACAATGACACTTGAACTTCATCCAAATTTCACATTTTTTCGTGAACTCCATCCAAAGTTCACATATGTTTTGTGAACTTCATCCAAGGTTCACATTTTCTTGTGAACCTTTTCTGAAGTTCACATCTTTTTGTGAACATTTTCCAAAGTTCACATTTTTTTGTGAACTTCATTCAAAATTCACATTTCATTGTGAAGTTTTTGTGAAGTTCACATTTATTAGTTGAGTTCACATTCATTATTTGTATATGACCAAATCTTGTCCTCAGATTTCTATTGCTGCCATCTCTTGGGTGGTTTACAATGATTGAAGTTGGCTTTTTTATGTAGTTAGACGCTACAACAATTTGTGGTATACATAAAATATATGAAGTTCACAAAAATTTCACACAATGAAATGTGAACTTCACAAAAGGTTCATGATGAAATGTGAACTTTAGATAAAGTTCACCAAGAAATGTGAACTTCCAATGGTTCATATTTTATGTATAATACAAATTGTACGCGTTTCTTATGTATAAAACAAATTGTACGTATATTCCATGTATGATACAAATTGTACACACATTTTTTTCATGTGTAATACAAATTGTACGCATATTTTATGAATAATACAAATTGTATGCGTATTTTGTATAATACAAATTGTTGTAGCATACAAGTACGTAAAGAGAGCCAACTTTTAATTATTGTAGACCACTCAATAGATAGCAAAAAGAAATTGAAGTTTAAGGACTTCATCTCATCAGAAAACAAATGAAAAATGTGACATTCACAAAAAGTCCAGAGGAAAATGCAACCTTCAGATGAAGTTCACAAAAGTATGTGAAGTTCACAATAAGATGTGAACTTCAGATGAAGTTCACAAAAATAAGTGAACCTCAGATGAAGTTCACAATATGATGTGAACTTCAGCTGAAGTTCACAAATATATTTGAACTGTAGACAAAGTTCACAATATGATGTGAACTTCAGAAGAAGTTCACAAAAATATTTGAACTGTAGAAAAGTTCACAATAAAATGTGAACTTCAAATGAAATGAGATGAAGTTCACAAAAATATGTGAACTTTAAATGAAGTTCACAAAAATATGTGAACTTTAGATGAAATTCACAAAAATATGTGAACTTCAGATGAAGTTCACAATCAAATGTGAACTTCAGATGAAGTTCACAATTAAATGTGAACTTCACCACAATTTGACAATACAATGTGAAGTATAAATGCAGTTTACATAAATATGTGAACTTCAGGAAAGATTCACAATAGAATGTGAACTTAATCACAATTTTGCTTACATTTTATCCAAAATTCAACTACGGTCAACCAGCCAAAAAATAGCAGGAACAAATAGAAGTCTGAGGGGTTGATCTTCCCCCCAAAAAAATGCAAAATTCTGACAAAGTTCACAATAAAATGTGAACTTCGGATGAAACTTCATCAAAACTTTATTTACATTTTCAAAAAGGTGTAGCAATCCATAAACTACGCATATTTTCTGTATAAAAAAAGTTGTTGTAGGGTAATATTAGGTTAGGTGTAGCTCCTCAGCAGCCAAATCAAAGCTCTCAGAATGTGCATCATCATAGTGCATAACAAGTTTCACTGAAGAGGTTGTAATAAAAAAACAACTGGCGGCACAGCCTTTCCCATCTCCTCTGTCTCTCCTATTTTGAGAAAAACGTTTTCAAAAATAGAAATTGAAGCCTTGTTATTGCTCAGCCTTTGAAACTTTCAGACTCAAACTCTTCTATATTTATCCCTAAAGATTCAAAAGCACTGGAAATTTACAGAAATGAACAGCAAAGATACAATGTAAACCCAAATGCCAATCCTAAATCTTTTCAGAAAAAAGTGACTGAAAAAGAAACACCAAGACTTACTAAAGAAGCATTTGTTCCATTTGCAAAACATCGCCTTTCCAAGGTTTTGGTTGTTCATGCAATTGTTCCCTAAACTCTTCTTTAAGCTTCATACAGTTCTCAATTGATATGGCGGAAACAAAGTCGGCTGAACATTCCCCAAGCAAAAGATTTGATTAATGTGAATAATAACCGAATAATTACAGCTGTTTTATCTCAAAGATTGAGCACAGCTTACCAGCTACCTTGATACAATTCGCTAGATTACAGACTTGATGTGCCGTGTACGCAGGTATGAAAACTGCTTCTCCAGGTTTCTATTTCATTTATTCAATGCAAACGAGTCATTGGTCAAAAAAAGAATCTATGAATTTCCAACACCAATAAAAAGAAACAATCACAGACCTGTCTAATCTCATAGCCTTTCACCCCATATTCTTTGCGCAGTTTGTTTCTCATCTCAGCGTCAATGTAAGTTCTTGTCCTATAATTAATTTATCCAAAAAGCAGATCAAATCAGAAACAGTCGCCATCATGAAAGATATGATGAACAAACATACACGTGAATTGGATCATCATATCCACTCTTAACCTCTTCAATCGAGATCCCTAATTGTTGAGCATGATGTTCATAGAGAAATTTACGTACTTTCTCCGTATCATTAGCATGATATAGATGCCATAAAGACTGGGGATCAGATCAAAAATTACTTCAGTGTTTTGCTATATTGTTGTGAGTCGTAAATTGAGATCTCAATCTAAAGCATATCAGATATGTTTGCTCACACAACCTTCTATTCCTTCCGGATTACATCTGGCATACGTTTGGATATTGATGGCATCTACAACAAAAAAATCATGAATTGATCTTATATATCAGGCACCCGGAATTTGATTGATAAAAGTTGGCTCAACCTGACATGTCCATATGGAGACTTCAAAGCAAACAATCCCAGATGAACGGTTAGATGGATGTCAAAAAGAAAGAGATCAATCTTGATTTAGATCAAACTACAAACCCGGTTGATCCAGATGATCCACTTTGATCTGAAGTTTGCATAGCAATGTACATCTATATAATCCATCACTCAAAGCAGTCAACACAAAGCCAACATGTGAAAGAGAACAAAGATTCAAGACAAAACTCACCTTTGGTCCACTATGTCAGAACAAACAAAACTATTAGTAAGAAGGAAACAGGATGATTGATGGTCGCATGGAAAAGCAGATTATCCAAAAAGGTATCACTTACATATCTGGTACGTTTGCATTCTTAGGAAAATGAGCTATGAGATTCTTCAATCCAGTTCGCCTAGTGCTCTCTCCCATGGGTACTGCTCTCTGGAAATCTTCAAATAAGTCACGAAACTTCAGATTCATGTCTATCTCGGGTGGCCAATCCTATAGGCAACAATTAGACACAAGCACATTCAGAAAACTTTACCTCTAAGTGAGCAAAAGAATACAGACAAACCCTTAGTTTCCATGCTGTTGCATCATGGAAATTCGATCCTTTGAATCTCTCAAAAAAGTCTGCAACATTTGTCTTGATGGTGTCACCATGCGGCGAGTTGGAGTCCAACATGCTACACTGTTCCTCTCCATAATTTGTGCTCAGATATTCAGGATCCCAAGGTAATTCCATTCGATCTTGAGTCCCAGTCACCACTAGAGGAACCCCGGATGACCAAATCTGATCAAACATCATGTGAGTAGATTCAAGTGTGTTAATATCTACTTTATAATAAGGATCACTTTCTGAATCCGGTGGATGATGAATGAAGTCATCAATAGCGACAGGTGGAGGTGGAGGTGTGGTATTGATGGAGTCTTGTCGAAAGACCTTATCGATCTCTTCTAAGTATTTCAAGATTTCTTCCCGAGCTAGATGTGATACTTTGAAGTGTGAAGAAGTGTCATGTTGAGATCCAAACGCTTTCACACAACGACCAGTCCGTTTGATCCAAGAAGAATGACGATTGTGTCCATCTGCACCGTTTCGATTGTCCTTTTCTTGGTCATGTTGATCAGACAGTGTTTGAAAGATGTTGAAGCACATCACACATGCTTCCTTCCCACACCTTTCACACATCCAAGCTACTCCAATCAACGTTGTCGCACAATAATCACATTGAGTTGATACATCAATCCTTCTACCGATAAAAATGACACTTTGACTTTTTTGAAATTCGATCAACTCTCTTTGCAAGACAGGTTTCAATGCTTTTCCAACAGTTCTCCTTAGATTAATTAATTCATTCATATGTTCAGGTAATTCGTTGAATATCAGAAATTGAGCTTGACGATAAGAAGTTTGAAAGGCTGTTTGATTAATAGACTCGAAGATTGGTCCTCCTACTAATTTAGCTGTATGTTTCTCATAGATCCATGATCAAATATGAATAAATGCGCAGATAAATCCCCCTTTTCTACTAATACAAGATGAACATCTATATTTTTTCAATTCTGACGGTAATGATGCACAATTCCTACTCTGTATTTGATATTCAAATTGTGGCAATAGAGTTCCATTAGAATCTGACAATTGCTCAAAACTAAGTAATATGATTCGTGGATTTTTTTTAGACTTTTCCATTGATTCATTCTTTAATTTTGGAACTAATAGGTTGGCGTTGTGAATGGATGGATTGTTGGCGTTTGGTAAATTAAGAATCAATTTTTTTTTTTTTACGGGTTGTTCGATGTCTAAAGGTTGAGTCAATGATGTGGATGGAGATGAATGTTTGTCAAGAGACTCTTCATTTGCACTTGTCCCACTGATAGATATGGTGAGCGGATCTTCAAAGCAAAATTCTTTCTGTTTCTCGTTTGTAGATTTATTCATTAATTTGTTCTCTAATTTTGGAACTGAGATATTGGTGTTGTCAATGGATGTATTGTCGGGGTTTGGTAATTTAAGAATCAACTTTTGTTTTTTTTTGATGGGTTGCTGAATGTCTGAATTTTGAGTCACTGATACTGATGGAGATGAACGGTCTTGTTTGTTGGAATACTCTTCATCCTCACTTGCGCCGCTGATGGATAAGGTGATTGGATTTTCAAAACGCAGTTCTTCCTGTTCCTTCAATCTGGCTTCTCTCAGGCTCTTGGATATTCGTATGAAAGTTTGTGTGTTTGAAGAATACATGTCCTTCCATCCGTCTGCGCTGGGATCGTGTAAATGAGGCCATTCATGGTTGAGGATCGGTATAGGAAGTGTAGATGTGAAAGTGAGATCGAGGGGGACGTAATGTGTTTTGTTATTTACATGAGCAATCACAATCGGTCGTATATCAGAAGGGGGAGGTGAAAAGAATGGGAATGTGTGCATGGTTGCAGCGTTGTATTGAGTATAGAAGATGACAGGCTGGTTGTATGTGTTGGCAATGAGAGTCATTCCACCTGGCATTGGGTACCAAAGGTCTCGGCCTGCTGAGCTGTCTGGGTTTTGAAGTATTGCGAGTAATTTTTGTATATCATAGTTGATACACAAATCCGGGATGTACTTCTCGTACCAATCATATCGCATACGAACCTCCAATTCCATCTCACTACGAATAATGGTTGCTTCTTCTGGTGACCGACCAAGGCAGACAGCGATGGACGCAAAAGAGCAAAGACCTTCGCCTGGCACTTCGGTGACATTTCTTAAGAAAGGGTACAGGTAAGCGGGAATTTCATCTATGTAAGGTAAAGGCTGGAATGTGATATAGCAAGTCAGTGTATGCTCTGCTGTGATGTTGGGATCCAAATATATCAAATCTTCCTGACCTTTAGCATTTCATGATCTACTGTAGTGATTCTGTTATCACTCTCTGTTTGTTGAGTCGGTGGCTAAACGTAAAAGTAGATTGCACAAAAACAAAAGTGCATGACTTCAGCATTGAAATGAGCTGAGGAGAAGGGTTTGACTTACGGCAGAAGGACCTTGTTTGGGTTTGATACCTTGGGAATCGGATTGTAGGATGAGTTGGCTGGCCTTACCACATGTAATCGGAGCAGATGATTCGGTAAGAGTAACCAAAGGGGCATGATTTGTCTTGCGCTTTTTTGATGGGGAGTTGACGACAGAGGTAGGTGAGTTTGGATCCTTTTGTAATTCTTGAATCGTTTCTAATTGAAATTCAATGTTCTTTTGTTTTGGTGGCAGAACCTGAGAAATCTGGAGAATCCGTGTGGAGTCTTCATCTTGAGGTTGTTCAATATGCAACTCATTTCGGGTGGTTTTGTGCATCTGTGGAATGGATGGGAAGCTTTCATTTGGGGTCTCAAATTTATCTTCTTCAAATTCGAATGGCGGAGGAGTTGACAAAGGAGGTTGGTCTGATCCATCCTTGATGTGAACATCCAGTCGAATTCGCGGAGAGGGGTTTGGCATTTCAGTTTTTATCGGTGCTAGACTTGTGAGCTGTGTACGATCAGGCAAGTAGAAGGAGATCAATTGATTGTTATCAATGGAATGTATTTAGAATACTTACCTTTGGGAATGGCAAAGTTCGGTTAGTTATTCTATTACTGATTTTTGATGATGGTGCTAACATCGGAGAGAGTGTGACTTCGGACTTGCAAGGCTTTGACTCAGTTGATTTGACTTGAGTGGAATCGGAAGACTCAGTTGGTTTGGAAGACTGATGGTCTTGATTGATCTTGAAGTTACAAAGATATTGTTGAACTTGGACCGAGGTTGTTTGCTCAGGAGTCTCACATGGATTTTTCTCAGCCTTCTTGTCAGGTCGAGGCTGATGATCGGGTGGATTCGCATGCTTGGAAGTTGATTCTTCTTGTTCTTTGAGTTTGATCTGATACTTCGGGGTATTTGAATAGCTCTCTTTAGTTTCCATTCCGTACTTTGATTTTGTCGATGATTTCATTTTATCTTCAACTTCGGCTCCATCCTTTGTTACTTCAACTTCCGCCTCGTCTTCTTGCTCTGAGTGAGCTGTCGCACCTTTGGTCAATTCGGCAAGGGTAATTTCACGTTCAAAGCGTTCTAGGAGGGAGGTCTGTGTGGCGTGGTCGAGGTTCTTCATGCGTCTGATGTGATCAGCATATTTTTTAGAGAGAGAAGGAGGTTTAGAAGGATGTTTGATAACCGAATCGGGTGCAGGCGCTGATTTTTGCGATTTCAACTTGTTTGATTTTTTTGGCTGATGATAGTGTAGTTCTGTGTTTGAGCGAGGGTGATTATGTTCTGGTTTCTTGATCGTGAAAGTCCAGGAGTCTGATGAAAGTTTTCGATCAGCTCGAGCGTAGAATGGGCAGTCTCCTGGTGAACGAGCATGACACGTTGATCCTTTGTAGCACTTGAACTCAATCCACGAATCGATGGGAAGATACCGGGAATCAAGAACTGAGAGCTTGTACCCATGATCTACTGTGAGTGGATCGATATAATTGTATAAATCTTGAAGGTCTTTGAAGACGGTGCCCGTTGGTGGTGACCGTAATAAAGGATTGCCTTCCTGGTCCGTCGGAATATATAACTTTGAACTAGCTTTGTTAGAATCGGGTATGTTTTTCATTGTAGCAGGTCCAGGTGTGAGAGATCGATCGAGATTTGTGAACTTGACAAAACGAGATTGAGTCCCCTCCTGCAAAGTTGTGAAGCAGGAAGTTGAAATCGTAGAATTGTGAGGCGGTGATTGCGTAGTCTACTTGTGAATTTTGAGTCGGATAAGATTAATGAGTTGTGAAGTTTTTTTTGATGTGAACCGGTGGAATTGGAGGGGGATTGTGCTGTGTTTTTTTACATACTAAATTTTGTCATGTTTTTACTAGTAAACCTCAGAAAAGATAGCCATCTAGTCAACGCAAAGTGATTGGAGACTGAAGGGAGCATGTTGATCCTTTCTACTTGAGATTTTCCTCCTGTTTTATAAAAAGCGTAGAAATGCTCTGAACAAACTGGAAATATAAGGTCTCTGATGAGCTTACTGACGATAGCTTTATTGAATGTTGTCAATCAATGATGTAAGTTTTTTGCTCTCTTGAGCTTCATGACTATTGCAAAGTGAAAGATTACGAGAACAAGAAATTGACTGAAGAAGAAATTGCAAAGAGACAGGTTGGAATCTCACCACTTACATCTTGGATTGGTGGGACACCAATAAAAACGTCAGAACTCAAAACAAACTCACCAACGCCAATGATCCATCTGAAGTTACTTACAATCATTTTCTCTGTTGTAGTTATCTAGTGCTTGGTTATAATAGTGGGATTCAGAAATTTGTGGTTGAATGCAGGGTGAACAAAGTGGTGAAGATTTGAAATCATGAATTAAGGGGTTCAAAGATCTGAGATTACGTTGATACATATTTTTGTTGTTTATTTATTGCCCCTCCTGGTCCTTTTCTGTACTGTGTTGAAGAGGATGAGTGTGTGATTCTGGTTTTTCTGTTTTGCTGCTGAACCCAAATTTTCATTCAACTAATCACAATCAACTCTCATTGATTCTCTATAAAGCTCATACAGACACATTGAAACCAGTGTTGAAAAGCACCAGGCTTTACCTGCTCAGCTGATGAAAGTTCTTCGAAACACATTCAGAGTGGAAATTATGTTTGATTGTCTATAACTTTGATTTGGTGCAGATCACCTTGATATAGATAGAAAAGTCTGATATGCACATAACAAATCCACAGGGCAAGAATGCATTCAATATCACATAGGTGTTACGGATGCTGACGAAAGCATGTAAAAGAGATGCAGTTTCAAAGAACAGGATCTTAACTTATTGTAAATCACGTTTTGCGCAATTTAAGACACGCTAGCAGTACTCACCTATTTAGCAATGCAACTGCTGGTAGGTCACTTTCTCTCATTCAGGCGTAGCGTACATTAAAGGAGCAGGGCTAAGTGATAATTAAGAGCCAAAATAATGATATGATTTGTGAATTGATCTCAATTGAAAATGATAACTTTTTGAAATGTGTACACCTGCTAACAAGAAACTGTACACTTTGTATTATACATAAAATATGAACCATTGGAAGTTCACATTTCTTTGAGAAATTTATCTGAAGTTCACAAAGAATTGTGAACTTTATCTGAAGTTCACAAAGAATTGTGAACCTTTAGCAAAGTTCACAATTTTTTGTGAACCTTTAGCAAAGTTCACAATTTTTTGTGAACTTCCAATGGTTCACATTTCATCGTGAACCTTTTGTGAAGTTCACAATTTGTGTTATGCATGAAATACGCATAAGGGACTCCCTACTGATAGTACTGATGAAGGACCAGCTATCAATTTACACATGTTGGATCATGTTCCTCATGATTGTTAGGATTTACATCATGATTCTGGATTTGATATAACAGGTCTTGACACTGCGTGAATGATGTATTTTGCCCGGGTGAAAAATGATTGAATCTTAGCCCAAAATGATTCAAAAAAAAAAAAAAAATTCACTACTGAATATCTTCTTGAAAAACAATTGAACAACTTTCAATGTCAAAAAGGCACATAAGAAGGTCATTAAAGAGAACCCTGAATACAATTGAAAATTGGGGGTTGTATCTCAATCCATGAGAAACTCACTCTCAAAGGCTTGGAAAGTGCACAACTCTAGAAAGCAGATGAGAAGGTTTGCAGATACAGGGAAAATTGCAGTTGGGTATTTGGATTCATTTGTATATGCAGTTTTGTTCACAATTTTTTTGTGACATTCATTTGTCTTGTATCTCATTGATTTTTGGTGGTGTTTCATTCAAGCATCTTCTCGTAAGGCGCTGAAGTTTGTGTATTTGATGCAAAAAAATGTATTGCATTGGACATAAATCAAAAGGCGTGTATATTCAGAGAAATAAAGAAATATAAGAGTGAATTTCAGTCGGGTACAGTTTGATAGCTCACATTTCATCTGTTTTCCATCTAAGCACATACAAGACTATGAATATGTAGATCACAAGTGATTTACGTAGCTTACAGCAAGTTCATCGATCCAAGGAAACCAGCGCGATGCTCTTCATGTCCAGTTTATCAGTTATTTCGCCAGCTCCATACAATATCCAACCACAGTGGGCAACAATCTCATCAATATGAATCAGGGAAGGTGGTTGGCGGATATCAAGACGTAGGCAAGCCTGTACATCTGGCTTTGCCAGTGTTCGGAAAGGATTTGGTTTCAACATGGGGACCGGGGGAAAAAGGTGAATTGAAACCCAAGTATCGGTAATTGGGGGACTGTCTGGTACTGGGATCCTTCGATGATGAAAGATTGACTTTATCTGACCAAAGGATATAGTCCCACCGAACAAAAGAGTTCATGAGCATGAAAGTGAAAAAGTTCAATCGAACAAAGAATTGAGAGAACATATAGGGCAACAATGTTGATTGGGAGAAGGGCCTGAAGCTGTACTAGTACTGTTAATTTATCAAAGAAGAGTAAGAATACACATCACACAAAAAGTAGTAAATGGAAAGTGGACTAACCTATGAAGATCGGTACACACAGAGATAGAGCCAACGTCTTGGGCACCCTCCGTGAGGTCTTTCTGCTCGTTCAGCGAGACCAATGAGTGGCGTGACTGGAGTTGGATGCCTTCGATGGTTTCTTGAAAATTTGTAGGGTCGGGGGTATCATCGTGAAGGGCCTCTTCTGCGTCGATCTGAGAGCTGCAGATACCCTCCATCTCGTCGGGGACCTCTTGTTGCTCCGTCAGCGAGACCGATGACTGGCATGACTGGAGTTGGATGCCTTCAATGGGTTCTTGAAAATTTGTAGGGTCAGGGGTAGAATAGACTGTACTAGTACTGTTCATTGATCAAGTAAAAGTAAAAGTAAGAATACACATCACACAAAAAGTAGTAAATGGAAAGTGGACTAACCTATGAAGATCGGTACACGCAGAGATAGAGCCGACGTCTTGGGCAGCCTCCGTGAGGTCTTTCTGCTCGGTCAGCGAGACCGATGAGTGGCGTGACTGGAGTTGGATGCCTTCGATGGTTTCTTGAAAATTTGTAGGGTCGGGGGTATCATCGTGAAGGGCCTCTTCTGCGTCGGTCTGAGCGCTACAGATACCCTCCATCTCGTCGGGAACCTTGTAAGTGTCGAGGAAAGATTGAAACGTTGCAGCCGGGAGATGGTACAGGCCCTTCTTGAGGGGGGCGAGGGCAGATGTATTGGACGCTGCCATGCAATCTTTGTAGATGTCATCTAGTGAGTCGACAACTACTGGAGCACGTTGTTTGCTGGATACTGGGCCTCGTAAGAAACTAGGCACTTGAAAATACTTGGTGTCGTTGGGTGAAGGGACTACTAGATTAGAGAGACGCGTGGAAACCATTTCACGAAAAATCATTCGAAGCAGATCGGTAGCATTTTGAGCCTCTACAGTGAATTCAAAATGGGGGTAGAATGCGACAATCATCTGTCTGAGTTCGGTAGGAGTAGCGGTACTAAGGAATCTATCGGCATCAATTTTAGGAGTCGGCTCATCCACAACATAATCAAGAATATAAGTCGGCAAGTAAACGAAATTTTTTATTAAGGACATGATGTGAGTAGCAGCGTATTTGGAAAGAAGGAGGAGTGCTGGATAACTCACAACACTGGTTGGAACCAACTTGGTTTAAGTAGTCAGTCGAGGCCGTATGATTCCTTTTAGTGTCTTCTATCATGGCTCTATCCGAAGATGCATGAAGGATTTTCTAATTTCAAGATCGGAGAAAAATGAAAACCATTAAACATGATAATGTTTATCTCAAAATGGAGAAAGGGTATGCTTGATTGACCCACGGCAGAACACTTCACTTACGTAGATTAGAGAGCCAGTGGTTCCATGAAAGGCCTTCCTTGGTGTATAATAGATATAATAGAAACCGTTGAAGTGCTCATTTTCTTCAATATCACTCATCTATCATTTCAAACAAACTTCTCATCATTCGAATATTTCCATTCCATCTATTATTGATTGAATAATTTCGCGAGTATAACCACGAAATGAAAAGAGAAAGACCAGAAACGCCATCACAAGAAGAAGAAAGTGAGTTCCGCTGGGGTCTCTAATCTATCTATCAGTGAAGTCTAAATCGTTGATCAAAACTTACTGAACTAGTCGCGAGGTTAGAAGAAGAAGTTGGTCGCCTCAAAGTGTCGCTTCGAAGCCTTGAGGACAAAGGTGTACTTTCAGGTAAGTCTTTGTTCATTTTCACTGGCCATCAAGTTACTCCAGCTTGCTTACCCTGCTGTGTGATGCCAGCCTGTGCTCATGAAGTTCAGCCCATTTTGGATGATCTCAGACAAGAGATTGCTGGTCTAAAGTCCTCGCTCGAAGTTGTCCAAGCTGAAGTATCCGATTTACAATTAATGGCCAGCTTCGAATTCCAACACGTCAGAGCCAACCAGATGGCTATCCAAAAGGTCGCGGACGCCACTGGTAACTCCCATATTGATACCGAGGAGGAGATAGAGGTTTTTACCGAAGAACGTCATCAATCGTATTTCTTCACTCGTGATCAATCTCTAGGAGGTAATGCTGCTGGAGGCGACCAGGTTCCTGTATCCGATCCACACCTTGGATCGTGAGCTACATATATGGTGAGCAACTTGATTCAACATTTCAAACGTTGATCAGCTCTCTTGAATTCGACAAGACTGAGAAGCTATGTACTATGTAGGATTTTGTTGAAGTCAATGTGAGTTTCGGTAGATACGATACATAGTCAGGAGATGAGAAGTCTCGAAGCAATGTGAAGAGTATCTGCTGTTGTGACAGTCTTAAATTACGGCATGGGCTACTAGATTCATACTTTGTGAGACTTCAATAATTTTTCCTTTCATGAATTTGAGGGAGACCAAAAAAAAGTAACAGGAACAACAAGAAATAGCGAGAAACATGGGTGATGACCATGATGACAACTTTATCTGATGATGTCAATTCAGCTTATTATGTGTAAAACAAAAGCTCTTTGCATTGCTGTCTTTTCCAAACAATGCAAGAACAACCAGAAGCATTCCCTTTTCAGATAAAAAAAACTCGTAATTTCTTTTTTGTTTCCCCTTTTTACACATCTGAAGTTCTTTTCCTGGCTTGTTGTATTTCTTTCCAAATTTTTCAAAATAAAATATCAATTAGGGTGGTCTTTTGAATATATAATAAATACATATATGTTCCTCTTCTGGTAATTGATCTTTGATGGTGAGTCAACTTTTTGGTGAGGAGACCATTGATTGATATGGTCTGATTTTGTAGATGTGAGAAGTTGTTTGTGAGAATTGTGAGATAACTACAAACTTTTGAGACATTTGAGTGGTTCCATTTAAATAGTGGGACAGTAGGCCTGTGGTGGGATGCCCACATGTTCTCTAGTGATATAAATATACTTCATCTGTGAGTCAAAAAGCGTATCACAAAAAAGCTCAAAACAAGTGACTATGCACCAAAGTCACTGGAGTACATCTTTGCCTGGTCACCAGCATTGGCTGGCCACTGTGTTCAATGTTGTTTTGAGCCCCAACGGACTCAGAGGGGCAAATTTCCTAGGCGGACTGAAGTACTAAAGGAAAAGTTCATCTATGGAAAAGTACAGTTTTGCAGTCCATATAGCGTTCGTGAGAGGTCGCTGTTCAATTCCCACATGATGCACGTCATATGAAATCAGATACATTCAACTTACCAGGTAGAACTTCAGTCAATCTGGTTGGGTTAAATGTGGCATTTGTGTATGATAAATTGAACCAAAAAAAGATAACTTATCTCAACTTCGCTCAATCTGATTGGATAAGTGAATCATTTCAACCTTGTTTGTTTGCGTTGAATTAATAGATACTAAACTGTAGTAACATTGAACCTCTGCTATATGTATGTATATTTGATTTTCATCATGAGAAATCTTTCTCAATAAGGTCAGAGAGCCAAAATCAAAACCATGTGATGAGCTAAGGACCTACGTGTTTAGATTGCCTTTGTAAAGAGGAAAATGGTATATTGGGCTTATGATGAAGATTATAAAAGGTTCCATAGCAAGAGAGAAGGCTGTGTATAATATTCCTTGCAATATGTTCCAACGAGCTAGAGTCATTCATAAAGTAATATGGACTCCATAAAACTTTTCACAACAACATGTCAACTTTGAAAAAAGTTCACATTTGATATTTGTTGTTGGAAAAATTAAGTCCTTAGAATTTCATTTTGTTTTGCTATTTCTTGGATGGCTTACAATACTTTCCTCAAATATTTGTTTACACTTTTGAAAAGGCATATTGATTTCAATCAAATTGAGCGTACATAATTTGTAAATCTCACGTTATTCTGTACTTTGGAAACTACAAGTAGAATCACTTCGGGTGCACTTTCAGATCAAAAGTGAGTTGACTTACAAGTGTTTTTGAAAAACACTATGAGCCAGAGAGTGAGTAAGATGGTTATATCAAGAGAAGTCGTGGAATCACGTGCAAAAAACAAAAGCATGATTGAAGGAGCATGAATTTTGATAATGTGGTGTTAGATTTTGTCAAAAAGGAAGACGCCTGGATAAATCGCGTTGTGAGATTTAGAGAAGCATACCACAAAAATCAACAGCCTGAAGTAAAAGTAGAGAATGTGAGAGGAAGAGAGCAAGAAGTTCTGGAATCACATAGAGCTAAAGGAAAGTATGATTGAGAAAAGAGAGAACAAATGCTTCACACTAATTAGTATTACTCAAGACTCTTGAGACCGGCCTTGATTTGTGCCTCAATCAAAGGGTCAAGTTTCTTTGCGGTCTTGAGTTCGGTCAATCTTGAGGTAATCTCTTCTGCATAATCTTTTATATGCTCCTTCTTAAAAGTCTCCTTCATCTTATCAGACATACCAGCTTCCTTCTTATTCATACCTTTGATTCGATCGACAATAGTTTTTGAAATCTGAACAGAAGATCCAAAATTTGTTAAGTTGGCATCTTCTGGAGTGACCCGTTCACCAAATACGTTGAGGGTCTGAGAATGTGAGCTATGGTGTAATGTCTTTGTGTTCCAGATTACCACCTTTGGCAAATGACTTAAACGTATCTTTGTATTGTACTTGTCAAGGTGAAAATAAGCGCCTTCAATGTGGAAAGGTGGAGGTGTATCGCTGTCGTTGGGGTAGATTACGTTGCCTGAGTCACGTTCCATCAGACAGAAAAGGCCAATGGCACATCCGGATGCGTCTGGATCTTCATGCAATTCATTAGCGAATTCGTCTCGCGTGATGACCAGATTGGAACCAACGCTAGATTTGGAAGATGTGTTGAGAACCTTTGGCGAAGCCCAATAGACACCATATTGTTGTCGAAGTACAAGATTCGCTTTGAATTGGGAGAATACTAGGTTTGCAAAGAGTTTTGAGATAAATTTATCAATAGTAGGGAGAAGTTTCATCCGTTGAATATCTTGCATGATAAGGTGCGGGTCGCTTCGAGTATTGGTATTGAGTACATAGGCACCTGAGATTGATAAATATTAGTCAAGGGTTTTAGGAATCAATAATAATCAACAAGGTTACCTGCAGACTTCCCTTTATCGGTGCCACCACGAGAACCAATGGGATACATCTCCCCAGACTTGGCTTGCCCTAAAGCTTCGGCAGCTTTGTTGATTGTACACTTGTTGCGAGCAAGTCCATGATGGTAGAGAAGTTTTGTTGCCCAATCGAATTGATCTCGGAGATTTTGGTTGTTATTGTGATTATTGTGAAGTGTAAAGATGCTGGCGATAAATTCCCCAGTGTGCCCGTCAACGAGGATGACATGACCGTATGAGATGATACGTTCTTTAAGATCAGGGCGATTAGGTAGGACATGAATAACTTTGGCTGTAGTTGGTGCACCGTGTTGATCATGAACAATAGAACGTCGAAAATCCGCGTGTAGGTCTTTCTTTTCCTGACGCTTCTCAGCCTGCTTTCGGGCAAGTGATGCGAGTTGAGAAGGATTTTTACCCATCTGGAAAAATCAAAATACCTGATGTTAGCTAGATGGCATTCAAGTTTCAAATGAGAATTGTGATAGACGAAGGAAAAAAATAAGTACTAGCGGAAACTTCTCGAGGTAGTGATGCAAGTGAAGAAGACATAGAAAGAGAGGAAAGTGAGCGGTAAACGTCATTTACCTTCTGAGCAATGAGAAGCAATCAAGATATGAGGTGATAAAAAACTTTGAAGAATGCTGTATACTAATCAAGTGATGAGAGAGTGTTAAATGATCAGAAAAGTGTTAATTTGCAGATGATAAATGGTAGAAGTGATGCCTGATTGAATCGATCAATGTATCTTTTAATTTAAGGAATAATCAAATGGATGAATGATTAATTTGTTAATGGAAGAGGCGTATAGAAAAAAAATTGCTGGAGTTACAGACGATTAAAAACCTCTAGGAAGTTGGATTAAGCAGTAAAGGACCTCCGTTATACCCACTTGATTCAATATCCACTTTGTTTCAAGAAGATCTTCTGGTTGTCCGCAGAAGGCTTTCAAGTCGAAAAAAACATGATGCGTGCTACATTTGCGTTTTCTTTAATTATTGTGAGGTCGCCTGTGGGGAAAAGAACACGAGGGGCTGATTCAACGTGGAACTACGCACGTGCGTATAAAACTACTGAGGGTGCTAAAGGGATGTTGTTGTCACCCATCAAGGTGGCTTTGTTGTTATCTTCCGGAAGACATCCCCTGTGGAGAAAAGGAAACGGGGCGGCTGTCTCAAGGTGTAACTACGCGCGTGCGTATAAAACTACTGATGGCCCTAATCAAAGATGATTACAAAGGATGTTGTTGTCCCCCACTTGATGAGGCTTTGTGGTTATCTTCCCAACGACCTCCCCTGTGGGGAAAAGTAAACCGGCTGGCTGATTCAACGTGTAACTATCTCTGTGCGTACAAAACTACAGAACTTTTTGATGCATCTGAAGGCTTTGGGCTGCTTGAGGATTCTGGTCGAGTCTTGCAGACAAAGTTCAAGTATAGCCTGGATGAATCTGTGTTGATGGTGTTCTAATCTTGGCAGGGAAGTGGTCAATAAATTCAAAAGCCCAGCGTAGTTTCAAGCTGGGTGATTCAAAAAATTGACGCATGTTTCACAACAATGGGCAAGTTGTTGTAGTGTACAAATGCCTAAAGACCTTCAACTTGAAACCTTCTATTGATTACATTGCTTTCATGATTCTGTTACAAAGGTTTCATGATTTTTTTACGAAAAAAGTGTCCCAATCTTTATGAAATATGGAAAAGAAAATAACAAATTCAAACTATTCAATCCCATGTAGAGTGAATTTGAGTTGAAAGTGATTGAAATGGAAATGAATGGTATGTTGAGGGTGTAGATCCATTCAAAACTCTCTTATGGAATGTGGCAAGAATGTAAGCTTTCAAGATAATTTTATCAGCAAACAAATACCAAATGGGAACTCCACAAATGCTTCACGGTGAAATGTGAAATTCTGAAAAAGTTCACATAATGTGAACTTCTCAAAAAGTTCACATTGAAATGTGAACTCCACAAAAAGTTCACAGTAAAATGTGAACTTCCCAAAAATTTCACAATTAAATGTGAACTTCTCAAAAAGTTCACAATTAAATGTGAACTTCTCAAACAGTTCACAATTAAATATGGACTTCTCAAAAAGTTCACAATAAAATGTGAACTTCAGATGAAGTTCTCACAAAATTGAAGAGGTAGAAGTCTAAGGACATAAATTTTCAGCAAACAAATACTGAATGTGAACTCCACAGAAAGTTCACAATAAAACATGAATTCATCAAAAAGTTCACAATAAAATGGGAACTCCATAAGATTGCTAAAGGATGTGATCTTCTATGATATCACTAGCTATTTTTGTAAATCAAGCGTGTTCAAACTGATCCCAATTTGTTAAGTTTGTCCCTTTCATTCTTGTTCCTTTTCATTTCTTGCAAACCAAACCCAATATAAATGTCCTATTTGTAGGAGCTTGAAAAGAATCTATGGCTGGTCACTCATAGCGCTTAATTCCCTCCCTCAGATTGAGTTTGGCTTGGAGATCTATCTTGAGGACAAGTGAAGAATCCTGAATGGAAATACAAAGTCATCACTTAATTTCAAATTGCTTGGGTGGTTTATAATGTTTGAGGGGTTCACTTTTTGAGCAAAAAATGCCTCTAGTAGATTGGACATTTTGTTTGAATTTTTATTTGTCAGTTGGCAGGTTCAAAAGAAATGTGTAATGTGATAATCTTGGTTCCATTCTTTCTTTGAATCACTGTGGAGTTGAGGTGGCTGAAGGGCTATTGTTATTTACATGCATAACAATCCAAAATCTATTGTGATTGATGGACAACAAAATATATAGAGAACCTATCTTTGTTGCGTTGAGCAAAAAATACAACTTCATCATTGAAGTGAGAAGAGATTAATTTTTCCTGTCAGCTGTCCTTCATCCGTTCTGCCATGCCCCCTTTCCAGAATTTGTATATAATAGGGGGTTTGAGATTTATTCTGTGCGTATTTTTTCAAAATATGGGCAGCTTTTCTGTACAAAAGATCCTCGTAAAACCTACAAATGTTCAATGCAGGACACCTACAAAAGTGTCCTGCTTTATAATACACACATGCTCTACAACAATGATCAAGTTGTTGTACATAGCGTAAAAATGCGTAAAAAGCTTCAACTTGAAAACCCTGGTGACTTGTAAAACTAGCTGTTTATGTTTTACGAAGACAGGAGGCGTAAAAGCTTCCTCATTTTTGTTAATTTTGCGTAAGTTTACGCTACAAGGGGAATTCATTTTAGCGTAGAAACCGTGATTAGTTCCAACTTGAAACCCCCTTAGTATGTAGGGCAAAATTCCTTTGTATTTATCTGTCCAATTTTGACTGAGAATATATGTCAAAGGGGAACAAAGGGCCAAGAAATCACTCACTAGAATATGTGACTTGTCTTTGTGAATCAAGTTTGCTCCTCCCTCCTGGAAAGATCACTGTCATAACACACCAACTCAAGTCGAATGATATCTGCTCCGCCTGAACAAACCTCTGTTTTCATTCCAATCCACCTTCTTGATTATCTTGTTGTGGACACCTCTACCAACCAGATCAAAACCTCCGATATACTTGAAAAAGCAACCTGTGAGGAGCTTTACAATTTCATTCAAGCCTTTAAACCACATCTTACAATCCTTAGCCTAGAAAGAGACAATCCCAAATTTTTGAAGACAGTCTTTGTTGAGATGGTGGCGCCCCTGATCAACAACTTAATTCCCTCCGAACTGAAAAACACACAGCACATTCAAGCACTATTTCATCTACCATCTCCTAAATCAACGGATCCAACTTCTAACCTTCCAGGGCCAACATGCAACTACCCTCAACTGTTGGCTTCTCAGGCTACTCGTGATCAGCCAATTTAGGTTGTAAGCTTCCCATATGATTGATATTTTTGCTTCACCCAGGAGATAGTACATGCTTAGAATGACTGTTACAAAAACCACCGCCTAAAAATTGAAGCAGTGTTTGTTGTTGTTTGCCAGGTGATCTCATATCCGTGATAATGGTTTCCTGGAGTCTGGTATTACATAGGAAACTTTTATGATCATACTTGCCTCTGTCACAGACTTCCCAGCCCCGATTCTTTGAAGTTTTTCAACTGCGTATCAGTGTCTTTGTATTCCTCCGCACTCATACAGAAGTTCAACTCATGGAAAATGCATGTATTCAGAGCAGTCTTTCCACTCATAAAAAGTCTTTCAACTGAGAGAGTGTGTACAATCATAGCCAGGCTTATTTAAATAGATAGTTTGACCAAAGAATCATAAACCCTGGAAGCATTATGCACAAAAAAACATTATAGAAATTTGAGAAAGCAACTGGATGACAAAATCAAACAAGAAATGAGATTGTTTTTAGATAGAGAATACATATTGATGATATAATGATTATTCTGTAGTAGGAAGGAATATGTCATTCTAAGCTGGGACACAAAGGCCTCCTTCGGAGATCTGCATCACATTTTGAGATAGACCAAATTGATGTAAAGTTTTGATGATAGTTGCTTTGGACAAGAACACAACAGGATGAAATGGAGTTGGAATTTTTGAAAGAGAATTACAAAAATCACGGAACAATTTAGGGAATCTGAAAGAACTTCATGGAATCTTTTTGATGCTTTATGATCATCAATTTTGCATGACATCAAGTGAGACAAGTCTTCAAAATTCATTTTCAAGATAAAACTGGAGAGAAATTTAGGTGTATATTTGAACTTCATGTTTTCATAAACTTCCTAAATTTGACATTTTTTTTATTTTCACTCTAAAGAAGGAATACACAACAGTCTGTACATAGTGCTCCCTGAGACGCCAGGGGTAGGCTACCAAATTCTTATTCCATATTGGGGACCAGCATTCTGACAATCAGCTCTGAGGAATCACTTTCCGATGATTCACTGGACAACTCTCTGTGATCTTGGGCTGTGATAGTAGTTGTACTCCAATCAGATACCTTGGATAAGGTGTTTTGAACCGGCTGAGTTGCTTGTGAATATGCTCTTTCTGCGGAGCTCAATGCCAACTCAACACAATCCTTGAAAGCTATGTAATTTTCCATAAACGCTGTGAATAGATTGATGTATTCATCTCGGTCCGCCACCTTTGAGTACAAATAAGAGATGTGTCAGATCATTGTGTTGATGGTGTTTTATAATTCCTGACGCTCTGCGGAAAGATATGCAAATAAATTACCTGTTTCACGGGCTTTAATCCCCTGAGATACAAATTTAATGGCTTTGCTATAGTTTGAGAACTCAAATTAAGTTGACCTGTCGTCTGGGATTGGACCTGAGGGAAGCTTGAAATTATTGAATGGATGTCACCAGGTCGCAGAATTCCCAAATGTGAAAGTCTTTCACCCAAATTAGATACGGCCTCAAGGTGTCTTTGAAATTTTTGTAAAACATTTGACATCAAATGAAGCTCCCCGGCTGAAATACCTTCAGAAGGTATTGTTATGGAAGTTTTTTTATTTTCTTTTGACCGTGTTCGAGCTGTGGTTGGACAATTGATTTGAGAAACGTAGATGTCATGATTAACAGAGTAGAGACTACATACGTGACTTGTGATTCTTGATGCTAATGTCGGCTCCTTGCATTCCATTGCTGGAAGCTTCAGGAACCTTCAATTTCCTTTTTATACCCCGGGACTGGCGTGTATCTGAAGGAGAGAGAGTGTCTAAATTCAAAGTGCCTTTCCATTTTTTTGTATAAGTCCACTCAATTGTGATTGTCTTACATGATTGACAGAGAGCTCCACCCGTAATATTCTGGTGATTGTCGTTACAAGTCTGGCTGGCCGAAAGCAAAGTGGACACTTCATTCCGGGGGATACAGGCTCGTCTAAGTTGTTCAGCATTTTCTTCCACTCCCGCCATTGAAACAAAGCTGCACGGACATATCAATGCAATTTTGAGTGCATTAGTTCCATCTTCTGATCATGATTAATGCTCAAAGTGACACCAAAGAAACATGAGAGAAGAGTAGAGATTACGATGCTGGGTCCTTGGGTTGCTCTGTGATCGGCAGTATGACGATGTTGTATCACAATTGGGAAGACGTGAAAATCCTCTCAAAGAATCTTTAAAACCAGGGAGAAAACTCTTATGATATCTAAACGTTTTGGGAATGCGTGTGATTATGACCAAAGTGAACGGCCAACACAACTGAAGGTTTATGTAGATACACTCTCATCTAAAGAACTTTGTGCAACAAAGGCTGAACTCAGCTGCCTATAATTTATAAATTCTTGTTTAGGTCACAACTGGGGAAGTCTGTAAAGGATAGTGCATAAGTTTAATCCCTTTTTGGAGGTGAGCCTCGGCTGCTGATCTTGCCCCCCAGTTGGATTGTCTTCACTGAGCCATATCTGAGGAATGATCAGACCCAGAGATGAAATGGAATATCTGATCAAAGATCTTTTGGTCGGCATGTACTCAACCTGAGGCAAGAGACATAGGTCAACAGCACAGACAGCTACGGTGATTCATGAGCTTTATTCACTGCCTTTTGAGATGCTTACTTAAGCTGACATGTGCTGAGAGCACTGACACCCCAAGAGTGGTGTCATATGTACGTATGTTTTGGACCTCTCCAAACTGTCTTCTCACAAATACCAACCCTCATTGGTTGATAGAAGGATGAAGAAACAAATGTCACCCTATATTTACGTAAAAGCCACATTAAGTCCAGCTTCAGTTTGAGCATTGGTCATGATCATAATTGAAGATCAAATAGTCCCTATTTCTGTAATTTGTTAAGTACATCTACATATCTTCAATACATCCTATAGCAACTAATTTGTGTCATCCACAATACTTTATTCTTTAGCCTGATAGCCCTTTAAATCCCAATTCACCTTCAACGACCAATTTGCCGTTCCCCCAGCAGGATTGAATCCATCAATCAATTGTTTTACAACTCTGTAATCACCCAGTTTTCTAGACAAACAATATGTCAAACACCCGGTCCGAAGATATATGTAAGATGTGCTGCTGTCTACTCCTGAAAGTTATGTCTGATCCTTTATCATTTCTTCTACAAACACTCCGATGCAGTTTCAGCTCTGGAAACAAAGGTTTTGTCTCTCAGAACTTCACTTTCTGCTCTGCAAAATGATTAGAATTAATGTCAAAAATGATTAAAAATGCTATGTTAATGCATAAAAATGCACCATTAATGCACCATTAATGAAAGTTCTTTTTCTTTCCAGCTGATCTCTTCTTGATTTCCAGTTGGTGAGGTTGAGCGCCTCTCAACCCTGGTCGAAGAAATGAAGAAAGAAATCGAGCTCTTAGATTGTCGAGTCACCGATTTACAAGAATCCGCCGGCCTTGAATACCAACGTAGTAGAGCACATGAGGTGGTTCTGCAAAAACTCATAGAAGCGTCTCCAGCACATAGTCATATTGATCTTTTATTGGAGATAGAGAATTATTCTCCTGAGCGTCATCGTAGTGAAACTCGTATGGATGCATTTTATGACTATTCATCTTATGATAATAAACATACTGATGTTGATCATGTTACAAACCCACCAACTACTGTGACATCTGATCCAGAACATCAATTGTGAATATATTAGTTCCATACAATATTAAATTGTAACTTTTCTTGATTTTAATTGATAAAATTGTTCTGTAGCAAGATCTTTGCTCTATTTTATCGGTAGCAATGTACTCAAGAATGCTAAAATGTCATATCATTGGAATAGAAACTGGCCTCATGAACTAGCACCTCGGATTTCACAGTTGTTGTGTATCTTTGAAAGTTAAGGATTGAGGAATTAAGCAGCAAAGCAATTTGAAGTCAAGAGTGCGTATTTCCTGCACTGAATCTGAACTTCTCCCCGGAAGCACTGAAATTGATAATGCACGTGTACCAAAAACAACTTTAGGAAATGTTCACTTTTGGATTCACTACAATACTTGAAACAAGAAATTGTTTGTTTTAAAAGCACTGTTGACAATCATCAAAGAGAAAAAAAATAACCAAAATCTTTCTTCATTTTCCTGTGAAGTCCATCTAAAGTTCACATTTTACTATGAACCTCTTGACAAGTTCAGATCTTATTGTGAACTTTTTCAGAAGTTCACATTTTATTGTGAACTTTTTGAGAAGTTCACATTTTATTGAGAAATTTTTCAGAAGTTCACATTTTATTGTGAACGTTTTCAGAAGTTCACATTTTATTGTGAACTTTTTGAGAAGTTCACATTTTATTGAGAAATTTTTCAGAAGTTCACATTTTATTGTGAACGTTTTCAGAAGTTCACATTTTATTGTGAACGTTTTGAGAAGTTCACATTTCATTGTGAACTTTTTGGGAAGATCACATATTATTGAGAAGTTCTTGAGAAGATCACATATTATTGAGAAGTTCTTGAGATTTGTGGACTTCACATTTTATTGTGAACTTTTTGACGTTCACAATAAAATGTGAACTTTTTGGGAAGTTCACATGTTATTGTGAGCTTCTTGAGAAGTTCATATTTTATGGTGAACTTTTTGAGAAGTTCATATTTTATGGTGAACTTTTCAAGAAGTTCACATTTCATTGTGAACTTTTTGAGCAGTTCACATTTCATTGTGAAGAAATTCACATCTGATTGTGAAGAAGTCCACATTTTACTGTGAACTATTTGTTGAATTCACATTCCATTGTGACCTTTTTGAGAAGTTCACGTTTCTAGGGGGGTTAGTCTTGAGGTGCCGGTGGCTTTGATTGTTTCTCTTTGTGTGCTCTGATTTATTCTCTGAGTTCTTTGAGAGTTTCAATGAAAATGCTCAGCATCGCAATGACACTCTGGAAAAGCCCATTGGAAGTCGTGTTATCAGTTATTGATGATAGGACGTCAGTCATAACCACATCGGTATTGTTTTGGTTTTTGACATGGTTCTCAAGGTAAGGGTTGGAATTGGATCCCCTTTGTTGGGGAGGCCTTTTTGGTGAGTAAGATAAAAAGGGATAGGTTAGAGAGAAAGTAGGACGAATAAAGATTTTTCTGGAAAATCGGAGATTTATTGATCTTTTGGCTTCTGAGTGGACTATGTTTGTGACACAGCATACATGTTCAACTGACGTTCAAATCACCTGCTGTGTGGCGTCCACGTACTGGACATTGGGGGTTCAACATCACCAAGGGATTGTGACATATGACACGTCTTTTTCTTTGCTCATTCTCCAAAATTATGAACTTGATAGGTCCTCATGAACCTCAGATATGCTCAGCTCATGCTGAAATCATGGGTGAGCGCGTGTGATGAGACACTGAGCTCTTACTCTGATCAGAAACTATGGATATTGAGTTTGATTCTTAAATAAGATGTTTGGTTTTCTGCATGTTTCATTTGCCTTCGTTCAATATCAAACAACAACATAATACTCACTCCATTAATATCATATTAGTTTTTTCATCACTCTCAACTAAATTCATACCGCGACCTAGTTTTGTTTACACCCCAGTTATTTGCTCTCCCAAATCCCATCCTGACCAGCTCTTGTGATCCTTTTGATATCCAAACGTCTTTCAATATCTCCCACCCTGTGATGACCTCCTCGACACTCATCAGATGTCGCTGTGTTAATTGCCTGGAATCTTCAAATGACAAGGATCAACCTGGACGCTTATGGAAACGCAGTTCCACAACCTATAAAGCCCATCAAGCGTCAATTAAAAAAACCCGCAGCCTTCTGGCTGGGCCCAAGGAGAGTAATCTTACGACCCTGCAAGCTGACCGTACCATTGATGCGGTGGATGGTATAGTCGCGGATGATTCACATTCTTCTTTGACTCAAATTCCTCCAGCTGAAAAGACCATTTCACATCTCGACATATCACACTTGAAGCAAATGGGCAATCCACCACGTCAAAAACAAACTGGTAGCCATTTTCAGCCCAAATGGAATGGTATGAGCGTAGAGTCAGGCAAGTACCATGCCAATTTCTCCTCCTATAGAGTATTTTTCCTGATTCAAGTTGTTTTTCATGGAAATGCAGGTCAATACAATATGAATTACTATGATCAATTCAAAAAATTTGACCCACTGACCACAGCGATGAACCTTGTAATGGTATGTCTGTATCTGTTTGAGCATATTGGCATGGCAGTTGCTACACTTTGCCTTCACGTGAACAATTCAGTACCGAGTTCCAGTAATCACACAGCTGGTTTATTCCCAAAGGGTTGGTCACCAAAGGACATTCGGACTGTCCTGACAGATCTAAGAATTCAACCAACGATTCGGCGAACTCTTTGCTGTCCAAAGTGCTTTTGTCTTTACTATGAGGGTGATACACCGGATAAATGTAGTTGGCGCGAAACTCGCTCAAGTCGCAAGTGCAATGAACCTCTATTTAAACAAGCAAAGGTTGGCGAAGATGAAGAAAATCACCATGCAAATAGATACTTCTCAACAGTCGCTTTCACCGAATGGTTAGCTCGTTTCTTGAACCGCCCTGAAATTGAAGAGCACCTTGAATCCAGCAAACAAGCGCTGGAAGATGGCTCAGCAATGTATGATGTTTGGCATGGATATATGTGGCGCTCGGCACGTGGGATCGACGGGGATCAATTCACAAATTCACCTGGAAATCTTGTCTTTTCGCTGAATGTCGACTGGTTCAATCCACTGGGCAACAAGGCCGCAGGCAAGCAAGACTCTGTTGGTACTGTCGCTTTAGTATGCCTCAATCTTCCACCACACATACGTACTTCTCCCGAAAACATTTTCCTTTCTGGATTGATTCCCGGACCATCTGAGCCCAAGATGACTCAAATCAATAATGTACTAAAGCCTCTTGTTGCCGAACTCAACACTTTATGGAAAGGAGTCAAGTTTTCTTCCACTGCAAAGTATCCCACACAGGGTCGTGTCATCCGAGTGATGTTGGGCCCAATTATCTGTGATCTTCCAGCTATGCGAAAGGTCTTAGGAATGGCAGGACATAGTTCAAAGAAGAATCTCTGCTCATTATGTCGAATTGGAGAACATAACATAAATTTACTGCACATTCCCCATGCCCTGCGCCGATGTAAACATGAACTCAAATCACAAGCATTAGCGTGGAAAAATGCAAAGACTGTTAAGGAACGACAACGACTTTTCAAGGAAAACGGAGTCCGATACACAGTTTTGTGGGAACTCCCTTACTTCGACCCAACCATACATACTGTAGTAGAGCCTATGCACAATATTTTTCTTGGTTTACTTCGCCATCACGGACTAAAAGCCTTAGGATTGATGTCAAAGAAAAGAAGTACCTCGTCGCAACAGGAAGCCAGCCAAGCAGAAGAGGATGAGTCTGACACATTCGAGCAAGAGCTTAAAGATTTTGATTCCGACAATGGTGATTCCGATGATGATGATTCTGAGTTTCAAGGATCAGAATGCAGCGGTGATCAAATTTCAACCGAATCAAACTCTGAATGCAGCAACACCTTATATCCAACAAAAGACAATCTATCGTTCGCATTCGGAAAAATGGCACTCGAATACAATACTGTACTTGACGCTGATCAAGAAACTCATGGCAATGAATCTAAACCACATCATTTCACAGGATTCTCAGGCGAAGTGACAAGGGATGAAGAGGAGGAAGAAGAGCTCTCTGATTATGAAGAGGTTGATGAAGAGTACAATCATATCTTCAACGAGAAGAAACATCTGGATACACTGAGAGAAGTTATAGGACAGGTCCTGCTCCCATCTTGGATCGGCAGAGTGCCAAAGACGGTAGGATCGAGCAAAGGTGGCAAATTGAAAGCAGATGAATGGGTTATATTATACGAGATCATGATAATCCCGGCCTTTATACTTTTCTTCAATAGGAAAGGTGATAATTCACCCATCACAGATCACAAAATTGTTCGAAATGCTCTTCATCTGATCAGTATCCTTAAAATTGTGCGTAGAATTGAGGTACAAAGTAGAGATCTGGAGGCTTTGAAACACCACATAAAAAGCTATCGACACGGACTCTCTGAACTATTTACTGCACTCTCAGTTACTCCAAATCTGCACATGTTACTCCACATTCCCCAGGTAGTCAGGGTTTTTGGTCCTGCACCTTACTGGACTGCTTGGTCATTTGAAGCAACGAATGGATCATTGGCCAAAATTCCAACTAACAACCATGATAGTGAGTTCAAAGATTTGTTACCTTCTTAGTTTAAACAAGGTATGATTGACTGATTGACTGATTTTGAGGTAGGCTCTAGAGAGTACACAATCCTGAATAAGTGGACAATGGCTCAAAATATGCGATGTGTACTCCCAGACCTATGCAGACAGCTCCCCAAACAAACCGCAGCAAATGTCTCAAAATTTATTTCACCAAAGTGTACAGACGGAAGTCCTTCTGCCTACCTTCGAGAAGGAAAGTGTGGTCCACCAAATCTGAAGTATAATCCAAAGAAGAACGAAACACTGGATTATGATACACACCTCCTTCTTCTGAGTCGCATGAAAGAAATATACGGCGACGAGGCTGTGCTTTCCACTGACATCTACAAAAAATCTCAGCACAAGGAAGATGCAATTGTCATATCCAGATGGGTCAATCAATTGCCTTCAGTAAAGTGTCGAAATGTAGTGTATTCAACAGAAAAAAAAACCCTGGTAACAGCACAGTTCTCTATCCAGTGTATCTTTCCAAAAACAAAAAAGGTTTTGTCTGGGGGAAAATCAATGAAATATTTATGACAATTGTACGCCGTGATGGAAACTTAGACCAGCATATTTGGTTTGACATCTCTCGATATACTACTTTGACGGCAGCTCATCAAAAGAAGCACGGGTTCAATGATTGGCCACACTCAGGATTAACTGTTGTGTACAATAGAGAGAAAAAGAAAGATGTGGTACAATTGAATGAGATTGTTAGTCACGGCGCTTCTTGGAAAACCCCGCAAGGCTGCTTTGGGATCAAAGACCCTACATTGCTGATTGTCAACTTATCAAAAACCTCGTGTACTGCAGCTTGAGTTTTGGTTTGTATCATAGTTACTACTAGGATAATGAATGCTCGAGCATTATGTGTCCTTTTTAAGATCGTGACATCACTTTTCATTACTCTCATGATTTGTAGTATGTTATTTTCTTCATCAATTCATTCTCGTGTCCCACGGTTGTACAAGCATTTAACATATAGAGAATTGAATGCCTTTTCCAACATTTCATTTTATTTCTTGTTCATTTTGACCTATTGTCCTATGTACCACTAGGTACTGTGTCCTGTCATCATGCTTGTTTTCTCTGTTGCCGTACTGAGAACTCTTTGAGTTCTTCCAAGAATGCTGTGAGTTATTTTCGATTGAACTTGACAAAAGAACAAATGAACAAATCAGAATTAATTCAAATAATCATTCAACAGAGTCATGAGCAAATCTAAAGGAACTCAATAGATCTTGGGAATGTCAGTAATCAGGCAAATTTCTTCACAGTTCTGAAGATCTGTCTTGGTGAGGATTTTGGTTAATCTCAGCCGTTTTTGAAATGTATATAAAGGAAACACTACACATTATATCCTAACAATCCAATCATATGATGATATAACAAAAAGGTAACAGAATGACTCAACAAACACTTTGTTATCATGATGCTCATCAAAAATGAATAGTTTTATATAAACACCACAACAACAACAACAAATCAAAAAAGTGTTTCTTTTGTCTCATATTTATGGTGAACTTTTCACAAAGTTTACATTTGATTGTGAGGTCCAGATGAAGTTCACATCTCATCGTGAACTTACCACGAAATGCCAGCCCCTGTGTATCCTAACCCGGTACAAAATCAATTGTTCCGCTCTTTAGGGGTTTCAAGTTGACTTTTTTTACCTCTCTGTGTAAAAATCTTGGTGTAAAATGACATGACACTCTGAGGTGCTGCGTTTTTACACCACCATGTTCACACAGAGTTATTTTACAACGACCAAAAAGAAATAAAGATGGTGCAAAATTCTAAAATCAAGCCCTTTTTCAAATTTCACACTGGGTCTATTTTACACCGAGATGGTAGGTTTAAAGGGGGCTGGGTAAAATTCTCCTACCCGGTATCCTAAGGGTTTCATGTGGTTCATGAATTCATGGCATGGTTTCAGTAAGATGAGGCAAACTTTGATCAAAATACCCCTGCGGTCAACAACTAATGACAGGCAAAACCACACTTTGTCCTAGGAAAAGTGCTGTTTCCCAACCGTCCAATTCCTGAACTTTATTGTTTGAAAAACTGGCGGGAAGAATTACAATATATAAACAATGGAAGCAAACATAATGAATGAAAGCGGAAGAGGCCAGTATAGAACACCTACAAAGTTCATTTGCAGATCAAAACAATGAAGTAAGAAACACCACGAGAAAAAAAACAGCCCACACTCCAGAGACAAACTTTCCAAACAGATAGAGGAAGGCCATGACTAAAGTCAATTCAATGATGGTAATTTGGGGGTGGTTGGGCTTTGGGTCTTCCAGAGCAACACCAGGTGGAACCTTAGATTTCGATTTATGATTCACAGGTTCTTGGTCATCCAAGACGGTCCCGCTCCCTGGAATTTGAATCAAGTGTCATAGTCAATGGGCCGCAATAGTAGGACGGCCCAGAGAAGACAGATTCTGAACCTGTTGTAATTTTCCCGTTATTGGTGAATGTAGAACCCTGGCATTGGGCCAAGGGCCTACCATTATGGACGCTGGAGGTATTTGTGACGCACGTAATTTCGGGATCTAGTGATTTCCTTCTTTGCATCAATGAACTCTTGGATGGTAGTATTGCATGATCGATAGTGGGGCGGTGCTGGCCCAAAACAATCTTAGCTTTGGGTGCAAGTTGATTAATGATTTTGCTTTCGGTGTCGCTGTTTGTCTCTGCAGGGTATTCAAGAGAATTAGTATGTTGGATTATACCTGAAGCTGTTATGTACACACCTGAACTATCATCTTCAAAAGATACATGATTTGTAGCTTTTTTACTGGCATTATGAACATCATCTCGTTTCTTCAACAAGAAATTGGGATGTTGATTAGAAGCCCCACCTATTAAAGGCGGAAGTGGTCAAAGCTCTGTTTGTAATTTTAATTGTTGATGTGTAATTCCGTACTTTTAGAAGGTCCATTGGTCTCAGCAGAGCTCTTCAAAGAAAAGGGGTATGAATCCAAATTGGTCACTGTAGAGCACGTCAAGTAGGAATCAGAATTGGTGATCGAGACAATGATAACAAAATCATGGCTTACATCCATATACGGGGCAGCTGGAATTACAATTCGAATGTAGTGAACTATTGATGGTATGCTTGATCACCCCAGAACGGTTTAATCCACCGCAGTCTTTGCACAGCTTCTTCCTGCCCTCCTTGAGACACGAAGCTTGGTGAGGACATTCATATGAGACGTTTCTTGAGGACATTCGTGGTGAGGTCAATGCTATGATTGTTAGATGTGAGATGGAGACACTGGGCTTCAAAAACCTGTTGTCTACTGATCCGGATTATGAGAGATGTGAGTAGGGACTGATGAACAACTCCCTTTGTCTTGTGGTTTAAGCGGATGATCATATGTGCTTTGGACTTAAGATCTGGAAATTAAGGGGTTTATCTTCCAAGACACACTTGTTTGTGTAATATTACGCCACAAAAACTTGTCTGTTGTCTTGAAACGTATTCTGGTTGAATCAGGGTCTCTGTTTGAGCTTCCTGATTTGAAAAGGCACCCTGGAAGATACAATTCTTTTACGACAAGCACGGTTCTTGTACAAATGAAAGGTGAAACCACCTATGAGATTGAATCAACTTTACTTAACACAACAGGAGCATTCGAGGATTTTTGGAAATGGGCGAAAAGGCCTCCGGGCTAAAATATAGATAGCCTGTACCAAAACCTGTACTGGAGTTGAGCTATGTGAAGTCCATTGCCACCTATACCAAGTCACGAGGGTCATGTCCCAGCTTCTCTCATTCACTTGACTAGGATAAGCTTGAAAAACCAGTGGTGCACAAAAAAAAAGTGTGAGATGAGGAGGATTCACAACAACTCTGATCTATGTAGAGGTCTTTTTATATTACAAGCCCTTTTTCGACTTCTCCCAAATCACTCGTTGGGACGTGTGCATTCTATCTAAAAAAATTAACTTTTGCAATTGTTTGTTTTTCTTTTACAATGTCTATTGGGTCTTTTATCATATATAGTACCATTGATTTTGAGTCATGTCGAGCTACATCGAGATCAGTTTCAACCACGTTCAAACTAAACAATATATATATATGGGATGTTTGTAACAATACATGACTATTTCTTTTACTCGAAATCAGACTAAGACTTCCCAGAAAACCTTGTTAAGGTCTGTTCAGGTATGGTTAGCGTATCTGTAGGCTGGAAAGCGAGCTGTCATGAAAATGTGATATCAACCATTGAAGATCAATGCGTAAAGATCCTGATGAGACCTGATGATGTTATGTTCCATGGATTCAGAAGGTGAGAATGGTTAACTCGCAGTTTATGCATCATTTTCACATTTACCATTCCCTTGTGTTTAAAAATCTATGAGTAAAAGCTATAGGCCTTTCCCTGGTTGAGTCTTTGCATTCTCACTTTAATTCTGAGAGCTTTTTGTGTGTTCCAACTGTTCTACATAAACAAGAAGAGTGGACTCCACATGTACAAGTTATACACAAGGAAGCCACCAGAAGTCTACCGAGGTACAGGTTGGTGTGATATACGGTGGCGTTTAGGTCATTATTGCCCGGAGATGCTTTCACCCAAATCCAACAATACTCCAATTCTCTGAACAAAACATTCACTCCCCAAGATAATGTTTACCAACATTTCATACCTCTTGAGTTACGTTTGGTAGCCCTTACAAAAGCTAGTTTGACTTTTCTTCAGTTCATTTCTAGTTTCAGAGCCATCAATTTGTTCCTTTCATTAAAACCACTTTGATTGTCCAGAGATTCAATCAAATCTTGGCTTGATCCTTCATTGAAAAAATAACATTAAAACCACTTTGATTGTCCAGAGATTCAATCAAATCTTGGCTTGATCCTTCATTGAAAAAATAAAACTTTCACAAAACTTAAACCAAAGTCTAACTGAACAAAAGATTATATGAGCTGATAAGATGCGTAACAATACGCGTAGGACTTCAACCAAAGTCTAACTAAACAAAAGATTATATGAGCTGATAAGATGCGTAACAATACGCGTAGGACTTCAACCAAAGTCTAACTAAACAAAAGATCATCTGTTGGATACTTGGTGGGAAACAACCAACTATTAGTCAGTTCAATTAAATATCTTATAGGTTCAGGATAAAGGATATGTTAGTTGGTGTAGTTATCGAAAGCTCAATAACAATCTTTGGCAACAATGAAAGAGCACGGGTCTGACATCATAACAGATGACATAAAGGAATACACCAACATAAGTTCAAAGTACGTTATTGATTAATTAGTGAAATTCTACTTACTCTTTTCAAAGATAGGAAAGAGAAGCAAGTTTGAGTGATTCAAAGGTATACGTATAATATTGAATTCTTCATTTTTTCTTGTTGGGGTAGGTTATAATGCTGCACCTTTCTTTTCTCTTCTCATATTTCTTTTCTTTTCAACTACTTAATACTCTAATCCTAAATTTGTTTTAATAAGGACTCCTCTCTATTTTTATCAATTGGACATTTCAGCATCAAAGAATTCAGTAGATTATGATTGAAGAGGGAACATGAACATAAAATGGACCAAAAGAATCAACAAATGTGATTTTAAGTGATCTTGAAGAAAGTTTAAAAAGTCTACGCAGTTTTCCAAAAAAAGCTGATATCAATCCGAAGATGTAAAACAGAGTGAAGTTAGAGAAGTCTCAATTGGAGAAATTTCAGCTCATGGCAAATCGTCTATGGATGCTTTTTGCGTTTTGGGGAAATGTAACTACAATGCGGAAGTTGGAACGTGCTGATTCTTTGAAGAAAGAAGAAAGAGCTATTCACACGCGTTTTTGTGTAGATGGATTTTGTGCTCAGCAATTTACGCCACATTGACCATGTTATTTTTTTGAACTTTTTCTACATGAGTAAAAAGGCCGTAGAAAGCAGAGATAAGAATCCACTTTTCAGACCTGCTGTGGTTCCTTTTTTTTCAATCTTGATTGGCTTCTAAAAACGTAAAGTACGTATACAAATAGAAGTAGAAAAGATGACAGGCAAAACATGTGAAGCAGAAGAGGGCCTGCATTTTTTTAAGCGTACAATACAAAATATATATTGTAAAAGTTGACTCCTCATTTGATTTGTGTGATTTCACCCTGCTTTTTTACCAAATGGGGTGTTAAAAGCGGCTGTGAAAATGCCTTAGGATAATCAAGGCTGTAGTGTACAAACTATGCTTGATCAAATCAAGTTTTTCTTGTGAAAAGTCAGATTACAACCTCTAAAGCTAACTCGCTTTCCTCATCGATTGATTTGCACAAAATCAATCTGTCTATCCATCGGGACAGTACTTAATCTGTGATCCTTGTTCCATTTGATGAGTCTGAAGGGAGTCCTATTGTCACATATTCTCATCTCTTCCAATGACATGCTTTAATCATCGAAGTGGCCGGAAGCAAGATTTGCACCTGAATCAGCTCTTGTCCCGTGGCAAGAAACATATGACCAAACAAAAAGCAGCATCTCAGGATTCTCCTTCTTGACATCATTATTGATATGCATCACTCAAGATCCCCTTGAGTTTACAGAGGCTTGATGTTCAAGAATTTTTCATCCTAATCGAGCAAAAAAACAAAGGCGCCTGTTTTACACACTACTCAGCGGCCTAACTTAAGCTACGCGCGTGTCATGAAAGTGAGTTAGTAACCTTTCAGTTTTTCAATATGTAATTTGAGCCCTCAAAATTCAATGGCCAAATTTTCAAACTCTACGTAGTATCTTTGATTTCAAAAGCAGAACAGTTTGTGCATTACAGCTTGGATTATCCTGCGTAAAACATGTAGGTCACAACACCCAAAGGCCAATTTTACGGCTGTTTTTAACGCTCAACGTGGCATAAAAAGCGGGGTACTGTCAAATCAAATGAATCAAACCGGAACAATATTCGCCCTTTTTTGCTTGAATAGTCTTGTCTCGCGGCAAGTCAAACAAAACCCAAACAAAAGCAGCATCTCAACAGATGATATTTTTTTACGTCGTGATTAATAAGGATCACTAGAGATCCCTTTAAGTATACATAGGCTCAGTGTTCATCGTCTTTTCATCATAATCAAAGGCACCGGTATTACACAATCTGCTAGACGCGTGTGATCTGTTCGGGCTGAATTTTTTCTGATCAAAAACAATCATATACGGAGCAGCTTTTCACTATGAGATACAATCCATACACATTGAGTTTTTATTCCTTCTCTGCGGTTCACTGGCTGACTGCATTCTATCTCTTTCTTTGGCTTTTTTGTTGACTTTTCAGTGTTGCCTCTTGATTGGAGCACAGTGTCTTCTTGTTCATATATTTGCATCACTAGGTAGAGCTTTCATTTTGTGATTATATTGAATCAACCTGCATACCTTGTTCATCCTCTCTGTCTTTGCGGTACACTGGCTGACTTGATTTTCTTGTGTTATTTGTTATAGATTTTTGTCCATCACCTGTTGATCGAGGTCCATTTCCTTCTTGTTCCAATAATTACATCACTCGGTAGCTATTTCATCTTGAGATAATATTGAATCAACCTTCAATATTTGTTCTTCCTCTCTGTGGTACACAGGCTGACGGTAATCTATCTCTTTTTTTGGCCGTATTTGTTATAGCTATCCGTCCATCACCCATTGAGCAAGGTCCGATTTATTTTAGTCCAGATACCTACCTCCCTAGGTAGCAAATTCAGTGTAAGATTTTATCCACTCAACTTTCAATCTTTGTTTCTCTTCTCTGCGGAAAATTATCTGACCATATTCCCTCTCTTTTGTTGATCTTGTTTGTTATAGCTTTTATATCATTTCTGCCATGCGCCTAACTATCAATGGTGATGTCTTTGGAGACGTTGTACTCAATGGAGTTAACTCCCAAATAGTTGGAAATCAGGCTGCTCGAATCCTTCAAAGACGACCAATACTTGAGCCGGCTCGAGTGCTTAGAAGACGCCAAGTTCCTCAACCGGTTCTCCCTGCCCCTGCTCGAGTACTTCGAAGGCGTCGCATTCCTCAAGCCGCGCGCCCTCAGCCTCCTCGAGAGCTTCGGAGACGTCCAGTCCCCCAAAACCCAAGGCGTTACAGTTGTGTTCCAATCCCATCCCATCAGGAGGATCCTATCTTTTGGGACAAAGTCTTCAAGCTACCGCATGACTTCCTCCAATACATTTCGCCAACTTGTGACCTCCGTGATCATTTCACCACATGCCGGATTCTTCGGGACATCATCCTTTATTTCAATCCAGGCTATCAACTGCCGCTCAATGCGCGGAAGTCCGAGCTCATCAAAACGTTTCAAGATCTTGTGATATGTCAGTATGGAAAGGTGTACGGGTTTTGAAAATTGTATGTCTTTCACCTCCCCAAACATCATGAATAAAATATGCTCAAGTAGCATTGGTGATGACTTTTTTTTGTATCCAGGCTTGGGAGCAAGTAAAATAGGATTGTGCTTGTCTGGGATTGCTTGGGAAACTGTGTGATCCCTGTGATAGTATGCTCAAGATCAATAGTTTGTTACGCTATACCATATGGAGTGATGATAATTAACCTGTCACATACTGTTCATTTGTCGTATTTGATTCCTTGTGCTTGATACATCACGCGTATTAAGTAATGATATGTCTTCAAGATAAGTATGCTTGTGTTTTGATGTGTTTTGAATTGTTGTTCAATTTGATTTCATCACTCTCAACAGGTGTATAATTTTCCAAGCGTTTCATAATGGCATCACATGCACCATTTCAAATCGGGACAACACTTGTATGTAATTTGTTAAGTATGAAATGTCCCTCTCCATATTCTGGAGTTCCTTCTCGATTTTTCCTTGATATGAAGTCCCTTGGAAAACAATCAACTGTATCTCACACTTGGTACAATAGACTGCTGTAATGAGTAATCCTACCAAGAAAATCTACTGAACACAAGAGGTATCGATGGATGTTGTGTATGGTCTAATGAAGATTTTCTTGTTATATGTAATGCTTGTTATTTTCAGGTATTTGTCTTATCTTTTGACTCCGAGAACTAGGATATATAGATCAGATCTGTAAAATTGTGTTGTGTGCTCATTTCAATGGTCTTCACGAGGTCCTTGAGAATGGTAGCGTAGTTGTCAGAGTTGAACATTGATGGAAGGCGCTTAAGCACAGGACATACAAAGATGCATTGGGCCTCATCTGTGTTTTCATTTTCTTTGATAGTGATCTCACCTGTTTGTTTTCTTTCATAGTGATCTTACTTGTCTACTTTTATAGTTCTTTCCCTGGTCTAAAGAATCATGCTTATCATCTTTCGCTGAATCATATGAATTAAGTCAATAAGGTTGGAACTCAAAATTGTCTCACTGATACAATTAATATAATCTCATCTGTCGCAGTTCTCCTAAAGAACATCACCATGGTATCTCTGAAGAAAAATCAAAGCTTCAACTTGTTGGTTTCAAATCACAAATTCCAATACTCTTACTGTCTTTGTGGGTAAATTCAAAAATCTTGTTTGTGAACCGGCTCTATCTTTTAACACGGAAGAGAACGTACATGCAGTGGTAGTCCCTTCCTCTTACTCGTGAAGGTGTTGTAAATTGTTTCCTTTATCATGAAGGACAAAATGGTTTGACCTGTATAGCTATCAAGGAAGTCAATGGAGTTGAAGCTCACAAGCTGAGTGCTCATCAATGAATAGCTCTTCTTGTATAGCCCGCTTGAATTGCACACCCTCAACAACAGATGCATGCTGAGTATGATGGGAAATTGCCTTTGAAATTCACAAAACACAAAACACTCACCCCTTTGTTCAATTGTCTGATCTTTGACTGCGTTTGACTGCGTTTGACTTCATACTTTAATGATATTGAAAGCAGTAGCTACCTCCCATCAAATTCTTTTATCTCGTTCATAAATCATTGATCGTATATCCTTTTCATATCTTTCCTTGAGTTTTTGGTCAATAAATGTCTTTTGAATATCCACCCTCAGTCAGTAAATTTTCTAAACCCATTCCTCCACGACTTCGATCTTATGGAGCAAAATTTCCAAGCTCAAGTACTACAAATGGGATCAACTCTTCCAATAATCTTGTGTGTTCAAATTGTGAAGACTTCAATGCATGTGTCACCGAAATCTTCCAGCGTCTAGGATACATAGAAAGACACTTACACGAGAACTTTCAAGATTCAATAGACAAGTATGACCAGCTGCAGGCAGAGGTTGAAAAACTCTGGAACGCGAAGAAACAGGATAGGCATACAATACATCAACCATTAAGACGATTGCGGGATGAATTCGATTCAAGCGCTCAAGCTTTGGAAGATTGTAGGGATGGTTTGCAAACCACACGTCATCTTCTTCAAGAGAAGGTACACGGGCTGAAAGGTTAGTTATTTGTGCTCCTCAGCATCAATAAGAGTCACACAAAGCCTGAATGTATCACATACATTGGTCAGTTTTACTTGAAAGTACTTCAAAAAACTTCAGAGATATGTTGCAAAAACATGAAGATTTGGAAAATACGCAAACAACATCCTTAAAGTATCTGATTTCCACCACTAGAGGTGAAATTGTGAAGCTTTTGCAAACAGGGACAAGTCAGTATATTGGACATTTACAGCTTGGTTGATACTAGCGCTTATGGTCTCGGATTTGGTCAGATGAACTGCATGAAGCAAGATGTCTACGAGTTTCATGTGAAAACGAAGTTTACAATGCTAAAACGGAGCTCCAAGAATTCCAGCAGGAGGCCCGAGGTAGGTTTTTTCTACTTTGATGAGCGGCATATTGAGAATATATATTGCTTTATTGACCTGCTCCTGGTTTATATCAGAGGAGCGAATTAGAGCAGCCATAAATCATGAGCAGGCTTATGAAAAATGTGACGAGGCTTTAGCCACTCTATCCAGTGCAATGGAAGATTTTGAAGGAAAGACATACATCAGGATAAGTGAGCTAATTTTCAAGTCCACATCCAACATTATGCTAATATATTCCTGACGTGTATCAACTACTAGAGAAGCGTATTTTGAAAAATGTGGATCTTGCATATGTGGCCAGTCCCAAGATCGAGAGCTCAAGAGGTTTGGTGACCAATAGAATAGGAGGCAAGTGCTTAATTTTCATACACTGTAGTATTCTCATCCTTCTATGCATATCAATAGGTGTTTGGGGGTCACTGTTGGTATGTTTTAGAAGTAGCCCTGGAAGATATCCGCTGTACCTTGGTACAGCTAGCAGTAAATTCATATAACATTAGTCATTGCCCATGATGTTGTTTGGATTTGAGCAATTTCCATCCGCTATTAAATTCCTCATGATACAGTATACTTGTACATTGGATGATCTTTCATTGTTATTCCCAGAGTATGACCATGATGTTTCAGTGAGCTGTGGCCAATTGTTTGTTTGACGTTGAAGTGATTGTGATGATTGACGTCTTGATGATATTGTGTCTCAGTCTGAGGGAAGATTGTGGGTAAGCGTCAAAGTGGGTATTTGGGGTGCGGCTTTCAGTATGTTGTGTAACTCAAGTCAAGAGAACAGAGATCGTGATGCCCCATCCTGAAAGCCTCCGGTGCGGTGCGCACTGACCTAGCGAAGGAATGATCATCAAAAAGTGAAAGCCAAATGAGATCGAGTTAAGTAAATCGTACGATCTCAGGATTTAAAGAGGCAATGGAGCCAGGCTATCTCAATCGTGATGGGATGATAATCACCAAAGTAATCTCTCTTCTGCTTGGCTTGGATTGGCCTCCACCTATTATTCTAATGTGGCACTAGTTTGCCCTCTCTCCGAGACACCACAGCTGGGCTCTTTCTAGCAACAAATGAGTTGTGACTGTTAGCGCTATTTGAGGGGGTCAGGTCGAGATAATCTACGTTGAAGTTCGTGAATTTACGGCTTGTGATTCAAATTTTGTGAACAGACCTGCGGAAGGAATAATTCCCAAAACAATAATATTACGCAATGAAGCCAGGGTCCCTCAATCAAGATGAGGGATAATCATAGAGGTAATCTTGCTTGCGCTTAGCTTGGCTGGGATTGCACCCATGATTCTTATGTGGCACTAGCTCGTGCCCTTTGTCCTAGACAACTGTTCCGGGTTTTTTCTACAACTAATTGAGTTGTGACTGTGAACACTCTTCAGAGGTGTTAATTCAAGATGATCTACAGTGTCACGATTTTAATTTAAGGAAAATGCTTACTTGCAATTGAAATTTTGGCAAAGCTTTTTTACGGCTAGGATAATCTCCTTTTGTGGTTGTGCCGTTGAGAGAATTTTTTGTCGTAAATTTCCCAACTTGACATCCCTTTCAAAATAGAAATCCTCAATTTTCCATTCCAATATCTCTTGATCCGTCAAACCAAAAAACCTAATAATCTAGCAATTTATCTCCCAATGATGATCAAAATCACAATAGAGATGGACCTTGGTAAACTTAACTCAGAAGGCGTGCTACCAATTTCTACATCTTGTCACAACTTTGATCCCGCTAAAGATTCTCACATCCCCCAAAACATGGAAAAGACTTGTGAGTAATGTGTATTCTTTTAAATCACATAGTGCTAGTGTATACTAAAGTCCAGATGATTCAGCTCCAGGTGGTGTCGAACACAATGATCCCGACCAAGAAAACAATGTCAATGATGAAAACAACGTCAACAAAGAAACAAAAGTCAATGAAGAGAACAATGTGAACTCAGTAAATAACACCGATCAAGAAAATTATCCGGGGGAAGTGATCCTGGCTGACAAAAGGTTAACGTGGTATCAGTTTGGTGAAAGTGAAATGCAAGAAAGCACATCTGGTACATGTTAGTTATGCCTATCCAAGCTTCATCTTTCCCATGAGTGGTACCCCACTGAAACTGTTTTCTCTCAGGGGAATCACCTTTCATCGAGGACCATGTCCACCATCAAATTAAATCTCCTGAAAGCCATGACAATCAGATCAAACGAATCAATAAGCGTCAATTGCTCCCAAACCAACAAGCGGCAGGATCTAACAAGCGCCGACACCACTGATTCTTATCGCAACTAACTTACTAGACTCATTCTACTTGTCCCTGCACTGGTTTGATGACTTCCTTGAAAAACTTGAGTTAATTACATGGATTCTTTGTGCCTGATGATTGTATCCTATCTGTTTCAATTGAGCTTGATGTTGTCATTCAATCTGAACGCATTTAAATTACTGAAAGAGTTTCTTCTTTGATTACGTGTCCTAAAAAAAATTCCCATAAAATTATTGTGAGATCATGGATGCCTATAAAAGATCCTGGTAATCTTGACCAAGATCATAAGCTGGATCAACATTGGGTTTTGAGATTATCATTCAAGTTGTGCCTCAGTTTTCCTTTGATTCGATGAACTGTCTTGTTACTGGTACTGATACTTGATGCTTCATCTGTAAAAGGAAAGTACACCAGATATTAGCTTGAATGAGTCAATTTTATCATGAAAAGCTTGGAGAATGAATTCAGGTAGATATAATTTAGTCACCGGTGAATTTAGTCATCAAACCAACCCCTAGCTCAAGAATTTTAGGATTCTCAGAATGATAGAGATAAGGCAAATTATTTCTCCACACTCAGAGCATATTTTTCCCTTTTGTAAGAATATGGAGCACTGAGTTCATTTTCTCAGTGGTAGCGTACTTAAATCAGCTGTTGCTGTTGGTGTGGCTTCATGAGTTTCTGATCTCTCCATTTTGGTTTATTCGGATTTAAAAATTGAAAAGGACAAACTAAACCAGAGTTAGATCCAATCCAAATTTAAAACTAAATCATCTATTTCCTTTTGAGAAATAGTACAATTGTTTCTCACCCATCAATTGCAGTACTGATTTAAACAATCATCTATGTGGGTCTCTTCCTTTAGTGACTTCAACCAAGAACATGTATAATTGTAGTTAGTTTTCTTCAAAATTTGTCTGCAGTGGAATTGATCCATTGCTCTATGATCAATTGTTTGAGTCTTTCTAGAAATGTAAATTATGGGGAAGTCTGACTTTCGTATAAGAGGATCTTTTGATTGATGGACTACAACTTTTCAAAAGATCCACCAAATGTGAAAAAGAAGAACATGTAAATTGGTTAAACAAATAAGTGATTATGTTACTTCTAAATGACTAGTTATGAACAGAGCACAATAAAGAGACAATGCAGTTTATAGGAAAGACCGATTCACAACTTGCTCTATCAATTACGTGTAGATTCATGTTATCATATGAATCCTTTTTGACACAAAACAGAACTAATTTATGTTTTGCTTCTCTCTTACACTAAAAAAAGGCTTAGCCCTTACCTCACTTTGAATTTTTTTGATTGTAATCATATCTACGGCGTGTTTCTGCAACAGACAAAACTTCATAGGCCTCCCTAATCTGATAAGCAAGAGAAGATAAAATAAACATAATGTCTCAACAAGCAGGGAAGAATTGATAAACACTCACTTGTTGAAAGGCAACAGTGTCCCCACTTTTATCTGGATGGAAGAGCAAACTACACCGCCAGTAGGCCTTCTTGATTTCGATGTTGTTGGCCATATGTGAAAGACCTAAGCGCTAAAATTGTAGAATTGCACACAAAGGAAGCAGTGAGACATATGTATTGGACCTCATCAGAAAACAGGAGCAATTACTTCATAAAGATCAAGTTTCTTAACAGTTAAGCGGTTGTTTTTGTTGTTTGAACAGCTAGTCTTTGGCTTGGTGGCATGCGCATGGACCCTCGCCAGCCAAAGAAAGTGTTGATGGTGTTGGTCAATGTGTAGATAGTGGATTGGACTCCATACTTTTTTCAAAGTGGTATGAACATCTTCAAGCTGCCCAAGACAGAGAAAGGCCTCAGCCAAAAGCAAGTGGATCCCAACCAATGCATGTTTCAAACTTTCTCCAATATCAGTGCCACTTCTTTCCTCTGTTCGACGTACTGCATACCTCAAGAGGCCAACAGCATTCCGTGGTTGTCCTTCAAAAAAGTATTGAGTACCATAATTATAAATAAGTTTTAAAGATTCCACTGTTTCTCTCTCATGTTCGTCTTGCAGGACACTCAAATCTGTGTTCTTGGTCAATGAGAATTCAGGTGTATCAGCCAATCCTGCAGATACATCCATGAAAGTCTGATGAGTCATGTCGCACTCACCTTTTGATGAGATAACAGGGGTTGCTGGGCCTTTACCTCAAGATAAAGCCGTGATAAATCCTTAAAAAGTGGATGTGTTATATCAATCGTTAGTAGCCTCTTAGGACGCCAAGCATCCTCAAGGACTTCGTGAGCTGTGTCCTCTTTCTTCAGGTTCAAGTAGCACCGGGTGAGATCAAGGCAGACTTGGATCATCTTGGTATCAGGGTATTCTGGAATGCTCTGTGACTTCTGTTCACGATACAGACACAAGAGCAAACGAAAGCGATGGGCAGCTAGCAGGAAGTTGCCATTGCTATATGCTTTTGATGCTTGAAAATATAGAGGAGGAGATATTTGGGATTCCTGCTGAGAAGCTCAAGGTTTTCAGTACAACGACTGATTATTTGCCCTTCCTGAGGCCAAGAGAAAGCCCGGAAAAACTGACCTTTGCGTTTTCCTTATAACGCTTGCTTGGATAGCAGGGGTCTGGATCACCAGCAGCCGGTTCGGGGTTCTCTGGTTTGTTGGGTTCAGCCTGCCGTTTTTTTGGTTTAGATGAAACTACCGGAGGGATTGACGGAGTTTCCACAGGGTCATGTGAATCATTGTCCCTTACAAGGGGAACATTATCTTGTTGAGTTGGTGAACATCGGTCTCTGGACACTGAGAATATGGTGGAGATGACCATGCTTGCAAGGTGGATATTGAAAGCGTTATGAGGTCTAGAGCGATTACAAACTGAGACTTATAGGAAATTTTGGGGATACAGTGGTTGCTAATGTTCAGGTGATGTTCAGAGAAACGTTCAGGAGGATTGATGGATTTTTTGAGACTCACCGGGAAGCTCAGTATACCAGCATATAATTACGCAGTACCGTGTTCTGGGTCTAGCTGAGCAATACCTCAGGGAAATTTTCTCAACGAGCTGATAGCTGATACATACATATGGATGTTAATTACACTTCAAGCTTGTCCAATCAGCATCATGGTGGCATGAGCTTTTGAAGGCTTCAGATTCAAGACTTAGACCAAAGCTCTGAAGTAGGTCTCAATCGGATGATCCAACCCATTCGTCATTTACTCCATCCACAACTCTACAACTTCTCTTCTCTGTATCAATACCATATGTCAAGCCCAAGATTCAATACATCAATAATTCCCTCAAGAACACATATTTGCTTCATAGGGATCTGGCCAATGAAAGTTCCCTAGTTTTTTTTATTGTATATATTATCAGATATGGCATATCTCTCTCAAACGGATGTAAAACTCAATTTCCTTGATATGTACATGAAATACAAAATCTCTCATTTTTCAAAGTCTTCTTATCCTGCCGATTGAAAAGTAATCTATAATCTGATGTTTACATTTTCTTGTGAACCTTTTCTGAACTTCACATTTATCATCTGTTTTCTGAAAAATTAAGTCCTCAGACTCTTGTTTCTTCTTGCTGTTACTGGATACATAGGCGCAAGTCAAGCCATGCACACACATAGCAAGCGCCCGTCCACCAATCAAACAAAGTAAATTGCTGCATATGAAGCTATCAAAAGAGCTTGAAATAAAAAGCTGGGTTGCTGCAGTCAGAGGTTCCAAGTTGATTTCAAAGTGTGTTGATTTGTGACAAATTGTCCTTTGATCACAGGGAACATGGAACAGTAGGACTTAAAGTATGATCTAAATTTGAGTCAATAAAGATCTTACAAAACAGACTAAAAATAATTAAAGTACAATCAAACTTCATTATCAATACCATTTCTCTGCCGTGAATTTCCATGGCAGTGGTGAGAACAGTGTCCTAGGCGTACTGAAGTACTAAAGGAAACCATTTGGAAAAATTTCCTAGGCGCACTGAAGTACTAAAGGAAAAATTCATTATGAGTAAAGATGGGTACTGTGGTATATATATCTTTCACGCTGGGTCAATGTTCAAATCCCACATCGTGCGTTTTATTGAAAATTGGATAGATGTGACTTTAGTAGGTTCAACTTCAGTTGTTTAGGATGATGAAATTTGGTGGTTTTGTTCAATAAATTCAACAAAATATTGTCAAGTAATTACGGAGAGACAACACTGACACACTAAAAAAAGATAATTTCAACTTCAGTTGATTGAATTAAGTAAGTCAATTGTTCCATCCTTGTCCTTTGCGATACAGACTAGGCTCTAGGAACCTTCACTATATGTATGTAGATTTGTTTACGTCATGAGAAAGCATTTGGAACAAGAAAGTCAGAAAGCCAAAATTGAAACCAAGTCGTGAGTTAAGGACCTATAGTTCATATTTTATTTTCTGTTTTTTGTGAACTTCATCTGAAGTTCACATTTTCTTGTGAACTTCATCCCACATTCTTATTTTATGAAAGTTCACATTTTTTGTGAACTTCACCAGAACTTCACATTTTCTTGTGAACTTCACCTGAAGTTCACATTTTCTTATGAACTTCATCTGAAGTTCACATTTTCTTGTGAACTTCATCTGAAGCTCATTTTTCGGAAGTTCACATTTTTTGTGAACTTCACCAGAACTTCACATTTTCTTGTGAACTTCATCTGAAGTTCACATTTTCTTGTGAAAATCAAATCTTATTTTTCACAAGTTCAGATTTTGTGTTTCTTCGTGAAATTCATCTGAAGTTCACAATTTCTTGTGAACTTTCCAAGATTCTTATTTTTCAGAAGTTCACATTTTTTGTGAACTTAACCAGAACTTCACATTTTCTTGTGAACTTCATCTGAACTTCACATTTTCTTGTGAACCCCAACTGAAGGTCATATATTTTCATGAATTTCATCTCAAGTTGATGTTTTTTTGGGTACTTCATGTATTCATGGAGAGCAAGATCAAATGATCTAGAAATAACACAAGCCTGAGATAACATAATTGACATATGGTGTTGAGACAGAGAAGAAAAATTGAAGAATTGCTGATGGTAAACTCATCAGAGTCCCACGCTGGAGTACTCGTGAGACGTCGAGCGAGGGACTCAGGACAAGTTTGCTAGTTCTGGGCTGTGAGGGTCAAGACTTTTTGGTTGATCCTATGCTAGGAGGTATGAAGACGTCAAATTGAGAGTCTCTAAACCAAAAGAAATCATGTACATCTTGGTCTAAGTTGTGGCTTTACTTCCTCCTTCTAAAACAAATCATACCAAGAGAATTGGCCAAAAAAGTTCAACATCCCGTCAACAAAGCATGGCAACAAATAAGGGTCATTGGAGGAAAACTTTGAATTGCTAGATGATGATAGAAATTTCTGGCAAGGAAACCTAGAAGCTCCTCTATAAGAGGCCCAATGATTGATTTAGTTGCCTAAGGAATAAAAAACATTTCAATGCATCTTGCCTCAGACTAAGATATCATTTATAATCTCGTAAAGAAAAGCGGAAGTAGAGCAAAAACAATGGGACACTTGATGTTATGGAGTGTAAGTAAGCTCAATCAAAATATCTCATCTTTGATCACAGTCAGGGAGCTTACCTTGCAGGCTTTGAAGTGAGTAACACAAGGGACTAGTCCTTTAACTCATCAAACAAAAACAAAACACCAATATTTCATATCACGGATAACAAGGGTGGATGTGCAAGTTGAAAAAGAGATCAGAGTAATAGAACCCCATGTACCATTCATAATTCCTACTATGAAGCTACAGATGATGGATCTCAGATCAGTCTTATGGAACCCAAGAAGATTTTAACATACCAGCTCTGTCAGCCAATAAGAGGTCAGTCCACTGGCTACTACATTTGAGAATTGAAGCCTAATAAAGAGGATGATAGCATTAAACGCATTCAATTTAGTCCCCTTGGATATCTCTTTGATCCCCCGTGATTCACGCTGTGTCTTTCTCCTTTGACTTTTTGTTAAATTCTTTCCCGGCTTGTATTCCCAAATACAGTGTTGGAAAAAGCCATAACTTGCCTTTGGGTGTTGTGACGTACATGTTTTCCGCAGGATATTGTACGCAGTAATGTACAAACTTTTATGCTTGATCAAGTCAAAGGTACCTTGTGAAAAGTCAAATTTTCCGGCTGGAGAATTTGGAAACTCAACAATTGGATTTGTTGGAGGATCAAATGACATATCTACAGAAATGAAAGGTAACTCACTTTCATGACACGCGCGTAGTGTGAGTTAAGCAGCTGAGTATTGTGTCATACAGGCACCTTTGTCCTTTGCTTGATCATGATGAAAGAATCTTAAACATTAATAAGCCTGATAAATGACTTCAAGTGTAACGATTAGACCACATGTGCACTGATTAAATACAAAAAAATAGAAGGGATCTCAAGACAAATCAATGGAAATGAGAAAGAACTGAACTAATGAGAAACAATCGTTATGATATTGGGGATGATAGCTGGGTGAAAAATAATTTCTTGATATGAAACTGAGAGTATGAACTTTTTCTGAGGATTTGGATCTGGTGTAGTAAAGTTTTGAAAATTAAGGACAGATTGGTCGATGACTTTGGACTTCTGTTTGAGCTAAACTGATATTAGTACCAGGTTCATTTGTGATCAAATCGTTTGACTTGTTGTATCATATGGCTGAATGAAGCTTATTCTGTAGGAGTGTTATTGTACATGCGAAAATTGGATGTCAGATTTTGACTCGAGTGCTTTATGAGTCAGACTGGCTACCAGGAGAGACAAACCATTGTTGAAAAGTGCATTCCAAAACTCTCTACCTTCTTTTCGGATTCTGGACCACAAGGACAGTCCGAATACATAGCGTAGTAGGAATACCCCCAACATTGCCTCTGTCATCCAAGTCATACCGCCCGATAGTCGTCCACAAAATCCGCGCTTTGCCTGGAACCCAAGAGGCCGCATGATATTTTCTTTGGCAAGAGCACAAATCTCGGATTGGAGGTGATCTGGTGCTTGAGATAGATGATCATTCCAGAAAGCGTAGACCAAAGTTTGTGCCAGGTTAACCCAGATTGTGATGGTTTGACAGAGGCGTAGGACAGGGTTATACGCTTCAAAGACGATCCAAGCAGAATATATGGGTAGAAGATGACGCAAGAGCCCACAAGAGATTTCAAAGCGAGGAAGGACCATGATATGATGTGTAGGCTTCTGTCGAAGTTTGGTTTTTGGAAGAGGAAATTGATGTTGATCTGTTGGGAGATCTCAAGGGGATGATCTAGACTTAAAATACCCGCCCTTCAAGCACAAGATTCACCGTGCCTCTTGTTATCGGTGCTGGTCTTTGTTTCTTGCCTTGGGATGAACAGGCTGACCAAATGAACATTGATCACCTAAATCATTTCATCTCTGGGTTATGTTGCTCACTGCTGAGTGATCACTAACACTGAGATATGGCTCAGTGAGTCCAAAGTTAGCCACCTAGGTAAGCTTGGGCTATAATGCGTGTTTTGTTGAAATTTGCTCATTCTCCCTTTAAAATGTTTGTCTAAAGTGCTTTCATTGTTATTCAAATACACTTATACAGTTTAAATAAGGACAGAGGAGAATACGTAGGAATATGTAGATACAGCTAACACCTTGTCACCTTGAAACCCCGATATATGTAAAACTTACTGGTACTACATAATAACCATATAAAACACAACCTCTAGACTCAGCTAGTCTCCAGGTTTGTACACTCTTGAATCATAAAAAGTCTCTGAAGTGTGCCCAAACTTGTGCATAGAAACTCATGACTGAGCCACATCCGTTTTTTTGCGTACTCATCATGCTGAACCAATCAGAGAATTTGATTGCTGATCTGCGGCACCGCGCCTGAGGATGCGGCTCTCAAGAATGGCAGCACGAAAGGAGTTTATGTGAAGAAATAGAGCAAGCAAAATACCTCAGAGTATATCTTCAGCAAGTAGTACTTCTCTCTGAAGGCCTCATTTCACTGGAATTGTGTAGGGAGACGGTAAGGAGATGTGGACTACGTCTGTCTTAGTTAAGTATACGGTAATCCTACTGCGGGGAAAGGCCACAGCCATCATACTGGAATAAATCAGAAGTTGATGGCTAACCACACCCATGACATTTTTTGTCTGTCAACGTTCCATTTCATAATCAAAATCGATTTTAGATCACCGCTTACTGCGATCATCATGCCAGGCCAGAGCACTGAGCACCGAGCTTCCCCCAGTCACATCAACGTTACGGAAAGAGAGAGCTGCCAACATAGTGTTGGTAAAAGGTGGGGTCGTATGGTAAAGCTCTTGATCTCCCGATCAGTACGCCGATGGTATTATATATTATTATCTGCTGTTGTTTTATGGTTCTTCATAAGTAAGTGTTTTATACAAGCTTACTTCCTTGTTAGTATACTGACCTGGTTTCGAGTCAGGCTATTCGGAAAGATTGCAAATTCTCAACAAGAAAGTGAATGAATTAGAAGCTGAGATCCGATATATTCAAGAAGGCAACATATCAGGAAATAATTCCACGACTTTGATCATGATGGACGAGAAAATAATTGAATTAGTGAATCAAGTCCGACGTTTACAAGAAACAGAAAACCTTGGACCCATCTTGAACAAGTTGCACAAGACCAAAAAGAAAGTAGCCGATCTGGAATTACAAGTTCAACACCTTCAAGAGGTTCACGATTCTTGGATATCGGCCTTGTCCACAGTCCCTCGTAACATTGGATTATGGAACGAGATAACTACGCTTCGAGTACCTAGTCAAATCAACCAGCTACCGTCCCAGCCTCCTAAGCCAACATTGCAAGATTCCACCCAAGACATCATCATCAACACAATAACAAGCATTGGTCGGGTCTTGCAAATGATCGAACATCTCAAAAATGTTGCGCAAGACGCTTTGGAGATATGCACCAAGGACAAGGATGGTCGGCGAGATTTTGCATTTATACAAACTGGGGGCTCAGTGATTCCTAGCCTGACCTCAGAATCAATAAGTCTCAACAGTAGTTCAAGAAGCTGGAAAACTTTGTTTGCCTCCCTGAGTGGACGCCCCTCGGTGACTTTACCCGATATTGTTTTGATTGGCGACGGCTCAATTGGTGCGTGCTGGGCCTTCCGTGGCTCAAAAGGACAATTAGGTATTGCGCTAAGTGACCCCATCAAGATCACTGGTGTCACAGTTGAGCACATTGGAAAAGAGTTGGCTCAAGATAGTATAGATGTAGCTCCCAAAGATTTCGAGCTTTGGGGTGTGGTCAATGACAAAGATAAACACTCAGAATTTTTTTTGTTTAGTAGCTTCTACGATACGTCAAAAGCTTCAATTGCCCAGACCTTTGAATTTACGCCAACAAAAGAAGTTTACAAAAAGGTCATCTTCAAGATCAATTCAAACAATGGAAACAAACAGTATACATGTGTGTATCGTGTAAGAATTCATGGAGTTATGTGACTTAAGGTGCATGGTTAATGGTCAGCTCATTAATATAAATTCAACGGATCATCATCCAGCTGATTCAAGTACTGATATTTTGTATTAGCTGGCCTCTCCTGCTTTCCCTTTGTAATATGTCTTCAAGCCTTACGGTTAGTTTGTGTTTAGAGTGAAATCACAGTTGGTTGTTTAAATTCAACAATTGTAGTAGTGTCTCGTTATCTGAGTGGAACAAGTGATATGGAAGTGAAGTACTAAAGGAACTTGGAAAAAACACATAGGGACTTATACCACCGGGAGACAAATCACTCTTTGTCTCGCCAGAGTTCCCCTGAATTTTTGTATTTGGCCTTCTTACATCACACCAGTCGATGGAAATCAATTGAAGCTAGTTCCTTTTGGTACAGTCTCTTCACTTCTTGCTTTGACCGCCGTTGCCCCTTCCTCAGATTCTCAGTGCAGATTGATTCCCACCACTAATCTCACTGCCTGATTCACCGGACACTCCCCTGTTTAAAATATGTTCAATGTTGAAGTAAATTTCCCCGTGAAAAAATGCTTTCTTTATATGTGTGCCATCTACTTATAATCTTGTCCAGTAGAAGGTAGCAGGCTTGTGGATCAGTGGTTGTATAGGTGATACAGGGAAGATTAGCAGTTAGCTATTGTAAATCTTGTTTTGAGCAAATTTTTGTCTACTCCATGTATGTTTAGGTGCCTCTGGCCACCCGATAGGAGGTTTATTATTACTTGCTGTTGGTGACTTGTTATTAATTTAGTGGAATGGGAAATTTGGTATTACATTACATGTTTGGACCAGCTTCCTATGTTGCTAAATGCACCGTGAACCACCCCCCATGATTGTTTAATCAATTATTGTGTGAACCAAGTTCCTCTTCCACACGAATTGGTTGAGTTTGAAGAAGTAGGCACTTTGATATGTCTATGGATCAATTTGTATTGGAAACTATAGCGTCGCACACGTTTATAGCACCTTATGTGCTCTTTACCTCAAGTGATTTGATATAGAGTGATGATTGTTTTAATTCCTACTCAACATCATCTTTCCTCAAAGGTCTCAAAAATCTCCTCTTGGTATTGTCATGATTGAGACCTTCTCATTATCTTCATTTTCTTATGAATCCCGTCCCACCCATCTCTTCCTCTCGTTGTTTGATACTTCAGGCCGCTCCTAGCGGGCCTATTTTTAGGCCTCTGAATCAAATTGCTATGTACTTAACTGTTCCACTATATGTGATTTGTATGTCTCTCATTCCTTGGTTATGACTTGTCATCTGATACCCTGTGAAGATTCGGACTTCCTTAGGTCTTATTTTACCCTAAAGAATCTCAGTATTTTTTACCCGAAAGATTTGCAAATTTTCCTTTGATGGTCCTTCCACTAAGTTCCTTCTCGCTTTAGATCACACCAATCAACTACACCAACCGCCATCTATTCACAAATTTCAATCAGAATGAGGAATAGGAATATCAAGACTGGATCATCTAGCTCAGACAATTCCCAGCCCGGTGAGTTCAGTTTGAACAGGAAGCTGGTTGATGAAGATGGCAAAAGTTTACCTTCCTGTTCCACCTTTCAGCTAACAGACTCTCATCACGGAGAATTGCATCCCCACATGCTCCAGGTTTGGAATCTGATGGTGAAAGGATTCATGTCTCAATTTTCAAGAAGAAGCTTGTGTTGACTTGATTTTCAATTGTAACAGCCAATACCAATCGGCACGAGAATTGTCAGCGATGCCAGAACCGTTGCAACCACAACGAGGAAACCTCAGAGGCTTGTTCATGCCATCTCAAAAGGGTGGGATTTAGTTGTAAGTCAATGTAATCTATCATGCCTTTATTATAAAATGTTGAATGTTGAAAATCCGTTTTGCAACCGCTAGACAACTACCGAGTTTCTAACTTGGTATCTGGTGCTTTGGCTGCTTTGGTGGTCTCGGCTCTACTGGTCGTTTGGACTTGCGAAAAATTCCCGAACACTAGAATCTCACCCATCTGCAACCTTTCGAACTGGCACTCACTGATCCCAGCGGCCTGGGAAGGCGCATGTACAGTTTGCCGAGACCAATTTGAAGATTGGTTTCAGATGATTGCACCGAGTAACTTCTGCATATCTTTATTTCAAACTCTTTTGATAGCTTCATATGCGGCGATTTACTTTGTTTGATTGGTGGGCGGGCGCTTGCTATAGGTGTGCATGGCATGACTTGCGCCTATGTATCCAGTAACAGCAAGAGGAAATAGGAGTCTGAGGACTCAATTTTTCAGAAAACAGATGATAAATGTGAAGTTCAGAAAAGGTTCACAAGAAAATGTGAACCTCAGATGAAGCTCACAAAAAAATGTGAGCTCAGATTTTCTGTAAACTCTCATTGTGAACTGGTGAAGGAGTTTATATTCTTTTGTGAACCTTACAAAAACTTCACAATAAATTGTGAACTTCATCCAAATTTGATTTTCATTTTGAAAAAGGTGTATTGATTTCATCAAATGACACGTATTTTGAGTATAACACAAGTTGTAGTAGCATATAACTACGTAGATAACGCTACTTACAACTATTGTAAACCATCCAAGAAATAGCAAAAAGCAATAGAAATCTGAGCACTTCATTTTTTCAGATAAGATAACAAATCATAAATGTGAACTTCACAAAAAGTTCACAATGAAATGTGAATTTTAGATGAAGTTCACAAAGAAATGTGAACTTCAGAAAAGGTTCACAGGAAACTGTGAACTTTGGATGAAGTTCACAGAAACATTACAATTTTCTGTGAAATTTTTCTGAAGTTCACCTTTCATTGTAAGCTTTCATTGTGAACTTTGAAAACACTTCACAACAAAATGTGAACCATGGATGAAGCTCCCAAAACAAAATCCTTTCTCAATTTGATCATTTACTAGTGTAGTTATTGTTCAGGTGGCTCAATTCTTCTTATTTAAGCTATTTGTTTTATTGTTTACCTACAATCATGTTCTTATTGTTAAGAATTTAAAACAATACATTTGTTCAAATAAAGAGAGATCCTACCTAATCACTCCACTTTCAAAATGTGATGCATTTGAGTACAAAAAGGTTCATGAATGATCTTATGAAGTATTATGGAGAATGATCTAATGACTAATAACATTGAACCAGGACTTGATCAGATCAGAAAGCACAAGTATATCTATGACAATGTCCATGGTATCTGTAACCCAAATCATCAAAGAGAGGAAATTTGAAAAAATGAGAATATGGAATGAAAATTTGTTGTAAAGAATACCAACACTATCACAAGCCCACTTGATCATCTCGATTGCACAGGTAGTCAGAAATAACAGACTGAATACAGTCCAAGCTAATTCTCCCAACCGCAGTTTTGCTTGAGCTCCCTTTGAAAGTCTTTCACTTCTACACAAGGCTTCCAGAATCACCTCAATGTCTTCTGTTGTTAGATTATCATTAGAAGGCAGGGTAACGGAGGTTTGCTCCGTTGTAGCCTTCTGTTCTCGAAATTTTCTACGGGTGTTATCTGGCGATGGATTGGTAAGCTGGAAGGATGATGTACTTCATCGAAATTATTTGAGAGACATACCTGACTTGACTAGTAAATGGATATTGTTTGAGAGTACAACTTCTGACACAATTGGGTCCACCAATATTTCTGAGTTCAAAGGAAAATTTTGAAGAATCATTATCTGATTTTCATAATGATTAGTCTACTGATAACTTACCTTTATTCATTGCCATTAGGGTGAAGGTTACTATTAGATGAAGATGATCAGGCTCTTTTGTCATATATTTGATCGTTGTGATGGGTGCTATATCTTTTCTTTGAATCATATTACTACTTCATATACTCAAGAATAGTTACTGAGCCTGTTTTAAAACAGGCTCAGTAATTAATGTTACAGGTTATACTGACAACATTTAACTGTTGGCAATGAATATAGACTGACCCTCAACGCTCATTTGAACTGAATGTGCCGACTCATTTTCAAAACAATCAGTTCTATGATTTGAACTTTCCACCGGTTGGGTTCAGAGGTCTAGTTACTGTCTGAGGGAGCGTTGGTTCCATTGTTCTTCACTCCAGGGTCTGAAAGGGTGACGTCCATTGTATAATGTGGATTTGGCTGAGCACTGAAGAATCCTCAGCGCTTCTTCATCTGTGCTGAACAAGTCACCAGCTGGTGACTTTGACTTGTGCATTTGTTGAGCCTAAGGAGGAATTTCACCGCCCCTTCTTTTCCTCAAAAGGTTGACAAACCGTCCCAAAATCAGCCAACAGTACACATTCCAGGGTTATATCCAGAAATTAATTTATATCGACAAATCATTGATCTTTATTCTATTACCCATCACAGTGTCATAAATCCAATCAATCTTCATCTTGTTAATCAAATATTGTCAGTCCAAAGAGCAATACTATGTTGACTTCCTCAAATAACACCGCGCCCAGATGTGATGTGTGCAAAATCGAGTACCCATACCTTGCAAGATCAACCTCGCCACTCAAATCCATCATTTGCAATCCTTGCAAGTGGATTAATTCACATCCAAATTCGATTGATACTCATGTACACTGCAAAATGTGCAGCTGCCGGTTTTCGAAACTGCCATCCCAGGTCTGCTCTCGCTGCAAAAAGCACTTGGCCTCTGTTGAACCAAGTAAGAAGGTGAAAGGCGCGCATACAAGCTTTTCCTTGATTCATTTCTCCGCACGGTTACTGCGATATTGCCTAATCCAAGTTCTTGTTTTGATTATACAGAAAAAAATAGAATGTGGGCACCTGAGAAGGACTTAGGAGCCACATCAAATGAGACGGATGAAGTTGATAGTTTGGCAAATTCACTTGATGGGTTGTTGATAGATGGAGAGTGTGAGTCTCCAGAGCACTTGACATTTTGATAGTATCAATGGGGGTAGCTAATCACATATTTTACTTCTTACCTCTTTTTTAGCAAGGAACGCTGCACTCTTGAGCAACAGTGCCAGTTTGGCTTCTAACAAGATCGAACTGGAACTCCTTCCTCCTAGACCATCTGCCATATGGATAGATGGAGACTTACTTATGCTCACTTTCCAGAAAGGTGAAAATAAACCAAACTTCCGACCTTATCCAGTGATGTTCCGAGTGGACAATGACGCCTTGATTGGCTGTGGTCGATTCATGAGGTGCTACAAAGCTGAAATCAGAATCAGCAACACAGTACATAACGTTGTTGCGAAGAAAACGTTCTTTAAAGACATTTCTTTGTTACATTACCTGGATCAGGCTGAACTGTACTTCTATGCAAGTGGTGTCTTACATAACTTCAAGGACACCATACTTGAAAACAGAAAATTTGAAACATTACAGCAAGAACTCGTGGCTAAACTACGCGTGAGTCTCAACATATCCATACATCCATTCCCAGGGTCATTTTTCATAAGTTTTTTTACATGATGATTCAGTTTGTTGACCACTTTGTGGTTCAATCGGGAAAGGAGGTGTGGTATTTTGAAGAAGAATTAATCGGCAAATACGAGAAATTTGTTGGCAATCAGAACTTCACTGTGAAAGACTCTTCCAACGAGCTTCACCTGGTGCTTCATGCCCTGGCACATTGGGATCTTCATCAAAACAAAGGACGCTCAATGATATGCGACTTTCAAGGAGTTGGGGGGATTTTAACAGACCCAGTGATGATTGATCTGGAGTAAGCACATCTGATTTAAGTCTATTTCATCTACCAAAAGCTCAAGTCTTTTTTTCGACAGCAAATCCCGGGGCAGTGGAAATACTAATTTTGCTGGGCTCAGATCTTTCATCAGGATGCACCAATGTAGTCACTGGTGTGACAAGCTTGGTCTTTCCCCACCATCAATGTGGAAGAATGAACTCAACAAAATGTCCAAAGAATGATAGGCCAGAGAGGCTGTTAATGAACAATTAATGTACATTTCTCAAAGACACACAAATATCACAAGAATATGAATGAGGTGGATGAAGGGCCTCTAAGGAATACAATATGTATGACTTTTGGAGCATCAGTGTGCAGTGGAGGTTTTGGTCTCAAATTGCTTTATCAATTCAATTTTCTTCCAAACCAATTATACCAACAAGTTATAGTCGATTTTCTTGTGATGAGGCCACTCAAAATTTCACCAGTCAAGACTGGCTTTCTATATTCATATTGTTAAAAGTCTTAAGTTTGATGAAATGTAGCTACAGTGGCAGAGGCTTAGAAATCATATATCAGGCTCTTCATTGGCATTTCCTGCACCCCCAAGCTCCAAACCAACTTGTACACACTTTTCACAATGTCTTCTATCTTTTTGAACCAAATGTAAGGGTTTCTTTTCTAAGCCAAATGTACTGTCGAGCTACCGCCAGTCAGGTACGCCATAAAGCAGGAAGCACAAACAAAGGAGCTCAAATCTCACCAAACTGTCAGATATTGATCCATGAGATAGATATAAAACGGGGAAGTGGAATTTTACACAGGCCACTTTACACCGACCACCCCGGTGTAAAACTTGAAAATAAGCCCTGATTTTCGAATTTTACACCGTTTTTGGTTTTTTTGGTCTGTGTAAAAAAACCCGGTGTAAAAATACGGAACCCGGAAGTGTTATGTAATTTTATACTGGAATTTTTACACGGAAAGTTACGGTGTAAGAATTCCCAGCGTAAAAGTCAAGACTGACCTCCAAAAGTTGAATTTTACACATACTCCATTTACACCAAGATTATCTGTGTAAAATTGCTCTGTGTGAGATTGCATCCCAGCACCTACAAAGCACAATTTTACACCGCCTTGAAAAAACTTTAACACAGACTTTAAAAAAATAGAACAAAGTTAGAAAAAGAGTTTGAAGACATATAAACATCATTCTCTACTTTGTCATCTAGTTAACCATGTAACATCACCATCTTCTTCAACACCACCATCTTTGTCATCCACCTCAACTGATCTACGTGCCAAATCATTGTCATCTCTTTCATTACCTCTGGAAACAATCACAAAACCGTCTTCTCCAGTCCAAGCATCTCCTGAGAACACTTCACTGTCCTAATCTGTCTGATGAAACCATGTTCAAGACCTTCATTGATCACCGGTGCTAACTCTATGAGGAAGAGTATCATACCCATCCAAATGGTAAAAGCATCCATGTCAATGACCCTAGTTACGTATATATTTTTCACCCTATCTACACTGCTTTTCTGTAATTTATACTCTATTCATTTGCAAGACAGTAGCACCCAAGTAGTGTAGGTCCATATAACAAGCATATTGTGAAGATGAAAATGCAAGACTAAAACAAGGTACATCTATACTTCCAAAGTTTGTTTTTTGTATATCAATATATATCTCACTTCTTTGTATTGTATTCATTTGCATGACATTAACACCCAAAAAACGTAGGGGAAAATCACAAGCAGATTTTGAGGATGAAGTAAAACCAGGTATGTCTACATTATCAATCATTTATTGCATATATATGTGACTTCATAACAAGCTGATGGGAGACCCACCCGTCAAAGAGGCTGATGAGCCATAAAATTCGAAAATCAGGCCTTATTTTTGAGTTTTACACCGGGATGGTCGGTGTGAACTGGCCTGTGTAAAACTCTCCCACCCCATATAAAACTCCTATGGGGCTGAAATTGCTTTTGCTGAAGTTAGGGGTGGTTTACAAGCTGAAGACTTTCATGAGATCCCCACAAAACTACATCACATTGAATTAAAAGGTGAGTTCTGGTAGACTCTTTGTGTACAAGGCGACTCTTGATAATTTGGTTTCAGTACTAGGCAGGTTAGGCCTACCCAGGTGTAGTCTTTTGAACATTCATACAACTTTAAGCTCTTGAAATTGACACAATAAAGTAGTAAGCCAGAAAATTAGATAGAATAAGAAGCCCTAGAGACCCATAGAACTCTCCTTTGCTCAGATTCCTAGATCATATCAATGTAAATACCTATTTGTTCAAATTCATACGAAGTGGTAAGCTGATGGTAAGCAAACATAGTTCCACCAACAAGAAGAACCAGCAGCGGAATTGTGTAAACACTAGATCTGACTGAAGCTGATATCAGCTTTTGACCCATCAATCCACAGCTTCTTTAACAACTTACCACGGTGTTGATTCTCTCTTTCACAGCTTTTGGGGAGAGATGACTTAATGGTTTGACGAGCTATATTTATTTGGTCCAAATGGACTGGGTTCTCTACATATAACATTCAAGGTTCTCAGAATGGAGAGAAATCAAGCGTGTGGTTCTACTGAAAATTTGTCTACGCACCATTAGGCATTACTGATTTGTGCATTTCTTCAAAACATGGTATTGAAGTTTCATCTTGAATAGCTTTGAGTTGATGAAGAGACTTGTTGTCTGCAGGGCATTTCAGCTGTGATGTATCATCTGAGATAGGAACCAGAAAGATCAATGGGTTGGCATGTGGAAGCAGTCAGTGAAAATATACGAGAAGTACTGCCAACCAAAGTGTTCCGACTTGAACGCCGCCTCCACGTCTTGTATTTTTTGAAGAATTTTTTCAATTAGAGGTATTTCACTGGAGGGGGTTGGTTTATTCATGATAGCTAAGATTACTTTTGCCCAAGAAACTATATATTTAAGGTGGATTTTTGGTTCGCACTTCTCAGGATGAAGATCACGCCTCAATGTCCAACTGCGTATTTGTCTACCCGTGCGTTGATGTGAATCAGGGGAAAGTACTATTCCTCTCAGTTGTTGGTTCAATGTTTTCTTGAGCTGAGAAAGACAAAGAAAAAGCTGAATTCAAGAATTGGTAAAGGTGCTCAGGTTCTTTGTCAATGTGAGTCGTAGGTAAAGCTTAGGTCCACCCCCTTAATTACCTAAACATTCAGAGTCGGCATAAGTTCAACTCCCCTTGGGGCTACATAGTAGTGTCTTCCTTTGTTTCTGTATAAGGGTAATGTTGATCTCAAATACAAAGGTCTTTGCGCTTAGCTCGAGGTACCCGCATCTTGTGACTGGATTGATTCCACCGTTGAAGCATCCCAAGATCCCAGATTGATCAATCAACATCCGTAAGATCATTTTCATCCATAGTTTATTTATACCCCTACCTTTTTCAGATCAAACAAAATATTTCCTTGTGATTTTATTCCTTGTTATAACTTCCCTCGCCATATCCTTCAGATCTAAGTGCACTTTACTATGTTCAAATCCTAAACCCAGCATGGAAAACCCAAACAATTCAAAGCTCGATTCGCTACAGGCCTTAAACGATCTCAAGGTGAGCAAGTTGACTGGCTTGATATTCATGCATTTGAGTCAATCTGACAAACATGCTTTGTAGGTTATGATTAGCCAGATTCAAAATGTCCACGAGAGTACAGAGGCTCTACGACAAAGCATTGATGACTTAGAAGTAAACATTTTGTATCTCTCTTTGCGGCTTCATTGATGACCTCGAGAAATAACTTCATATGTATTGTGTTACTAGGCCAAATTCGAAATGTCATATATGCAACACAAAGCCCAACTTGAATCATTGGTTCGTCCTCATGAAAAATCTACGCTATTCCCTTCTTCCCCTCTTGATTTACGCATATATTGGTTTTCAGCCTGACAGAACAGAAGTCACAGTTCGTAAAACTTCAACGCCCTGCCTATTCAATTGACGTGAGCTATTATTGATATCAAACTTGCAATGTCACCTCATTACGGCACAGAATCTTCGCACCTTGTTCAGCTCGCACGAGGAGAAGTTTTCCGAGTTGTTAAGAAGTCCCATTGCTTTACAGGAACATATCAATAATACTGGTATAGTTGCGTGTATCTGTTAAATCTGTAATTCCATGTCAAATCCTTACGATATCATGATGTTTGTTACGGACTGGGCAGGAGAAAAAACTGGAAGATCGGCTGAACTCACTCACAAATATAGAAAGCCAGCTGAGCAGCATGAAAGGAACTGTTTCTAACCTGTGTGATGATGTTGGAGTGGTGACCTCTCAGATTAATGAGCAAGGCTTGGTAAGTTTTGAACTCTCATTCTTCAAGAAATACGTGCTGCTCATATGATAACTAAACTCTGTGTTTTCTGTAAACACCAGACCCTAAACGTATTGGATGCTAGACTTGATGCAATGGAATTCAAGGTGGATGAGCGCCAAACTGTAAGACTTTAAATGCAACTGTGAAGGTTTGGAGCCCTTCTGATGAAAACGCATACATCTTATCAGGACGAGTTAGCAACACAAGGCGAGTTGAAACGCTTGGGTTCTTGCAACCTGCAGTTGAAAAATGATCAGATGCGACTAAACAACGACTTCAAATTGGTCCAGTCCAAGGTCTTGAATGACCGCCAGTACTCTGAAGAACAAATCAAGTCTATGCAAAGCGAGATGCAACGCTTGGATTCCTGCAACCAGCAGTTAAAAGATGATCAGGTCCGACTGAACAAAGAGATCCATTTGATTCAGCATAAGTTTGATAATTCCCACCTTCACTGCTCCGGAGAAATTAAAAAGGTGGAAGAAGTTTTACATACACAAATTCAGTCCAACAGAACCGTTTGTTTTTTCCCTCTATCCATGATGCTTATTTAAGATATGATAGCTTACTTAGGTAAACTTGCTCAATTTTTGCTTATGCCAGGCCACAAGTTTGACCGAAAAAACCTGCCTTGAAAAAATCGATGTTAGTGGTCAATGACTCCTGATATGGGAAGCCTAGAATTGACAAGCTCATTTGGGTATAACAGGAATGCTCTAGAATAAACGAAGATCTTGCAAAATCTTACAATATGCAGCAAACAGCAATAAGAGACCTTGAGGAACAGGTGAAACTCAACGAAGTCAGCTTTTGTAAAAAGCTACAGTATTCAGAAGAGCAAGTAGACAATTTTGAGCACAAAAGACTATCCCTGACAGAGAGTATATCAAAACTTGAAAGTCGCGTCAACAGCATCCCCGACCTCTCAAGCTCAAGTAGCTCTCAATCAGAACTGAGCCTATCCGAGGGCTCCATAACTAAACACGAGTCAGAAATAAAGGTATACCTGTGTTTCCTTTCATGAAGATGAGTTTGTAGGTTTACTGACTATCTCATCAAACACAGAGCTTAATTTTAACGCAGTCAAGATTATCACAGACACTGGAGGTCGGTCTCTGCTGGATTCTTTGCACAGTAAAGCTCAAATTTTTCATTCTAATTTCACAGGCAATCACAAAAACACAGCAAGAATTTGAAGAGAGATTTCAACTTGGCCTAAACAGATTGGACCATTCATATCAGCAGATGATGTGCCAGCAAGAAAAATTTGATGGAAGAATGATAAGTTTTGAGAATAGAGAAAACAACTGTGTAGGTGAAGAATTATGTATCAGATATTTCTGTATCAGCTGAATTCATGATCTGTGTTTCCATTCAGAACTTGCCGAGAAGGTTGGAAACTCCTGCATCCCCATCAGCTATGCCAATCTCAGTAGGTCATATCTCTCAACAGCTTACCGTCATTTTTATTTGGATAGTTGGTGCTTTTCTCACATGTGCGCTAAATTAGACTTTGTCTAGCCCAGAATCAACTGGATCAAATCTCGTTTGGTCTGATGCGAACTCTAATGAAGTTTTAAATGAGTCTGAGCCATTTTTAATAACCACAATTAATGTGAGCTCTTCATCATCCAGGTTCATCACAGTAAGTGGCGTAATCTTTTATTGGCCCTGGTTGTACATATTGATGATTCTCTGAGATGTTTGATTGATCAGCCTCCTCTTACAAGAAGCCCCACAGAATTGATTCCAAACAAATCGGCTGTGGATTCTATGGAAGTCGATGATCAATCTGACTCCAGTTCACGGACGCAACGGCCGCTTTTCCAAGCACAGGACCGCGAAGGGGTTGGTTGAAAACTCAGTGACACTCTTGACCATGTGTTTACTGACTCAGATACTGCTTGATAATCAGGCTCAATCTTCCACGATTGCTAGTAGTTCAGCTTGGGTACATCAGACGGCAAACATGGACAGGAGACGTGCAACACCAAATCGGCAACATACAAATGCATTCTCTGAACCAAGGGTACGTTCCTTGCCACCTTGGGGTGATATCAGGAGTATAAATTATACAGAGGACAAGAATTTTATACTGAGATAGAGTTGAACCTGCAACTAACGTATCCTTTATAGATTTCAAACTCCCATCCTTCATTGACACCCATTAATAGATCTCCACCTGCTGATATTGCTGTCACCCCGGTCCGACAAACGAGTCACATCAACCCAAGTTCCAAACCAAAGTTATGGGTGCGACCTTCTAAAAGCTCACAAAATAAGCTCACAGCAACTTTAAGGAAACAAAGGGACACAATGACCCCAGAGAACAAGGATGATGATCAAAATTCAGTAAGCTCATTGATTTGAACACCGGTGGATTGAAATCAGGCTGTACTTGAATGAGCTAACATTGTGTCTGGCTTGAAAAGTCTAAAGCTATTCAGCAGCATTTTCGATACCTTGCGGGAGTTAACCGGGAAAAAAAATCCTTCCCCCGATCTCCGACTCATGAAGATTTGGAGAGTTTACCGGAACTTCCTGATGGGACTGCACCCCTTGGGCTATCAGCTCCATACATCCTCAGAGCTAATCAGCTCTCACAAGAATGGGCTGATGATGACGAGATGGGAGAGGGCTTTCGAAATCGCTGCGAGCAAAGACTCAGACAATATGGAATCCCTTACGTTGGTTTGAGCTCTGCACGAAATGACCCGAAAGCCGAAGAATGGAACCGAAGGACCTTGGAGTTTTGCTTAGATATGTTTAACTGTGCAATGGATGGTTTGGAGTATGAGGACTTATTCCGATTGGACCGTGCAGAGCTTGATGTCGATAGAATCAGGGTGCTAATGGTGACTCATTTGAAGTATCGGATCAACAACAAACGTATTTTTTTGAAAGATAACAGTAATCTAGAAAAACACATGAAGGAAGACCGCCGAGCAAAGCGAGCCAATAATGTACGTCCTGTTTTCTTGTGTCCATGATCAACATCATAAGACTAAGATTATGGAGGTATTCGCAGCTCGCAGAGAGATGTCATGAAACTTGTCTGAAGTACGAGGATCTGAATGTTTACCAGGATCTGTTCCTGGATCGCCGGTACTGTTCGTCTGACGAATCTGATGACGAAGTCGTGGAAGAGGATCGGGTGCGAGATATTCCGCTATGGCGGAGCCGACTAGGAACTGCCTTAGTTGAGTACATCGACAACGCTTATCGTCAATTGAGACAAGAAGAAATTCCTAGACGCCCTGGAAGAAAACCAGGGAAACGCAAGACATCTCAAACCGCGCCAGTTGTAGGCTCCTCGAAATGGCCACTAGGTCTTCCTAGTGATTGCTATGATTCCAGATGGGTTGCTGGTCTCAACACTAAAGAACGCAAGGCCCTCAAAATGAAGCCGGCAGCGTTGCAGGGTGTGTCTGGACTACTAGATTGAACACACCAGGGGATGAGAGTCTGGTTTTTTGTTATCAGTGTTTGAGCTATACTCTATCAAACGGCTGGTAGTGGATCATCCTATTATTATAGCGTTTATATAAATTTATCATTTACATGCTTTGATTTTTTTCCTAGTGTACATCTCATATCTTGTCTTGATCATCATCTATTCTTATGTAATACACATTTTTCTGGGACTTATCATAAGTGTGAATCTGGGGACTTAATTTTTCTGAAAAGAGAGAATATATGTGAAGTTCAGAAAAGGTTCACAAGATAATAGGGGGTGTCAAGTTCCAATTTTTTACGGTAAAAACCGTAAAAAACTTTCCCGTCATAGCATAAATTTACTTAAAATTTACGAGAACGGGAAAGTTTTATCAATCCCGTTCTCGTAAAAACATAAACTTACAACAAAATACGACTACAACGGGAAACCCGAAGAGAAGAATCTCCATTTTACTGCTCGGGCAGCTTGGAACGGCAAAAAGTTTATAAAATTCGTGAACTTTTGACGATTCGTTTTTATGATCTTGGGAAAGTTTTTTTACAGTTAAAACGTAAAAACTTTCCCGTCTCATAATTTTTTTGTTGTAAAAATTGGAACTTGATACCCCTTAATGTGAACCTCAGATGAGATTCACAAAAAAATATGAGCTCAGATTTTCTGTGATGCTCAAATATTCGCGGCCTTTTCTTGAATAATGGGGAAAGTTTTTTAAGATACGGTGCTGTAAAAACTTTTCCCAATGTGTAAAAAGGACCGTAAAAATTTCTTTCAGATCTCCTTCTGAGCAGTAAAGTTACGCAAATTTAACCTTACGCAAATTTGCGTAAATTTACTGCTCATTTTCAATAAATTTACTGCTCATAAAAATTTGGGATGTTGTATGGCTTTTCCCAATTGCATAAAATTTTGCGTAAATATTATGAAATTGGGAAAAGTGTTTTACAGGAGAAGTAGTAAAAAGATTTGACCTGAGCCTCCCTAATTTTTTGAAAATTACGCAAAAGAAACTTGAAACACCCTAATGTAAACCTCCCAAGAAATAGCAAAAAGCAATAGAAATCTGAGGACTTGATTTGTTCAGATAACAACTAATAAATGTGAACTTCACAAAAAGGTTCACAATGAAATGTGAATTTTGAATGAAGTTCACAAAAAAATGTGAATTTTGAATGAAGTTCACAAAAAGATGTGAACTTCGGAAAAGGTTCACAAGAAAATGTGAACCTTGGATGAAGTTTACAAAACAAATGTGAACTTTGGATGGAGTTCACAAAAAAATGTGAAATTTGGATGAAGTTCAAATGTGATTGTAAACTTCCATTTTGAACTGTTTATGGGGTTTACATTCTTTTGTGCACTTTGAAAAAAGTTCACAATTAAATATGTACTTTATCAAAGTTTTGTTTAATCCTTTTTAAAAAGGTTCATTGATTTCAATAAAACACACCTAAAGTTCACATTTCATTGTGAACTTTTTATGAAGTTCACATTCTTTATTTGTATATGACCACATCATGTCCTCAGATTTCTATTGCTTTCTGCCATCTCTTGGGTGGTTTACAATGATTGAAAGTTGGCTTTTTTATGTAGTTAGACGCTACAACAATTTGTGGTATACATAAAATATGCGTAATTTATTGAAATCAATGAACCTTTTTAAAAAGCCTACATCAATTTGGGTTATACATAATATATGCGTAATTTATTGAAATCCATACACCTCTTGAAAAGTGTGAGCAAAATTGTGATTAAGTTCACATTCTATTGTGAATCTTTCCTGAAGTTTACATATTTATGTAAACTGCATTTATACTTCACATTGTATTGTCAAATTGTGGTGAAGTTCACATTTCATTGTGAACTTCATCTGAAGTTTACATATTCTTATATTTTTGTGAACTTTTCTGCAGTTCAAATATTTTTGTGAACTTCTTCTGAAGTTCACATCATATTGTGAACTTTGTCTACAGTTCAAATATTTTTGTGAACTTCAGCTGAAGTTCACATCATATTGTGAACTTCATCTGAGGTTCACTCATTTTTGTGAACTTCATCTGAAGTTCACATCATATTGTGAACTTCATCTGAGGTTCACTCATTTTTGTGAACTTCATCTGAAGTTCACATCTTATTGTGAACTTCACATACTTTTGTCAACTTCATCTGAAGGTTGCATTTTCCTGTGGACTTTTTGTGAATGTCACATTTTTCATTTGTTTTCTGATGAGATGAAGTCCTTAAACTTCAATTTCTTTTTGCTATCTATTGAGTGGTCTACCATAATCAAAAGTTGGTACGTAGTTAGACACTACAACAATATGTGGTATACATAAAATATGTGTAATTTATTGAAATCAATGATTTTAAAAAGGATTAAACAAAACTTTGATAAAGTGCACATTTTAGTGTGAACTTTTTTCAAAGTGCACAAAAGAATGTGAAGTCCATAAAAGTTCCAAATGGAAGTTTACAATAACCTCATAAAATGTTTATAGAAAAATGCAACTTCTTTGTGAACTTCATCCCCAGTTCACATTTTATTGTGACCTTTTCCAAAGTTCACAAGAGAAGTTCACAATGCCATGTGAATTTCATAAAAATGTCACAGAAAATTGGAATGTTTTTGTGAACTTTTATGTGAACTTCATCCAAAGTTCACATTTTCCTGTGAACCTTTTCTGAAGTTCACATCTTTTTGTAAACCTTTTCTGAAGTTCACATTTTTTTGTGAAAATCATCTAAAATTCAAATTTATTATTTGTTATCTGACCAAATTGGAATTACTGGTTATGATCCAAAGGTCACTCTCCTATTTTCGACTTGATTTTCTGCTCCCAGTTTGAAGTTGCAGCTGTGGTTCCACGCTCGCTATCTCTATGTTGGTGTTTTCCCTCATCCTGACCATCTCATTTGATTTGTCAATTTTCTCTTAGAGTTTGAGTAAGTAAGACGGTTCAGCTTCATCTCAGTCTTTGACGTTTTTCAGGCTTTTAAGAAACATCAACTCTCATCCCCCGTTCTCAAAGGCAATCATGTCTCAGCGCCTTTCAGAGAGTCAGACAACTCAAATTGGCCCTCACGATTCCCCTATTGATGTACCCAAGGTGCCAGATATCACTTCTCATGACGATCTTGAAGTCCTCAATTGCGAGTCAATGGGTTCATACTTTGATTTGACTCGCGTTGATATCCTGCTGACGTATCTCATTCATTCTATAAGATATCCAAGGTAATGATTTTTCTACGAAGTCATTCGATGTCAATCCTTTCAAAGATGTACAAAATCATAAACAAAAAGGTCAATAATTTATTCTCCTTCAGAGGTTTCTTAGCAGCCAATCTAATGGAAATTGAATTGATCATACTTCAGTTGAAACAATGGAGGAACAATTGCCTGAGTTGGATATCCCATACATTGGGGTCGAGAAAGCGGATGGTGTAATCTTCACAAAGATTTACGCCAACTACAAATCAATGGTATGTACATACATTTTCAGGATCATTGTAATCAGTCCAATCCACGTCCTTCCTCCTGACATTCTAATCCTTGTTTCAGAAACTTCAATTGAGCAGGTTTCGTTGCTTCTGCAAGAAGCCATCAGAGATATTTGTTTCCTGGAGTTTGAGGTGAATGTCCTGAAGGTGGAAGTAATTGATTTGAGATGCGACTTGGAAAAAGCATGCACCCAGATTTTGGGGCATCAGAGAGTATTTCGCAAGCTCATAGGGTCCAAGAGCGATAGTATTGATGAAGAATATGACTATGAATCAACAGACAAGAATTCCAATGCTCAGAAAGTTACACCACAAACTGATCAAGTATCTGATTGATAAAACCAAAAACTTATTCATCTACTTATCTATTGTTTCTCAAATGTTATCCAAATAAGCTTGTTGCTTTTTGCTCTTTTTCTGTAAGAGTGAGAAGGGTATTTCGAATTGAGGAGATTTGTGATTACATGGGATCTCGTTTGAACACCATTTGAACTTTAATTCAGACCATTTACTCTACAATGTGGTGGTTTTTAATCCATTTGAAGTGTGATCAGAGTGGTTTGCAAATTGCACTAGTTTCCTGGTCTAGGTTCTTGGATATTCCAAGCGGTATGAGGTTTAGCACCGTCACAAACTGGTACTTATAGGAAATTCTGGCAATACACTTGTCGCCAGTATTGACACAGGTGAGTATTGAGGTGATACACACTGATTGGAATTGTTGAGACGCACCGATCAGTGAATGTTGATCAATGCGCAACATCAGACCAGTCACATAGGGCGAGAGATACAATCAGAAGAGTTTATAGGTTTTTTGAGACTGTTCAGTGTATACCAGTATGGTGATCTGAGCCTCAATACCTTAGGGCAAGTTTCTCAACAAGCTAAGAAAGGTCGGGCTAACACCCATGAACCTTTGTTCTTTAGCTGATTTGTACATGGGTGATATCGAAAAGTTGAGGAGTCATTGATGGAGCCGTCTGACTTTTGCCTTTCAACGTTTAGGTTGGTTAGCATCATGCGGACAAGAAGAAAGGTAGAACATGATAAGTCTGATCACGATTGACTGATCAAGGGGGTTACCTGAGTGTGTTCAACCAAAATAGCTTGAGGTTGCTTTCAATATTGTTTTTACCAGAGATGTATATAAGTCATCTCGCGGTGACTCAAGAACAACCCACCATCTCCGCCAGATATCCTCATTCACAACATGTCCAACAAGCTTAATTCCTCGTTCAAGGAGCCTCAGAGACCTCTCTTGGATCTATCAGACAATACTCGAAATATCGATCATGTTATCCATGACAGAACGCCTAACTTTCCATGGCTCCTTAATTGCTTTGTCCACCACCTCCTGCGAATACTATCTACACTCATAACTTTCTCCTTCAGATTTTTTTCCCACCCCTTCATCCTCTTCCCCGCCTCTTTCCTTTGCATATTTTTGACCGGTTGGGCCCTCGCGTCTACAGCATCCAACCTCGTTATCAACTGCTTCTCAAATCACGTGTTTCAACTTATCTCCCTTGTAACCCCTTCCTTTGGTCCCATAACATACTTCTACTGCACCGTCCTTGCCGGCCCATATTTTTGTCCACAAGACACGGATCCACCCGAAACAACAGTGTCCCAGATCACCCGATCCGTATCAAGAAATGTGATGGTTGCATCCGACATCTTTGACTCTATCATGGTGCTTGGAAATCCTTACGACCTAGGGTTTCATCAAGGGGAAATTCTAGAACTTGCCCTTGCCATTGAATACTCCACAAAGGTCGACCACAGGAATGCCCTAGCGCAGCGGCTGTGGGAGCTATCTGAGCTGACTAGCAAAGTTAAAGATGAAGTGATCATTCTCAATGGTTGCGGAATCAACACATTTTTGTTTTTGGTCCATGAAGTCAGTTTTCTTCACCTTGTCCCTTTGTACCCATAAACATTACTGATATGATATTTATTGATCCGTATCTTAGTACTCAAGGATCCAAGACCTGATTGAGCATGTTCAATCTGGTCATCCGACGTACACAACCCAAACCGTCTCACACAACCTCGATATACTGTTTGGTCATCTCTCGTCTGACCTTTCTCGGCTTCTTTTGCAGATTGAGGGGGCCATCCCGCTTGTTTCCCGGGCAGCTGACCTTGGGACCCGGCTGGCTCGTCAGCTGTCTGAGGAACATCAAAAGTTGATCACGACCAAACAATCTGCCCCACTCTGGAGGAAGCTTCTGGACCACCACAGCAGGAGCGCAATGCAGCTGAAGCACGATATTGCCCTTACCTCTGGAAGCATCAATAGCTTGGTACGAACCTGGAGGCAACTTGAGATTCTTAGGACTCAATTGGTGGCCTATCGTAATCATGTTACTGGTTTCAAGGTGCGCTGGTTGCTTTTTCCTGTGAGAAATTTAAGTCCTGATTAGTATCTTGGTTTTGCGGTAACTTCACAGGCATCGTTTGGCGCATTGCACGTTGCTGATCATCAATTGTCAGCTGAAGATGAAGTCCAAGCCATGAGACATATAATAGTTCGCCTCCGAGATACGGTAACAGCCTCAAAAGAAAAGACATGGAACACGGGCAAGCAATCACTGGACTGAGGATCTTCTTGCGTCTTGTAGTGGGTAGTTGCCAGGGCCCAGGTTGAAGAAAAAGAGAAGATTACATACTTTTGTTTTATCTATAATGTATATATCTATCTGTTATTCTCTATTTAGTTTCATTTTCTCATAGAAATTATTATCACCTTTCTTCCTTGAAAATACGGGTACTGCCTGGATCCCTTCATCTGGAAGCGTGAAGTCATTGGCTTTCTGTCAACATCCACACGAGAAGGGGTGGCGCGAGCATTTTCTTGGCAGGCAAAAATGTGTTCTTCAATTTTACGCAAACTCACTTTTACGCAACCATTTTGGTGTAAAAAAAGTTGCGTAAAAATACAGCATCCCCTTGAAAAATATAAACAATCACATCATTATTCACAAGGGAAAATAAACATACACCACGCAAAAGTAAAAAAAGATTGAAAAATACGTAAGGTCATTCAGCACATTATATATCAAGCAGAAATTAAATCAGGAATAGATAATGAGGGGAAGAACTGCGGCGTCCCCGTGAGTTTTTCACCAAAATCCTCGTTGTTATGAGATTCGCCAACGGAATCACCGATGTTTTGATGTTAATTGATGGACGTTGCTGTGAATAAACACGCAAGGTTAGTCAGCACATATATCACACACAAATTAAATCATGAATACATGTATATAATGAGGGGAAGAAGTCTGATGTACCCTCAAGTTTTTCGTCAAAATCTTCAAGTCTCTGGCGTTTTAGTGAAGCACTTTCAGGCTCAATTACATCTCCTTCCGCAACAGGCCCAGGCGGGTTTGGATCAGCGGGTGTTAGAAGCGCACCAACGTGAGGATGGTGTGACTCTTCTGCCCCCGGCGTGAGCTCAGATGCGATTGTATAACTTAAGGAGGACGGCATAGGGTAAGGATCAGGTGGATACGATCTGTAAGTGATCTCGTGACTGATTATTATGGATGAATTGGTTGATCGCGTTTCTGAAGTCCCAGAATTTGAAGTCGCATCCGCAATCGAGATACTGTCTGGGTTGGGCTGACTTATGCTAGTAGAGCCATATATGTCATCATTTATAGTGGCAGCCGCGTTCGTAGCTTCATCGGAACTTGATATGTCAAGGGTATCGTGAACTGGGAAGTCAACATTGAAAAATATGCATCTTGTTCCCTGTGGTGAGAGCTTCACTCTCCATATTTTTCCATATTTTTACAGTCCATATTGATAAGTGTACTAACAATAAACCTTCATAATCATCCAATTACAACCTGTAACAAGAACCAACTTACGAGCCCATTCTTGCGCCTTCCTTATACGCTTACTGAGAGAGCTAAACAGATGCGCGAGGGTATTCATTTCCGAAGCAATATGTAAGAAGCAAAACAAGACTAGAAATAGAATATAAAACAAATATTAAAAAAAATCGTGCAAGGGTAAGAGAGGGTGAAGAAGAGAGGAGGGAGAATTAAGCCTAGACAGAACAAACAAGATGACAAGAATGCAAGGCACATACATATAAGTTAATTTGACCAAATTGACGAAACGTGAATTGACAACAAGAGTCTTTACCCTCAAAGGGATTCGTACCTTCAATTAAGAGCGTAACGATCAAAGGGGGTCTGCATACTCTTATTGAGTGTTTTTATCTATGATATTCTTCCGGAATTTATATGGAAGAAACGTGGGCCCACGGTGTGGAAATAATCAAAGCTTAGCCATTATCCTTTTGAACACTGAAGTAATCAAAAAATCCACGCCACACTTGATATCTTCTGTCTTCAATCTCATATTCTTTTCCAATGCTTATGACCTCTACCACAAACGCAGGGTCTTCTTTTCTGACCCAAACTTCCAAAACTTACTCGGACCCGATGCAGGTCCCAGCCAACATCACGCATGCAAATTCTTCATTTCCAAGCCCCACGTTCAAACCGTTCTGCGATGAGCTACACATCCCGTCCATCACCTTTGAGGATTTCCTAAACAAACCGGCAAAGATTCCACAGCTACCCGGGTACGAGGAAGAGTCAGATCCCGAACACTTTATACACAGTGAGGAACACCTCGAATCGCCTCAACAGATCTCTTCAGTTTTGTATTCTTCATCACCTAAAGACGCTCAAGACCTGAAGCAAGGAGCTTCTGAAGCGCAGGTCTTCCCTAATAAATCTTTGCAGAGCTCGCTGGCTCCAGGCGCGTGGCATATATGGACACTGGCATCCAAATTTTTCGCAGGGGGTATATTAATCTTGAATATGTTTTTGTGTCTTTACATGTAAGGAAGTTCCTTGATCCACCCCTTTTCTCTGAATAAGGAAGCTTCATCTACTAAATATGTTCGTCGATGTCCTTGATTACAGATTAGCACCAAACACAATCCCATGGCATTGTGAAACTTATTTGCTGACAAGGCTAAGGCAAGGTATGGACTCGGACGAGATCACCTCTGTTCAGCATACTTCCGAAAATATTGTCAAATCAATGAAAGAGCTATGCCTCGAGATGGACCGTCAAGCAATTGACACAGTCCCCTTACAAGAAATTTCAAGCTTACTGCGACTTCAACCAAACTTAAGGGGTTCTTTGGAGACTTCAGTGATCCTCTGGGATCTTTCAGATTCTGTCAATTTGGTCGGTGACAGGTTGCGTCAGCTACATGGTAAAGGGCACACCAAGATGGGGTTGCTCATGCAAGAGGTTGGTAAATTACCTGTCCCTTCCGTTTCTTCTACTTTAACTGATATTCTTTTCTAGTCTAAGGTGTTCTTGAACCAGCCACATCTTCCAAGTAAATTACACATTCCTCAAGAAATGCTTGATCAAACTTTATACATCTTTACTCTTCTCAAAAATATTGCCAACTCGATAATCAACGAGATTCGGTTGACAACAGAAGCCAATCAGGTCGCAAAGCAAAACCTTTCCGAAATTGAAAGGACTCTACGTGCAAGTCTCAATTCCTGGAGCATCTCGTATTTCTCTGGAAGTTCGAAATATCGTGCATCAGGCCTCCTCCTGAACTCAATCAGGTTAGCAATAACCCACACCGGAGAAATTGCAACATATCTGCAGAAGGTTAGGCGTATGATCCAGCTCTACCATGACAACGCTCAATCCTGGCTAGTAAGTACAAACAAGCAATTTTCAAGGATGAATCTATATCCATTTCAGTTCACTAACTTCTGGCAAACACGATATGGCTCAAAGACGAAACGAACCTTTCAGGAACTCGGTTGATGGAGGTGCTAAGCAGTGCCTTCTCTTGTTGAATACACTCGATGAACACATATGGAATGGACAAGTAGAGAAACCCCTCTTAGGTACCACTAGGAATCCAGTATGATATGAGTCACATAGCATTTGCGTACCTGATCAAGTGTTTAAACTTGATTTGCTACTATGAGCAGTCTGGTTGTCTTTTTTCTTTCCTTTCTCATCTGACTACCTTCTACTCCTTATCATTAGAGTATCCTTGTATCTTTCATTCTGATAGTTTTTAAATTTATTTTCAAAGTTGCCGTTAATAAGGTGCTGTGTTTACTTGAGGACTTGATTTGTTCAGATAACAACTAATAAATGTGAACTTCACAAAAAGTTCACAATGAAATGTGAATTTTGAATGAAGTTCACAAAAAAATGTGAACTTTGCAAAAGGTTCACAAAAAGATGTGAACTTCAGAAAAGGTTCACAAGAAAATGTGAACCTTGGATGAAGTTCACAAAACAAATGTGAACTTTGGATGGAGTTCACGAAAAAATGTGAAATTTGGATGAAGTTCAAATGTCAATGTAAACTTCCATTTTGAACTGTTTATGGAGTTTACATTCTTTTGTGCACTTTGAAATAGTTCGCAATTAAATATGTACTTTATCAAAGTTTTGTTTTATCCTTTTTAAAAAGGTTCATTGATTTCAATAAAACACCCATATTTTATGTATACCACAAATTGTTGTAGCGTCTAACTACATAAAAAAGCCAACTTTCAACCATTGTAAACCACCCAAGAGATGGCAGAAAGCAATAGAAATCTGAGGACATGATGTGGTCATATACAAATAAAGAATGTAAACTTCATAAAAAGTTCACAATGAACTTCACAAAAGGTTCATGATGAAATGTGGACTTTAGATAAAGTTCACAAAGAAATGTGAACTTCCAATGGTTCATATTTTATGTATAATACAAATTGTACGCATTTCTTATGTATAATACAAATTGTACGTATATTCCATGTATGATACAAATTGTACACACATTTTTTTCATGTGTAGTACAAATTGTACGCATATTTTATGTATAATACAAATTGTATGCGTATTTTGTATAATACAAATTGTTGTAGCATACAAGTACGTAAAGAGAGCCAACTTTTGATTATGGTAGACCACTCAATAGATAGCAAAAAGAAATTGAAGTTTAAGCACTTCATCTCATCAGAAAACAAATGAAAAATGTGACATTCACAAAAAGTCCACAGGAAAATGCAACCTTCAGATGAAGTTCACAAAAGTATGTGGAGTTCACAATAAGATGTGAACTTCAGATGAAGTTCACAAAAATAAGTGAACCTGAGATGAAGTTCACAATATGATGTGAACTTCAGCTGAAGTTCACAAAAATATTTGAACTGTAGACAAAGTTCACAATATGATGTGAACTCCAGAAGAAGTTCACAAAAATATTTGAACTGTAGAAAAGTTCACAATAACATGTGAACTTCAGAAGAAGTTCACAAAAATATTTGAACTGTAGAAAAGTTCACAATAAAATGTGAACTTCAAATGAAATGAGATGAAGTTCACAGAAATATGTGAACTTTAGATGAAGTTCACAAACATATGTGAACTTTAGATGAAGTTCACAAAAATATGTGAACTTTAGATGAAGTTCACAAAAATATGTGAACTTCATGATGAAGTTCACAATTAAATGTGAACTTCACCTCAATTTGACAATACAATGTGAGGTATAAATGCAGTTTACATAAATATGTGAACTTCAGGAAAGGTTCACAATAGAATGTGAACTTAATCACAATTTTGCTCACATTTTTCAAGAAGGTGTATGGATTTCAATAAATTACGCATATATTATGTATAACCCAAATTGATGTAGGTTTTAAAAA